TAATTTGCTTTTATTACTATTCGTCCATACAAATTTAAGTAAATTACGTTAAAGTGTTCAATAATCTACAGACTGGTCAAAAACATGTATATAGTTTATGACAGAACAGCAAAAATCTAATGTCTGAAATTAATATTGAACAAAATTAAAGATAAAGTCTTTTAACCCACTACGTTTACAAAATTATTTTGTAAGCACAAATAAACCTAACTATTTAATGAGTCACTGTGAATGAATTTTTTATTCCTCTTACCTCCACAAAATTCATGGACATTATTGACGTTCCGAATAAAAATAAGTCTCTAACTAAATGTAGACAACAAACATTAAATAGTACAATTAGCTGACAAAACATTGCTTTTTTTCGCCAAACCATGTGTATGTATGCACCTAAAATCCTGATATACTTTTGTGTTGTATTTATTATATATATACTAGTCATGAATGACTAGTATAAATACGGTTTCACTGACGCGACAATATGATGTAGTTTTGTGTTAAAACATACCAAAGACCTTTATATGATTGAGTTTTGAGAAATATCTACCACCGAAATAGAATTCATTGCACTAAAAATTACATGCTTAATATAGGACTCTATTTTCTAAGAGATCCGAAAAAATACTAGAGTGCTTATATACAGGTTCTATAACACAAAGTACAATTTTTGAAACATTTTAAAGTTTGGAATTCGATTGAGGGGTATGCAAATAGTAGTATTGTTGTGAATGAGAATACAGGTGAGGACAACCAACTATGTATTTAGCACAAATTACAACGTTACTTGGTAAAATACAAAAACCATGCTATGATACACTATTTGCAAAATGTTCTTCAATTGCCTCAGACTTCATTGTTCCTGGATTTCCACACAAATTGCTTTATATTTCTGTTCTTCTCTTCTTGATCTTCTCAATCTTCTGCTATCAGATATTCTATTTCTTACTCACCATATATACTACTTATATCGATATCAGTAGCTCACACCACAGTATAAGTTATTTCAACGTTTAAAAGAACTTCGAATTTATTTCGCTTTGCTAAAACTGTGGTACAAAATGTTGAAACTGAATCTATGCATCAGAAAAGATGCAGTAATCGATCTTGTTTTGGACACGAATGAGAATACTTGGATTAGCGTACCTTTGACATAAATACAATGCCGATGAGATATCATTCAATTCATAAAATAAAATCTCTGATCAGCTTAAGAAATACATTCCGCAAAATAAATCCATAAAAGAGTTAGATTGGGAGTGAACAAAAGTTTGAAAATAATAATATTAAATTTAGAAATACAGGATTATTTTAAAATGGGGACTAAAATAAACTGATCCAGTTAAATCCACTTGGTTGGTAAAAGAAACGGTATGCTAACTGTTTTTCTATTTCAATTTATCCCAAAGAAAATACAATATTAATAAGGTTGTACTTGGTAAATGAATTACAATTAGTGGTACATATCAATTTTAATTAAATAACCTTCATAAGAGAGTCCACATTTAATAATTAACCTTACATAATCAACACTGTAAACTTTTCAACACTGAAAGAAAAAGATCCCACTGAATATATACCTGCATGTTATAAATCATATGTTTTATACCATATATAATATTTAAATAAAAGTTGTCATGGTAACTTAAAAGGGTTAGAAGAAAGTGTGGGCTAACATGAAAGAACTTTTATCTTTTGTAGGAGAGGTTATTTTTATCACATGGGTTTAATATAATTCATGTATAATTCGATTTAAATGGGTTGTTATACATAAACTTCATTTATCAAGTGGCTTCACTGCTTTGCGTGTTTAGTCACTTTAAAAAGAGCTTTGTAGAATATAGTACAAACATACTTACTTTGAAACAACAACAAAGTATGTTTGTATATTTACATAACCTTATAAGATATTGTCCGATATTGTGTTTGTTGCTAAATAAAGCTAGATGAATTAATTAGGTGCATATTTATAACCCCAAGCTTTGTAATCTAACGTATCGGACATTCAAAAAGTAGAAATACTGATTGAATAATCTTGCAATATAATGAAAAAAATATTCTCATCACGTCAAACCAAACAGATGAATGACCAGCAAAATATTCTTTCTAATACAGTTTTATAAGTTTCAATGGTTATCACTTATAACGAATAGTCGTGTGTGAGTAAAATGAAAAAATGACCTAAACTACAAGATATGAATTTAAGGTTGTATAAACTGAAATGACTTATGTTACAAAGTCTTGAGATAAATAGAGGCAATATGAGGAACATAACAATACAATAACTGACGATACCAGAATATTTAACTGTTCAGTACTCATTATTATGGGTGTCTTTGTCAGTCAGTCAGCTACAACGTAGGACCAGACATACAGATGCATCGGTCCAAGTTGCTATATCTCATTAGCACAGCAATGTCAAGACCGAATTCATAGAACTAGTTAATTTATTGGTGATATTGTATAAAAGGAAGATCGTACATAAGGATATAGTACAGAAAGAAAGAAAGGTGTAAAGCAATTTTAATCTCATAGTTTAAGGAAATACAGAAAGTGTATACACCGAGGCTATTGTGATGGATTCTGAGTCATGTCACTCAGAGTCTCCAACCATTGGTTACGATAGTTACGCGGACCCCAACAAAGTAGTCTGCATCTACCAACATGACTCATACAAGAGGTTAGTGACTTCAAGCACTGATGCCACATTTTCGTTTGAAAAATTTCCATTTTATCCATGAATAACATCTTATTCATTTTCAGCTTCCTCCAAGCTGAGCATTAAGTTTTATCTCATCATTTTTTAATTCAGTCAGTTTGTCACGTGATTTGACTACTGTCACTTAATTAAAATGGGTATGTAAGAACGCAGCCTAATTAATGTAATTTTTTGAAATGTTGAAACACATCAATAGTTATCTGTATAACTATCTTAGTGTAGCATGCATCTTTTCAATACAATCACTTCTTTGTCATGTGTATCCATTTATCATACGTGATATCAAACACTAGGATAAAATTAACATCGATAAATGATACTGTTCGTTGTCCATTCGATACGAGTTTATTAATTGATTTTAACAACCATGGTCCTTCCATTCAACGAATTTTCACTTATCATCAATGTCGTTACCTGCCCCGATTTAATGTGGATGCTTTTATTTTGACAATCTAGTTTATAAGCTTTGTATGAAGTTCATATCAACCAATTGAAATACTTTTTATCATGCATGTCACCTTGAAGAGTTTTCGATACAATGTACCTTGATCGAGTAACTCCTGTAGGGTTTTTAATCAGCTAAAAATATAACTGTTTATTTTTGTTTCTTAGTGAGTTTGAAACGATGTACAATATTCTGCATCAGAGGAATAATCCGTCTAATCACCTCATGTTCATTCAAGCCACTTAACAATGCATTAAGTAAATCAATGTTGACTGATTGAAAATTCCTGAAATTTGACTGATGGTCGATGCTGCTTAGTTGCTCGATCTTACGGAATTAACAAGCACAATACAGGTCAATAACTAGTGTTAAAGAAATATATTTTTTGTTTACATAAAATACCAGTTTTAATTTTCATTGTTTATAGTAAACTATACAGTTGAACTACAATAATTAAATCACTTGATTGTCAGTGATTTTATTTGTTTCCAAGCAAATAATAAACTTACATTGTGTTAAAAAAACTCAGTGTTAAATTCTAGGTTCGCAATCTTCGTCTACTACTTTGTTTCATTACTACACCGTTTCTATAACCAAAGTGATTTCGAGGCAATCACTAGAGCGTATTCATAATTGTTTGCGACACTTTATTCCTTCATGATTCAAAATAAAGTTTATTACTTCTTGTCTCAAAAAATGATCAACTGATCACAATTGGTTACAAATCACTAATAACAGGTAGTCGAATGTGTCTGACTTTATGTTCAATAATTTTGACTTAAGATAATTTCGAGGCAATCCGCACATAATATACATATGTCGATAAGAGACTGATCGATTGCAATCTTAAACATAAATGGGAAGATTCAAACAACCAATACAAAAATTAACTAATTCTATGTAATTGTTCTGTTTGATGGTAACTAATGGATACATATTTTATAAATTAATTTATCCTTTACAATGAGCCCATTCTCAAAGCTATACAATCGTATATACGTGTAATAATTTATAGGTTATATTTACGATATATATATGGTGAGACTATAATTTATCGATGACCTTTGAGTGACGCCAACCTGACCTTGAGAGTGTCCACTTGATAACTAGGATTAAATGAGGGTTATAAATCAATGTGAGGAATTGGAATTATGATTTACAGTTGATGGTTATGAGTAGGAATTAGATTTAGGGTTTTCATCACGAAAAGACATCAGCTATAATGCCAAAACTCTATTCAGCCAAAAGTATGAACTTCGCGCAAAACTCCGAGACCTGTTATCTTATATCTGGTTGGTTCGTCAATAAATTATAGCCTCACCCATATATAATTTCAGTCTTCATAAGAAGTTTTATCAATATCAAAAGTTTCCGGTAGACATAAAAAGATTTAAACGAATACTCATGAAGTGGTTTAACTGAAAATCAAACAAAATTTAAAGTCAAAATTCACTAAAATGACAAATTACACTGGATCACATGTCATTTGTGAATAATGAACATAATTTGGGATGAATTTAAACACTAAATATTGAAGATTTAGATAAATACAAATATGTTTCTTGCAATGGAGGAAAAATTAATGTCACTTAAATCTGGTGAAAGCTTCATGTAAATCATTATTTAATCATACCGATAACTAGTCTTGGTCGAAGTAGGTAGTGAGTAGTAATACCTGATACTGTTACGTAGAACAAAAGTAATTAGAATTTGAAGCAAGTTTTATTTTTGGCAAGGTCGTCAACTTTAACAAGAGCAGTATGTAGGTTGGTTTTAGCAATGAGAACAAAAGTTGCAAAATCCATCATACTAATAAAGTTTACTTTACGTCAAACTTACTCTTTTTATAGTACTCATTGTACTACTATCGGAATTATATGACTTATCTAAATTTTGTCCAGAACGCAATGCTTCTTTTTCTTGTTTTAATACATCAACATAAACTTGTAAATCATGAACTCGAGTCTATAAAGACGAAAACAAATAAAAGATTTAAAACTTAGTTATGTAAAATGAAGACGACACTAGAATAATTAAATCTAGAATAATATAATAAACTATAAATACCATTGAAATGTACACTGCATAGATCTCTCAAACTTAAATAGTTTTTGAGTATGATATTGGCTGGTGTAGAATGAATTTTTAGAGGGTATACAAGTATACGACTATTACAAAATAAAAAATAAGCTGTTTTAAAGCAGCTGAAATATATGCGTTGCGATTAACTATCATGACACTGATAAAAAGGTGATGTACTACATCCGTCATTTAATAGATTCCTCAAGGTATCAATGTCAAGAACATGACTTTAATTTTAACCTGCTGAATGTATTTTTCGCAGAATTAATCGAAGTGATAAACAAATCATTTTTTCAGATTTGCGCCTTAGCCACTAAGACAAATATGCTTTGAATCTTCTAACGAAGTCGAAACATTCTACTTAAGGTAAGTGCAAATATTTGGTACAAAGGAATATGTTCGCTTTTCAAATTATGAAAATGATCGCTACACATTTAAACCGTTAAACTTGGTAGTTTCAGTCGCATTCAGTAATATTATATGAAACAAGATTGTCAAACTGTGTTACATGAACGATGCCCTTGTTTTACAATTTATTTGATTTTTAAATCCATCATTAAAATAATATTGAATAATCTAATCTAATAATAATAATCTAATAATCCAATGGGAGAACAGTGTTTACAAACATAAGAGAAAAGAAAAAGACCACTTACTTTATAACGTGTTGTATCTGATCTTAATGTTTCTAATTCAAATTTTAGTTCCATATTTTCATTATTAAGCCGTAATAGATCACGTTGAATTGCTTGCTCCAACTGAAGTTTTGATGGACTAACAAAACCTTTGTCTAATAACTGCTTCTCCAGATCGTCTATGCGTTCAGATAAGATTTTGTTACGCATTTCTGCACTCTTGGAAAATATGATATAGGATGATTGGAAAATGCATAAAAATTAAGGATAAATTTGTTGTCTCAATATAGTGTTTAAAGCTTATATAATCACATTGTCGAAAGCTACATTCATGCATAATCTATCGTATAATTCTACCTAATATTAGTTTATCCCTTCTAAAATAATTGGCAATTTCAAGCAAGCGTTGACTATTGTCGCTCAAAACCTTGAAGGCGGTGAAAGTTAGTTGCATTGTATGTAAAGTAGTAATGTTTGGGTTTTACTGTTAATAGATGTATGTAGTATATAAATGAACAATTACCAAAAATTATAGAAAGAAAAGTAATTTGACTGATGAGTTATTAGGTTTCAATGGAGTAGGATACACAGCATTAGGCATGCTGTAAAACTGTATTTAAAAATTAGGAATAGCTTAAAAATTTGTTTGAAGCTGATGAAATCAAGCAGTAACATTACAGCTGTTATTGTAAACTGTGCAAGAGTGTAAGCCCACCTGATTTAGAGGACAGACGTTTCGAGATCCTAGTCGAAGTTAATACGACCGATTATCTATCATCTAAATTCCATGTCTATATATTTTTGGGAATCAATATCATAGTCTAATGTTTGTTCAAGTGGTAATAACGACTAGACTACAGTTCTAACAGAGGCAAAACAGTATACCTAGAGGTTAGAAAAAAACTAGTCAAAAGCAATGAAATATATAATAATTATCTTGTGATATGAAAAATCCAGAGCAAAAAAGTTAATAACGATTAGCCCACTCATCAGTGTATGAGCCACATTCTAAGCGTGATGGCTTGTGATAATACCCGATTTATCTAACTGAATCGGATGAGACAGGGTTCGAAATCGGGATTTAGTAGTTTTGAGGCGAATCCCATAACCAACAAGCAAACGTTCAGTGCCTGACGGGGTAATTTATAGTCTTTTCATATTGATCATACTTATGTCATATAAAAAACAATCAAGATTATTATAAAGAACAAACTAATGAAACGGAGAAAAAAGTAACATAAAAATATGTAAGAAACATATTTTATGTATGTTTTAACCTATGAAACTTTAGGGGATATCGCAATCGTCCTACTGACTGAATACCAGATTTGGAAAAGGGAAGAAATATTTCAAATAATGAGTTCAGTACCTTCAAATAGAATATAAGAGGTAGGCAGTATGATGTGAGGAGCTAAGAAGATGTAGAAACGATAAAGCGAAATTCCGGTAAATGTTTTAAACAGTAAACAATATGAATTATTATAAGGTGTAATGTGGTGTTGTTCCATTCAATTAAAATAAAATCATTTGAAATAGAGTAGATCTATGAATCAGAATTTTTGTCCAATAAGTATTCAACCAACATATTTCTGATCATTTCACTTTTATAATTAAATACTTTATGTCACATACTTATATCAAAGTATATAAGCATGTGAATATTAAGCTAGTTTTAGAAAAAAGACATACTAAAGGTAACTTTCATAAATATATGGGAATTTACAGCATTATTGAACTAATGATAGTTGTTTTAGAGAGAAAAAAATCAACCTACTAAGTCTATTGAAAACCTCGTTTTTTTAGAACTACGAAATAGATCAAGTGAAATATAATTTACATAACAGAACGAGTTTAGATTTAAATGTTGCACGTAACGTGGGAATATGATATTGTGAAAATCTACTTCGATAATAAATACGCTAAATTTCATATAGACTCATGAATCTATTCAATGTCTTCTGTAATTGTCATAATGATGTAACTGATCACGTTTCTGAGATAACTGAAATGGTAAATTATTTTGAGAATCGACCTTAACAACTTAACAGAACAGGTTCGAAACAAATAGTCAATAGTTAACGGACTAAATATATCACGTTGATAGTTGTCATTTGTATACAAAATATCTAACAGCTGTATAGTGAGTAACTATAGGTTACGTGTCAGGAAAAAAGAATGGAAGGATAAGCGAAGATCATCGCATCACTAATGGTTCTTCTCTTCTATTTATCATATCACATTACACTTTATATTCGTTAACTATGTTATATTTATTACCTACTTTATAATTAGACGTGATAGCTCTGTAATGAGCGACTCCTTCATGGAGGTCCTATGTATTTAGCAATTCTTTTCTTTAGTTTAGCTTGCATGATGTGGCTAGTACTTAGTTACTATCTGTTAATCGAGCAATAACTAGTCTTTTGTTGTACTTGAAGAGATTATTATCACAAAAGGGGCCAGTTTTTATGGTTTTTTGTATGGAAAATGAACAAAATAACATGGAATTATTCAGTTTATTTGTTTGAAGGTAGTGAAATTGTAATTTAAGAATTTTACTTGTATGTGTACTGATGGTTCGATTGATATGATAAATTGTGAAATTAACTGGAAAGGTAGAATAGTTAATTTGTTCATGGAAACAATTCTTGAATCCTGTCTAAAATGATTTCAGAAGACTGAATCACAACTCAGCTGACTGAGTAGATATAGATCATATTAAATTTAAGTAACTGCTTACATTTAAATATCCCATAGGAATAGTATAGCTGTGATTTACTTGACATTTAACAAATCAAAAACCAAGAATGCTGATGATAGTTCCAGATCATCTAAAATTTACTCAGATTTATTAGTTGTAACGATGTAAAATTCACATTTCTATCATCCACCTTTCTTAAAAGTTAAAGAACTAGGAAATAGGAAGTATATTCAAATATCATTCCAATAATACAATGCTAATTCAAGACCATAAAAGCAGTCTGATTTTACATAAACACTATCAGTATTGTATTTTATATATGATTTATGAATAAACATAATGTAACGTAATGAAGTTTTAAGAAATTCATTTTATACGGATTCTCTTGATTTTCTTCAGGAGTCTTTAGAAACTTTCTAAAACGAAACATATTTCAAAAAGAAGCTTGACCATGACTAGTTTTTATTATTAAAAATTTAATTGTCGTTATACTTGATAAATAAATAAAACTGCCTGTCTCGTTAATATAAATAAACCTGAGTTACTGTAATACAACAAAAAAGATAGCTAAATTTACAAATCTGAACAAAATTTAGATTAACGACCTTCGAAAACACAGTCTGCTCTAAGTCTAAAAGTCCAAACAACAGAGTCACTGAAACAAATCGATTTGTCTACAACTATCAATTCAACTACTCACCAGTACTCTTAGATATAGCATTTTACCACATAAGCAATAGGATTGATCGCATGAATTGTGCATTATATACTGAGTAGGAAAAATGAATCTAAGGAAAACTAAACCTACACAATATATTTTTACTCAACATCAATCTTCAATTTATGCAAATGGTAATCTTTTGAGAGTGACTATTCTATCAGAAAAATACATTTGGATGAGATCAGAATTTTACTGCCGTGATTTAGAAAGTTATTACCTATCTGATCACGTAATGATCTATGTGTACTCAAGAAGTTTAGTCATTTCAAATACACCAATATTTGACGTTTTCAGTATGAGGGTCTGCGGAGACTGTTGAATGTTAGTAATATCACGAACTGAGGTAGATTAGATAACCGTTGGAAACCAGGAATCACTGAGGAACTATCTCGTCCCAGTATATTTTAGACGTTCGCCACGAGACCTGTAGATCTCCGTTTCAATTCTCTGTGTAGTTGTGGATGATCAGTGGCTGTGTAGTCACATACTAGAACTGATCAGCTGTTCAGTGTTTGTCGGTTTTTATTAGCTGTCTTGAGTAGGTTATTTCATGATCTCTAAAACATTTAACATCATGCTAGTTTATACCCTCTGCACTGAAAAATTGGTAAAGGAGCCTTGACATTCTACTAATGGTTATCAAGATCGAACATCGTTGAGCCTAGCCATAGGGTTTGTTAGTAGTTTTCATACAAAGGAATGTTATAAGGTCCAGTATACAAATCTGCATATAGTTATCAAGGTATGCTAGGAACAATTGTTTGAAACAGTTAACATCAAAAAAGTCACTTCTTTATGACAAATTCCATAGCGTACACGCAATGAAGCTCACTTTTATCAACATGGTGTCTGTATTCATTGACTTTGTCCCAGGCGGCAAGCCTGCTGACATTCTTTGTGCTCTTTGAAATCTTTCAACCTCAGATTGTAATTGTTCTACTTGTTGATGTAGGTCGACACGTTCAGAAATACATGCAATTGACGGCCGACCACCAATTTCCTTTTTATTTTGTTCCATTTTAAGATCATTTGATTCATCAGGTATAGCGCCTGGACCCCATAATTCATTGACTTTCTCTCTTAAATATTCATTTTGTCTTAGGAAATAAAAACATAAAACAAATATTTAAAGATTGATCTAGTGAAGGTTATTCGTTCAGGCATAAGGTATATAAATCTGATCTACTGAATATCAACTATAATACTTTTTTGCACAAACTCGTGATGACAGTAGTTAACAATTAACTGGAGGATAAATAAAGATATCATGATTTAACTAGATTCAAGTAAATCAGTCAACAAAATTCTCCCGTCATTTCGAAAGTGGGTGTCCAAAGAAATCCAAGACACGTCACGTGTCTTTTCTACATGTTTATTTGGTAAGTTCCTTTTGACACCCGTATGAATATAAGGCTTTATACTAGGCTTTAATATTAATACTGACTTGATCATTACTTATTTTAATGAAAAGTTACCGTGGCATCGCTTAGTTAATAAACATAGATAGGGCACTAACATAAAGTGGAATGAGTACTAAAGTTAGGTTTTTATATACTAAGCGAAATGACAATAAGATATAACGCTTCAAAACTCTTCGACTTAATAAATATCTACGTATATGGTCTAATTCAGTCGCAAGTCAAGTGAACAGCATTTAGTGATTAATAACATACATTGTTATGGTTTCCATTTTTAATCCTCAAATGGGATAGTAAAATGTACCTTTTTTAAGCCTTTTTCAAACAAATTCACTAAGAGACATTACACAGATAATAAGCAAAATAAGAAACTACTGTTTGATGTCATATTCTTCAACTGTCGATGAAATAGTAAGACTGTAGACCTATAAATGACATAATTATGTTCAACAAAGACTACGTAATATATCTGTAGAATAACATTACTAAAATTTTAAAATAATATGTATTTTAATGTGATAATGGTGATGTTATTTTGCTCAAAATTTATAAAATCTCTAACGGAAGTTTAATTCTAACTTGTTCGTTCGATCAAGGGCATTCTTTGTTAGACCGAATTGTTTTTGAATGGAAGTCAATTCCGAACATTTTTTGCTTAATTGTTCTTTTAATTTATTTGTCTCAGCTTCCAAACGTTTACGTGCTTCCCATTCATTTGTTAAGCTTGAACGCATAGCAAATGACATTTGTGAGTCCTAACCAGAAAATATTCAAAAAGCATGGAGATATCAATATTGTATCAAAAATATTATGAAGTTAATCAGTATCTTATATGAAAAAGGAAGATATATGTTGACGAACATGCAGACAAAGTGATAAATAAATGTGTGATAAGATCTTTTCATCCTATCCAGATTTCCTTATCTCTTAACTTCCTTGAATACAAATTAAATTTCAAGCATTATCAAAGTCTAATTACCATAAAGTATTTACTGCTTAGCGATACTAGCAGTCTGCACTCAGTGCATGGGTTAATTTAAACTTACTGATTCTGTTAAGCTAATATTAATTTTCATGGGACTGAACTCTTGATAATACCATTTTGGGATTGAACTATAAAAGTACCGGGAATGTTGTCTACCAAACAATATGATCTAATAAGCATCATTAGTTTTCTGATTTAAATAACTCACAAAAGATGAATAGAGTGAAGAAGTATTAGTCTCTGATTAATTTTTTATGATAATAATTATAACCATGATAAAAACCGACGCCGATTAAACGGTGGTGTATCAGATAGTAATATTACGAGTTCAAAAGTATTTATGAAAATAATGACAAGTAACTGATGACATATCTAATAGAGGAAAGTTAATAAGGCAATTATAATGTTCTCAGTTGTTAAATGTTAATACTCATAATAATAATGTAACAAATAAATTGACCTGTTTTTTTATAGAACTGATAGAGTACATAACATCTAAAACAATCGAGGAGACGAAGTAGATAATTCACCAAAGTTACCCAAGAATAAGAGGAGGAATATTACGATTATCTAAGGACAAAATAACGTGAGAACATCTGAAAACTTTGGCAAAAGATGAAGGCGAAACAATGTGAGTTGATGAAAAATAGTTCACTATTCGATTATTCTTTTTTTATCTAGTCGAAAAGGTTTAGTTTGTAAAGAGGTATCTCGTGATAGTTTAAAATCACATAATCTTGTCATTTTAACTAAAATTAGCTTATACCGATAAAAAGATTACAATATGATGTACAACGTTTGTTTTACTGTATCAAGGAAACTAAATGCATAGAAGTTTTAGCTCAGTACTTTTTGCCGATTTGAATAATATTCTCACAGTTAAAATAATAATACGAACCTTTTCATCTCAATGAATTGGACGATTGTCTAAAAATGTAGTTACATACAGTTGCACAATTGAATCTATCATGATTTTAAACTAGGTAATGTCAAATATCTAACCAATCTATGGCGTATATTCATAGTGAAAAAGAGTAATCTAAAAAGGATTACAACATACCTTGTTATTTTTAATTATTTCTTGATATGGTTTTTCTGGTATCATTCGAAGTCTGTTATTTTCTTCTTCAAGTATTCGGTTTTTTCTTATAAGTTCATCAATTTTTTGTTGTGTTGTATTCAACATCTTAAATATTAACCACAGTAGAATTATTAAAGATCTAACTTTTATATTGCTATTAAATACAAATATGTTAATTTTGAATGTAATTTCCGAAGACATCAATCGTCACGAACCTGAAGCCTAAACATGTCTTTTACTTTCAAAGACTATGTTTCACAGCCATACAATAATGCAGAGTTTACTGTTGTGGGAAATACTTTAAAGCTGGTAGGCCGATATCTCAACTATACAACAAGTGACGCAAGTTGGCAAAAGCCAAATGACCTTCCGGAACTTCTATCAAATTTTTTTCAGATATCAACCCGACAGGGCTGAAGAGATCCCCAAATTGTTTGGTATGATCAACCTGTTCAAATAATTCACACTCCATCAATAGTTAGGGATTTGACTCAGATCAGTCTTAAAGCAACATTTCGTAATTTAAAGGTGGTAAAAGCATCCTAAACATGCTTTCATTATTGCTGAAAGTGTTCACAAAACGTTACATTTCGTGAATATCTTAACAAAATAGGATTACTTCGGAAGCTGAAAACCGATGGACATCTGTTACATTCTTCAAAAACAATCATCGCCCCTAATTTTCAAAAGTTCTTAAGCTAATATCAGTTCCTGAGGAAAATCATCTTCATATTACACAAAACATATCTCATATTTCATAAAACATCTGGACTTGTTCATTTCATGAAATAAAAACAACAAATTCCAAGTGATATTATCGGATGTATTGTATGCATTGCCAGAAATATAACTGCATATGACAATAGCCCTGACTGATTACAAATTACGATAAATACACGTTTGATTGCTTTTCCTCCGACCTAAGTGCAGACCAATTTCAACGCCTTAAAGAACATTTACCGATGTACGCAAATCGACGAAACACGGAAGAAAAAGAAATTGTGTAACAAGATCAGTAAACTATAGCTGATTCACACATTTGATTCCATGCTTATCACCCCCCCCGTCCTTTATTTTTATACGTGTAAGTTGATCTTCTTTTGAGGATCAACTTAAAGAGCTATTGTTCTGCTTCGTAATCGTTATTATCTCGGTATGCTAAACAATTTTGTCGTATTTTTGGACGGCTGAACTTATATAAAAGTGTTACACAATGAAACAAAACCAATAACTGTCGTTTTACGAGTCATAATCGAATGGATTAAATATATTACAATCGATAGTTATAACTTATAGGTTACCATTCACCAAAATGAAATTAGTGACAACAGAGTGATTGACAAAAAAATATTACACATGGTTTGGATTTATAGAAGGAATATGTTTCATAATGATTGCATCACGGTATGTTACACCATACTGTTTACTGTGCAAAACAACTGAAAGTTTCTCTTAACAAACTTCTAGTTCATATTCAGAATGTGAGACAAATTCAATGATTGACCACTTTGCCTTCATAGTGGGCAATACGTGTATTGGTGATGTAGCACTTACCAAATTATGCAATTTGACTATCAGTCTTAACATATTTATTGGGACACTTGGTGAAAAAATTTGAGATATTTTAAATTTTGTCCAAACAAACGGTCCAGCCTGTCTAAATGAAAGATAATTAAATTAATTGCATTCTGTAGCCTTGCAATTAATTTATCAGTTATTTATTTATTTATTCAAACACATAAATGTTGGCACAAGGGGGCACCAAATATATATGCGCCACACAAAACAATGAGAATGGGAAGAGAAAAAAGAGGGCAAGGTGCATATAACAAAAAAGAAAAAAAAAAGAACAATAACATACACAGATTAGTGTATGGTAGTGTAATAATAAGAGTAATAATGTGGGGAACAGAAATATACAACCAGAAGATCTCTCTCAGTTAAGAAAGTTATGACCACTCTTTATAAAGAAAGTAAAAAGTTACAACAGGATCGCCACTGGCTTCTATTCTGATAACGTCTCTAGCCACTGTGTTGCATCATCCCTTGGACCCCAGTCAGGGAGTCGTGAAGGACCAACAGAAACCAGCCCCTTACGGCTTTCTTTCACACCACAATACTATGTCATACACTGACCTCCTCTCCGCTTTTTCCAACCAGTCCCAGAGTCGGCAAATAATGCACGACGAGGAATTCTCTGGGACGACGTTCGTAGAACATGTCCAAGCCACCGAAGTCGGTGTTTCAAGTTGGTGACACCAATTGAATTACCGTCTCTGCGCCCGAACACACGATGCCGAACCCCATTACCCATTACTACCCCATTACATTACTAACATGCTGTTGCCACTGGATGTCAGCAATCCTTCGGAGACAACGATGATCAAACACAGAGAGACGTCTAACATCCTCAACTCGGAGAGGCCAGGTTTCACAAGCATAGAGCAAAACTGCTCTCACCGAAGCGTTGTAAATTCGACCTTTTGCAGCCAGACTAACATCACGAAGGCGCCAAAGATGGTCCAGATTGGCTTTAGCCGCTCTGGCTCTCACTATACATGAATCGATCTCATCACTTACGCCACCACCAGCACTTATGCAGCTACCTAGATACACGAACTTCTCTACTACTTCAATCTGCTCACCGTCCAGGGTGAGTACAGGATGAGAATCCTGCCAGTCTTGTAGGAGTACTTTGCACTTCGAAGGTGCAAAGCACATACCGTACCTATGGACACTGATTGCTTATTGAATAAGTGCGGATTGCATGCCTTGGGCATTATCGCACAGTAAGACAATATCATCCGCATACTCAAGGTCGAGAAGTCGTTCTCAGATCCACACCGCCATCACTTACATCCATCAGAGCTGTTTCCAGAATGTCATGGATGGCAAAGTTGAGGAGGAATGGTGAGATCGGGCAGCCCTGCCTAACCACACTGCTTGAATAGAACAATGGAGAAAAATGGTTGTATTCCCTCACTCTGCCTGGGGTGTTCGTGTACAAGGCCTTCAAGATGTTAATAAACTTCCCAGACACACCCTTCTTCAATAGACAATCCCAGAGAACAGTCCTGTCCAACGAATCGAAGGCAGCCCTGATATCAAGAAACACTACGATTGCTGGCCTGCGATAAGTATGGCGGTGTTCTAACATTTGGCGGAGGGTGAAGATGCGATCAATGCATCCTCGACCAGAACGAAAATCAGCCTGCTCCTCACGAGTTAATCTTTCTCGGGTTTTAAACAACCTACGAAGAATGACAGAAGCCAATAGTTTGGACGCAATCGGAAATAGGCTTATCCCCCGATAGTTATTACAGGAACGACGTGAGCCGCTCTTAAAGATAGGAACAACTATCGACTCATTCCATGATGTTGGAACACTTTCTTGCTCCCAGACCTTTGTAAACAACTCAGTCAATTCCTTAGTCAGAAAGTCACCGCCATCTTTAACAAGAGCCGGAGGTAAGTCATCTGGGACAAGCGATTTGTAACGTTTCAAGAATTGGAGTTCCTTGCGGACTTCCGCCTCGTTTGGTGGATCGGTCGTCACCGGCCATGAGGGGCAGGACAAACTGGTTGATGTTGCCAGAGCAGCAGGCCAGTTGAACTGCCCTTCAAAGAATTCTGACCTACGTTCAAGACGTCGAGAGATGTTAGTGATCAGAAGATAAAAATTACAAGCTGGTGCTTCGGCAGTCAATCACCTTTTTGAATTTTTATTTCATGATTCGCTTTTACAGATTTAGGTAGAATAACAGACTCTATAGGATTCACGCTAACTGGTGAAACAACTGTTTCATCAATAGTTCCGCTTTCATTCACTTCTCGGAATGGTGTTGCACTCTGATTAGGATGCATTGAATTGGTGGCTAGAACAGCCTGCTCCGTTTGTGTCACAAGATTATGACGTAGTTCTCCTAGCGCCTTAGACAAAGCCTTTGAAAATGTGAAAATCACATTTTTAGTAAACAAATCATACTACTTGTCAGTAGTTAAAAAACGGGAAAAACAATAAATACTCAAAATTGCTGTTAGTCTTATAATTAATTAAAAATTCATGTGATTGTGTAATATTTCATCACGATACGAGGGCTTTCTGAAATCCAATATACAGATTAACATATTTTTCATTCTTAGTCTGCAGGAATTACTAGTAAAACGGCTAAGTTATTTGACATACATCTGCGGTCACATTAAAAACAATGTTATTTATTCAGAAATATAATTTATTGCTGTACGGGTTTGTGAAGATCGTCGAATCCTCAAAGTTTACATCACGGACTGAGTTTGGCTCGATATTCATTCAAAATCTGAATGTAGTACACAGTTTACTGTCATAGTACCAGACGTTTCAGAAGTGTTCGTACACTGCTCTCGGGGATCAAAGTCAGGATCTTCTGATCTCGTGAAGACCGCTTGACCACTAGACAACTGAGCCAGCGTGCACCTGCATAACTTCCAGAGATTCGCAACATTGTGCGACCTCTAAGGAGTCTCATGTTTAAGAAAGATGGGTGTCCAATACTTCCTGGTTTTCAGTGGTTTATAAACTAAGCTCAGTCAGTGGTGTAAACTGTGAAAATGTAATTTACTTAAAATACCATGAACAGTACTCTCTTAACACAATAATGTGAAATATGATGAAGGTTATCATAATACTTCAGATTTATTTTTATGAAGTTTGCTCTTCAGATAATTTGAACGACACAATCAAAATCTATCCAGTTTGATATGAGCTCAGTATCACATAATAGTCATCATACCTTATTAGTTGGTTTAAATACTAGTGATATTTTAAAGAAATAATGACGGGCAATTTGTGTATTTGTTTGTTGATGAGATTCAGATACGGGGAATTCACTATATAAATGTATTTAAAGTTTATTGAATTTATAGTATACGCTAAAACTTCCTTATGCTTAGTTACAGATAAAAATTAAATCATGAGTAATTGGAAGTTCTCTGGGAAGTGATTATGAAATACAGTGTGTAGATTTCAAGTATAATAAATTGAGACCAAAGGATCATGATTCGTAACGCTAGCAAGTCCAAAAAATCCAAGTATCTTTAAGAATGAAGTTGTAGGAGTGGGTAAATAATTAAGTATGTAGCGAGTATTAGACTGCCGTTCAGTTATTATAGGTCTTCCATGGTTCGGTCCTTGAAATTATTTCTGATGGAAGTTAGGAAATAATCTTTCCTTTCCAGCCACGTTATGAATGTTATTGTTAGTGGGACATAGATTGGATTCAGCATGTTTTATGCATGATGGTGTTGCTGCGCGCTGATTGGTTAATTTTAAACCGATCATCCCGGGCATATTATTGCTGAAAAATCTATAAGCTTCTTATGCATATACTATAAATATATGAACGATATTTAAACTATTGAATGCTGATTGCTGTTCACATACCATTATTATTTTGAATACAATTTCATTCCTGTTCAACGTGTTCTGATTTTGGGGTCTTGTCGAGTGTCATCGTATAAGAATACTAAGCAATAGGAATAGCTGGGTCGTTTATATAGCAAAAAATACAATTATAACAGTGGCGACGGGGAAAAAGGAAAATTCATTCAAAATGCCTATATCAGAAGACCAGCTCAGCCGAATACTACAGCAACAGCAAGCACAACTTGACGCACAAATGCGCCTGTTAGAAACTCTGACGCAACAGCTTAACATACACTGCTCGAGTTCACATGCTACTACAAGTACTTCTTCTTGTGATGCAGTTGCCAGCAGCATCCCAGAATTCTATTATGACCCCGAATGTGGCAATATATTTCTCACGTGGTTCAAGCGTTGGGAAGACACATTTAGAATAGAGTTCTGTAATCAAGACGACGCATGGAAGACTCGACTGTTGATGCCCAAGTTGGGAAGTCATGAACATGCACGCTATGCTGATCGTATATTGCCAAAGTTACCTCGAGAGCTCAGTTTCGAGAAGACAGTAACGCAGTTGTCAGAGATATTTGGCGAATATTCCTCATTGTTTAGTATTCGATATCAGTGTCTGAATTTGGTGAAACGAGAAGCTGATGAATATGGTGTTCTAGCAGACATCGTCAACAGAGAATGTGAAAAGTTCAAGTTACGCTCGTTGACAGAAGACCAATTTAAATGCCTTATATTCATCAAAGCTCTCCAGTCACCACAAGATGCTGAGATTAGAACCAGACTTCTAACTCGTTTGGATCAAGATCCTAACATCACACTCAGAACGTTAACAGATGAATGTAAGCGGCTACAGAACATCAGACACGACAATCAGTTGATTGAACAGGTAAATCCTAATTTAACCCGCAATAGTGTCAATGCTATTACGAGGTTAAAAGTTCAGGAACCGAAAACAAGTGGTAGCAAACCAACGACTGCATGTTGGTTATGTGGTGATTGGCATTATGTACGATTCTGCCCATTCAAGAAACATAAATGTCAGATGTGTAACAAACGTGGGCATAAAGAAGGTCATTGTCCTCCAAATCGTACGTCCCAGCCTAAGCAGAAGCACAAACGTCCTCGACACATAAAGTCAGCCGAATCTAAATCACTTTCTCTGGTAGCAGCCTTTCAAACAGACTATGACATTCGGAGAAAGTATGTTACGATCCAGATTAATGGTATAGCGGTTCGTCTCCAAATTGACACAGCATCCGATATCACCCTAGTGTCTAGAGAAACGTTTAACCTGCTTGGGAAACCACCAATGAAGCCATCCAAGAAGACGGCCAAAAACGTATCTGGAGGTGTACTGAAACTAGTTGGTGAATTACAATGTGAATTTTCCTTCAATGGAAATTGCTGTAAAGCAGTATGCTATCTAACAAAACGACCAAACCTTGATCTACTTGGTCTAGATATGTTAGAAAAGCTTGGATTAACGGATATACTCATCAACAGCGTTTGTAACGTGTCGTGTCCATCATTAGACACCACCTCATATGCAAAAAAGACAAGTAAAAAGGTTCCAGAAATACGGAGTGTAGTACCAGCAACAATTCAAAACACTCCAGTGTCGTCAGATGAAGTCAGAAAAGACTTTTCAGAATTTTGTCAGCAGAATGGAATCAGGCACATCCGAACACCTCCATTCCATCCGCAATCGAATGGCCAGGTAGAACGTTTTGTTGGTACGTTCAAAAATGCTCTAAAAAATCAAGAGGGGAGGGGGACACCGAAGAGATCTTAGAGAGGTTCTTGTTTATACACCGTTCGACACCGAACCCTCAGACAACAAATGGAGTCTCCCCAGCGGAAGCGTTACTTGGCAGAAAAATACGTACACATTTTGACAGCATTCATCCGACTACAGCTCTTAAGCCGCAACGAAACGTGATGATGGAGAAACAGTACAATAGTCATCATGGGGCACAAAAACGATTGTTCAGTGTGGGTCAAAAGGTACTTGCTATGGACTATCGAGGAAAACATCCTACATGGATAGCTGGTCGGATCGTGCATAAGAAAGGAAATGTGGTTTATGAGGTGTCCGTTGGTTCGGAAGTCTGGGTGCGTCATGCTAACCAACTGAAATCAACCTCGATCTCCAACAACGAAACGCAGCATAGATTACCTCTTGATGTTCTGCTAGACACCTTTGAGATCAATACACCTGAAATAGACAGGACAGTCAAGGTGAAAACGAAGGATGATACAACGTCCTTATTACCTAGAAGATGGACTAACCGGAAGCACAAACCAGTAAAGCGGTTGCAGTTGGACCCTAACACCAGATCCTACGAATCTGCTCAAGGGGGAGGTGTTAGTGGGATATAGATTGGATTCAGCATGTTTTATGCATGATGGTGTTGCTGCGCGCTGATTGGTTAATTTTAAACCGATCATCCCGGGCATATTATTGCTGAAAAATCTATAAGCTTCTTATGCATATACTATAAATATATGAACGATATTTAAACTATTGAATGCTGATTGCTGTTCACATACCATTATTATTTTGAATACAATTTCATTCCTGTTCAACGTGTTCTGATTTTGGGGTCTTGTCGAGTGTCATCGTATAAGAATACTAAGCAATAGGAATAGCTGGGTCGTTTATATAGCAAAAAATACAATTATAACAGTTATGAACCAATTAATTCCTCTTACTCGGATTTGTTTATCTTTTTCTAGTAGATCTGTTCGTAATCGTTCAGTTAGTTGACGTTGCATCACTGATGGTGATTTATTTGCTTCAGCTTTCCAGCGTTTAACTTCATTACTGTATTCATTTAATTTTACATTACTTTTATCTAGTTCCTTTTGCAACTGTTCCACTTGTGATGTTAGCTTCATTATTTCTTCCCTAAAATGAAGGAAAAAAGTACTGAGTTGTAAAGGAATAATTTTTAAAAAATGGCAGAAATACAATGAGTCATCAAACAAAATGAAGACACTTTAGTCAAGAAAATTTTCTATCTCGGTGACAAAAAATCATTTTTTACAATGAAAATTCATAAATTGTTAGGAGTATCTGTCAGCGATATTACTATAAACAGTGAAATAGAACTATTTGTTAGCAGATTATTCAGGAGCATCAGTTTTATTGCGTCGGGAGTTGAGGAGTCTTTTAGACAACCTACAAATCGATTGTAAACATCCACCAGTACTTTTCTTGGATCAAACATACCATTAGATTGAAAGAAGACTATCCTCATTTCAAATGTTTCTTTTCATCTCATTCCTGTAGAACGCAGTGATTTATTAACTATTTTATCATGTAATATTCCTTCAGTCGATTTTTATTATACTGATTAATCATTGACAAGGTAATCTCTAAAACTCTTCATTGTTCTATATTAAATGATCCGGCATCGTTTAAATTATTATTCAATCGACATCAGTTATTGAGTAAACTTTATGAAACTTGTATTACATTACAATATAGCTAAATGTGGAAAATTATTACCTATGCAAATTCTCCATATTCGCTTTCATAGCTTCAGTTTTTGTTTCAAGTTGGTGATATTTCAATTGCCACAAATCACATTCTTGTTGCATGATTTTTGTTTGTTCAGCCTGACGAGATACAGCTTGATTTTGTTCGTTTAATGAATCCTCTAATTCATATAAACGTTTCTTCAATTCAATCAAGTGTATATTCGATATTTCATTTCTGCCAACAGACTCAACATTTTGAGCTAATTGTAATAACTGTTCCTCCATTTTGTTTTGTAGCTGCATGGATAATTTATTCGTAAATAAATAAATCAAAACTAAGTTGATTCAGTTTTACAAGAAGCAAAAGAATCTACGGTTAAACAAAATGAATTAAGTTTAGGGCCAATCTGAAATCACTTATCGTATACTTTAACAAAACAATGAGTCAAATTATGAATATTTTCTTTACTTGTAAGACAACCATATATAATGACAATCGGTTGGAAACTAAAATGAAACAGTTCTTTATTGGATTCTGGTTTTTGACGGTTATCTAGCTGAAATTTAACCGATGATTTACATTACGATAGTGAGTTATATATATATATATATATTGTCAGTAAACTACCTGTTCAGTCATATAGATTGTTTGATACTGTCTGCAGGATATTATGAACAGATCATTTCTTCAAGATCGGTCGTTACTGAAATTGATTTCTGTTGATAAGCGTTGTTTCTATGTTATCCTTAATAAACCAACGCCAAAATTTATAGGTGAAAGGATAACGCTTAGATTGATACAAATGATCTTTAAATAAGAGCTTATTAGGTAATAAACATCAGTTATACTTACCGTAAGTAGAATAAAAACTATTGATTGAATTTTTTTCTTAATAAACTTACTTTATTTTGCAAAATAGCAATTTCTTGATTATGTCTGTCATTCGATTTTTCGTTAGCCTCATAAGCTTGCCTAAGTAGCTCATTAACTCTTGCAAGACTTTCATCTTTTCCATTCAATCGACGTTGCAACAATTCCATATTAGCTCGTAAACCAGCTAATGTAGATTGAATATCTGAATTTTGTGTAGTAGAAGAATTATTAATAACATTTTGTAATTTGATATCTTGCAGACGTAAAAGTTGTAACAGTTCGGTTAACCGCTAAAATTCCATTTCAAAATTAAGATATAACAAGACAGAATATAACAATGAAAATGTAATTATCAGATTAATTTTTTTAAGTATCACAACATCAAATAATTCAAAATATTAGTATGCACTAGTTAAGTAGATTGTGTTGAAACTTCTTTAATCTTCAATCTAGTAAGCATTAACATTATTGACAATGTTAGGTATTCATGTTCAATACCTTGATGCTTTAAACATGCAGTCAGTGTGAACGAAAACATTACTTAAAATAGATGAAGAGTAGAAAATTTTGAACAAACAGTCAAGTTAGTGTGCCGTCATTATTTTCTATGTATGGCGTGAAAACATGATCGAATCAGATTTTACGGTTATACTCACTTCATTCAAACGATTTGTTAACTATCTTTTGTATTTTCGTCATTCAGTTAGATTATGTGCTCATGAAACACATTTGAGATTTGAGTCACTCAAGTATCACAGACTTTACTTCAAAATGCCACTCCTAGAATTCATTTTAAATGAAGGATACTATCACTGATTTAAAAATATCAGGTGAGTGATCTCCTTATACCACCAATGCAAAGAAAAACCATAGGATTAATAAAAGCAATTTTTAATTGTAGTCATAAATGTGTGAATAGTCTGTCTGAATAATAAATGATCTCAAATGCTAGAAACATCCAAATTTGACTATTTTGCTTTCAAATGACCACGATTGTCTGACTGTTGTATGTACGTAAACATCAGTTACATTTAACTTTTACTAACCAAAAATTAAATAAATCCTGTTTGTATTGTTTCATATTGCTCTGAATTCTCAAATGTTCAACTTAACTACTATGCCAAACTATGCCAAAGTATAAACAATTGTTTGAAATTTACTGGGCAGAACCAAAGTTATGGGGTTCTAGACGTCTTATCAAATAATAATCTAATAAGATAAAACTTGAAAAATATAAAATATGAGACGGTATGACAGTAGAAAAACCATAAATGTCTTTAAATAAATAAATTACTTTTCTAAGTGCGATGTTTTCATTTTTCAGTTTATTCATTGTTTGATGGTTACAGTTTAGAACTGATTCTTCTACACACGTAGACAACGGTTGTTCACTATTTAGTGGTACAGATTTGGAAACTTCATTGAGGCTATCTTTGCTATCGACTTGGTTACAAACAGTCTCAATATCTTCATCCGTAAGTAAATTAGGTATGGATTTTAGTTCATCCATATTTTCTGTGGTAATATACTGAAAAAAATTATAATAAGAAAAGGCAACAATGTGACTTGCGAAATAATGATACTAAACTAATAAAGTTTACTGATTACACAAAATGTCAACAAGCCATAGAAATTTAGATTAGTATGGTGTAAGTTCCGTTTGAGCTCAGATACTTGATTTATTTATCATCTAAATAAAACTCTTTGTAACCCGTTCATTAAGTACAAATCTACGTACCTGGTATTATGGTATATGCTTGTGTGACGGTATGTTATACTGTCCAACTACACAGGCCTAAGTAAACACTGCTAAGTTCTAACCATATACCTAACTACCAACCTAGATTATTACAACCAGATTACGAGTGAGTTTAAAGATTCGAAGTTTTTTTTAGAAATGCGTCTAAAAATTAGAATGCTCTAAGTCAGTAATTTATTTTATTTATCGGGCTATACACAGAGTAAATACGAATATGAACGACAGTTTTGTTTTACGTTTAATATACTTTGAATATCTACCAGTGAAGATAAAAGAAGCTGCTCTTGTTGAAGATGGCAAGCACATTTGCCAACTTTCTTCAGATGTAGGTAATGAGCAGTTGCTATTCTTTACCACTAACCTATTGGTTTATTTTATTGTGAAAGAAGTCACTTATATTAAAGATAAGCGAACCGTACACGTTGAAAATTATTGGCAAGAAAGTAAGGAAGAATGTAGGGAGATTAACGAAAATGAAGCAACATTGGACGAAACACAGATTGCTAAACGCTACTATAAGACGAAACGGTAGACTTAATAAACAGTGATAGTGAAAACGAAAGACAACCAAACAACAGGCACACGAAGGAAGAGAGAAGGAACAGATACGGAGAAGTATGAAGTCCAGAATCCAATGTGATCCAGTTTTGACCTAGTTCTAGCTTTGGTATTTATTAAGGTTCCCAGATCTACTACTGAAACAATTTGAAGAATGACTGATACGCCACGTGACTTCTTTCTTTTTAAAATGCTCAGTGATACTTATTTTATATTACATTTAAAAACAAGTAATATTTAAGCAATCAACTATTTTCAATAACTATATCTTCAGGTTGTATGGTTATCAGCCCATAATCCTTATATACTGATGGCTAATTTAGAGACACGCAAGTTATGATTGTATGAGTCTAGTTTTTCATATAAGATTATGGTTTTTGTGATGACTCCCGCTTAAATACTTGGAAAGGGTGTCGTCAGTAAACTTAACACAACATATAACATATATGAAAATGTATTGTAGTGCGGTTACTTTGATTCATTAAAGGGAAATCATGCTAAAATAATAGGAGAAATACTGCGTCAGTGTAACTGAAATGAAAGTAGTACTACTGTGGTTTATGTTCGTGTTTTGCACGCACCCTATCATTACTAAAATATTTACTCTCTCTTCCCTTTATGAACCCCTGACACTTGTCGTCTGACAACATTAAAAATTTAAAATGTGAAATAGTTGGTTATTATTATTTTATAATGAATACAAAAGACAATAGTTTCTAAAATAATTATGCTACTTAGACTAATTAGGTATAATTGTAATAATCGAGGCAGTAAGAGCTTATATTCAGTTTGAAACGCAACCATCATAGGAAGTATGAGTATTCAATGCAGAATATTTCAAAGGATGGAGAAGGTATAAGTAGATATAAAGTGGATAGGGGGGAGGGTGCACCTTCTAGCTATATAGGTTTGTGAAGCCAGTTGGCTTATCTGGAGAGAGAGTAACATTTAGTTTGCAAATAAAGCAGTAAAGAATTCGATTTCAAAAGTGTTCATACCGTTATTTCAGTTGAAAACTACTTATGTGATTGGTTTAGTGTAATTTATGGTTTATTTCTAATAAAGACAAACATGATAGTCGAACCCATAAAACAGTCACTGGTTAGCCAGTAAAATTCAATAAAAACAATTTGGTTTACTCAATGACGGTTTAACCGAATTCACAACTATCTTTTTAAAAACCAAGATTTATCTAATTCTGTGATATAATTATTTCAAACATATTCATAAATTACTGCAGTTATTTGATTTGCACCACAGAATAACATTTACCAATGTGATTTTGTTTTTCAGTCGGTTGTCATTCTGATTACCTTGGACAGGTTATTAAGTAGATTCCTATGGATATAATGATCATAAAGGAATCAGTTTCCTACTTTGTACAACCTTAAACCTAAGTTTTTCATAAAATCAAATCCATCTAATTCGCTTATAAAATGAATATTTTTGTTATTTAGTGGACCGTTTGTGAGTTGTAACCATATGATTAATATTAAAATATTTTACAAAGTTAAAAATATAAGTACTGCAGAATATAAGAACATTATTTGACTACATACTTCAGATATAGTGTTTTTCTCAATAACACTTTCTAATTCAGCTTCACGTTGTTCCCATTGGGTTTCACGTTGATCTAATTCTTTAACTAGACGTGAATTTTCTAATTGTAACTCATCTAGCTGTTTTTCTTGATTTTGTACAAATGATTCCAAGTGACGTACTTGTTCCTTTAACCGTTCAACCTATTGAAAAAATGAAAAGAAGTCAAAATATCTCGGGTTTAAAATGCTAGCAATAATTAAAATGAAAGTAGACATAAGTATTCAATTTCTCAGTCGTTATTAGGTTGGTTTACCATTGCAGTAGGTTTGTGATATGATTACTTTAATCTCTAAACACGTTGTAATGTATAAGTAGCAGTGAAATGGTAAAATTGTAATTTTCTATGTTGTAGCCAGATTTTAATTAGTTAACGTTTATTTTGCCATAGCAACATTACTTTTTTCATGAAAGATACACCTAAGAATATTTATAAACAAATTTTCTGGCGAAAAATTATTTTTTTGATCCACTCAGTTAAGAATAGGACAAATCCTACAAAAAAACATCAGATACTGCTTATTCGGTACTTTGTGTTCTAATACTAACCTGTATTTAGAGAGTATGTTATGGAGCGAAACTGCTTAAGGATTGAATTTGACACTTGCAATAAATCTCTTTATGGTGCTGATCATTTTAGCCTAGTTAAGATGTGCTCAAACCTGAACAATCTACATTTTTTGATGACATATGTATTATTTTTAGCGTAATTCAGAAAGTAAAAGATATAGTACATGGAGACCCTCGATTTCTGGATAAATATATGCATAATTTGTTCACAATGCTTAACAAAAATGAAATTGAAGTATTATATTTAGAATGGAATCCCACGTCCCGGATAACAGAGTCAACAAAATAAATATGCAAACACAGTCTAAAAATCCAAACCATAAAGCTACTAATTTGAAGCTTATTGATGAGCATGAAAATAGTTGGTTTGAAGCCAAGCTAGTTCAACTGCAAATAAGTATCTAATTTTCACCATTTCCACATTCAAAGATATTGACTAAGAAACATAAGTCAGCACTGAAGAATGTACAAAAGAATGATGGGATTTTTGTATTAAAACTAGAAAAGTTTCAGATGTCTTCAAAATGAGCCGAAATGACTACATGTGGAAGATGTTCCAAGTTCTAAACGAAGAGTAGAGATTTCAAGATGGCTCATCAGAAATTTCATGCAATTAGTTTCCGATATGAATTTGAAAAAAGCCAGAACAAACATTCATGCAGAATAATGTGAATTCATAATATTTCGTGATTTCTCATCAGCTGCTTACAACCATATATGTAATGAAAGTTAACATTGAGGTAAGATATAATGTGAAACAATTGACATAGATGAACGAAAAGAATTAGAATGACAAAGGCTATTTTAAATATAATAGGTGGATGATACATTACCTCAATCGTGAACTTTCAATGCATATATGGTTGTAAGCAACTGATGAGAAACCACTAAATATAGTGAATTCATGTTATTCTATACCAGTGTTCTGGCCTCATTCATTTCAAGATGACATATTTAAGCGAAATTTCTCTGTAGGGATTGGAATTAGAATTAAACATCTTAAACAACTTCTGACCAAGAAGGTGGTTGATGGTTCAACTAATAATTAACTCAAGGCAACAGGAACACGACTGTTTTCCATGTGTGATTTTCCTGAAGTCCTCAAACCAAATATCTTCAACTTGTAATGTCAATAATGATTTCACCGTATCATAACGATTGGGCAGTCGAGAAAACTATATTTGGAAAAGAAACATGAACGGGAGCAACAATCTGATTGTTATAGTTTCGTCTTGTTAGCCACAAAATTTGTCTAGTTAAAACCATTTTTATTTGGGCTAAAAGGGTCTGCTTAACCGACAAAATACAGGAAGAAATAGCATGTATTAAAGAGTGTCTTTTAAAAAACAAATATCCAAAGAAATCTCCTACGATGTACAGAAAAGTGATTATGGAAAGTCCTAAACAGAAAACCTATACTCATTCAAAGGGGCGGAGATTTCAGGCAGGATTGATAAAAGTTTTAATTTAGCGTTAAAGAGAATCTTACCTGAAACCCAACTGTTTTAGATTTATAACACCCGATGTTTCTTAAAACAATCAAAGGTTCCACTGACATTCATTCAAGATGTTAACTCGAATTTTCGGTCAACTAGTTGTTTTGTTCATTTGTCTCTATTCATCATCTGTTGGTTATCATCTATAACTTCACTCCCTTCTTTTTATGATTTCATCCTGAATGCATAAATACTAATCAATCCTACCCATCTTGAGAAATATCCAGTTTCCTCTTCTTGTTTCTTATGCCTTTTTGAACTTCGCTGATTCTCTTATGATAATATTACTGATGTAAATTTAGGTCGTTTGTGGCTGATGAGAAACCTTGAAATATAATGAATGAATCTTATTCTGCGAATCATACTCTTCTCCTCTTATTTAAATACTAAAACTAAAACGCAACTTAGTTTTGATTAAACATGGGGATAACCATTTAACATTGTTGAAAGCGTGAGTCAATTGAAGCTAGACCATCAATTGACTCACGCTTTCAACAATGATAAATACTAAATCTCCACAAAACCCCTTCTATAATTAATATAACCATTTAAGTTTAAGATATAAAGATATGACTTAATTCGAACCAGTGACCAGGACGTTGCTGGAAATCTCTAAGCTCTGCAAGAGCCATCAGATATCTTACAATGTGTTATAATTCAGGTGAAGGATTTCCGAAAATATTTCAACACATAGATTGAGTTTGTCGGGAATCTATATCTACTGAAGTACCTCAGAAACTAGGGTCAATGAATAACTGACTATTCTCAGTTGGATACTACTCCGAAACAGTCTGTATCAAGTGCACTTTAATGGTTTTTCTGAAAATGCATCCCAAAGTTGTTTATAAGTAAGTACACTATTTTAATATGAATGGTTTGTGACGATTTTTCCGAACTGAAGAGTGTTTCTATCACTGACTTCCCTTTTTTGATCTGAAAAGATTTGTTTTCTGAGTAAACATACTGTGTAGTCAATCAATTTTTCAGTAAATCAGTAGATAAGTTAATAAATGATATTGTTCGAACAGAATTTAATACCAAAAAAATATTACAAACCTGACGACGTTGTGTTGATTCTGAGACTCGTAAATCACTTAATCGTTCTTGCCAATCTAATAATTTTTTTTCCAAGTTTTTATTAATGTCATGATTTTTATGTTCTTCATTATACTCTTTTAAGATATCCTGAATATCAGATGTCAACTTTCTTCTTTCTTCGTAACCTTCAATAATAGATTCAGTTTTGATTTTATCATTTAAAGCTTCATCAAGAGCCAACTGCTTAGATATACATTGACGAAGTGCCTCAGTTAAACGAAGGGATAATTTTTCTTGTTGTTTGAGTGGAATGCAACCTGCATATCTTTGACGAAGTGTCTACAAGAATGAAGGTAAACCGAATTTTGGAAAAACGGTTAAGATCGCTCCAAGGAATGTTGTAGTATGATACACTAAAAATCATCACATAAATTGAACATTATTTGAAAATAATGGTAAATCACCGTTCCAGGATGACTATAGATCATGTTTTTGGTCTGACATCCAAATTCGATCACACTTGTTTCTTTCATGTTCATACAGATTTGTACCCAGGCAACATTTGGATTAGTAATGAAAACTAGAAGACCAGGTGATTTATATCACAGAGTTAGTGCTGTCCATAAAGTCATCACTTACGAGATATCAAAAAGGGTGTACGTTTCATTCTGATGAATCCTTCACACAAAAATACCTTAATTTAAAGTAGGTATTGTCATGTACTGAAAATATAGACAGACAACCGAGTTCATGTAAAATTGATATAAAAATTTTAATGGTTTCTTTCCATTCATTAGTAAGATGCGCATCAAAAGCAAAATCATGAGGAATTAATGCCGAAGTGTCAGCTAAAATTGTTGAAGGTCCGGTGAACACAGTGACGAGGGAAATGTATTTCATGAAATCTCAATAGCTGATATAACTCTAAGTAGCATCAAAAAATGTTAATGTAAAAAACCTCTGGAATCCAATAAATGATATTTAACGCCCTAAAGTGTTGACACATATCTTTGAAAAATAAAGAGCACTTGATGAGCACTGTCACTATTATTTCATATTTAAAACAGTGTTACGCGATAAACAACTCCGCCTGTAGCTCTTCTAGAGTTACTGCCGGTCTCAAGACCGGGTAAAGGAGGAGGGTTGGGTATTGGGTCAAAGACCCCATCCCATAGAAGCAAATCTTGCTAAAAAATCTCCAACCAGATTAAACAAATTAAGCCATTAAAACTCTACCCTGGGAGTTGAAGGAAGAATTATGACGCCTCAGAATGAAAGCCGACATTCTCTGGAAGTCAGAAGGCCGATGCCCCTTCTAACAACCAGAGCAACAATTTTTATATATACATGGAACGTCCGGACAATGCGGGAGACCGGGAAAACCAGTCAAACAGCAATGGAAATGAGATACAAAGTAGCAGCACTTGGAATCAGCGAAACACATTGGACACAAGCTGGACAGCAAAGGCTAAATACGGGAGAGATGCTACTGTACTCTGGTCACGAAGAGGAAAATGCTTCACACACCCAGAGGGTTGCTCTGATGCTGTCCAAACAAGCACGAAATGCACTTGTAGGGTAGGAATCTCACGGATCCAGAATTATCAAAGCATCATTCAAAACAAAGAAGGAGAGGATCATAATGAGTGTTATCCAACGTTGTGCACCCACCAATGATAACAACGATGACGATAAAGATCAGTTCTATGAAAGGCTGCAATCAAACACAGCCAAGTGCCCAAGAAAGGAACTCACCATCCTGATGGGAGATCCAAATGTTAAAGTCGGAGTGGACAACACAAGATATGAAGATATAATGGGACGACATGGACTAGGAGAGAGAAATGAAAATGGGAAGAGATTTGAAAATCTATGTCCATTCAACAAATTCAATATAGGCGGCACAATATTTCCACACAAACGCATACACAAAGTTACATGGATCTTACAGGAACACACCACTGAGAACCAGATAGATCATATTTGTATCAACAAAAAATTTCGAAGGATAATGGAGGGTGTGAGGACCAAGAGCGGAGCTGACATAGTTTCAGATCACCACCTGGTTGTGACCAAGATAAAATTGAAGCTAAAGAAACACTGGAGAACTTGAGGAACAGCATTACAAAAGACATCAAAACAACACACACAAACCTTCCTATAGAAGTCACTCTATCAACAATCGAAGAAATCAGTATGTTCATAAGAAAAATGGAGAGTGGGGAAGCAGCAGGACCTGACAATATGCCACTGAACCACTGAAGTCGGACAGAGAAGTAACTGCGAACATGCTCCATGTTCTATTCAGGAAGGTTTGTGAGGAAGAACAAGTTCCACTGACAGAGTGGAAAGAAGGATAGCTCATGAAGATACCAAAGAAAGGAGATCTGAGCAAATGTGAGAATTACAGAGGCATCACACTGTTGTCAGTACCAGGAAAAGTTTTCAACAGAGTGTGGCTGGACCGGATGGAAGATTCACTAGACGTCCAACCTTGAGATCAACAGGCTGGATTCCGTAAGGATCGGTCGTGTACAGACCAAGTCACAACACTAAGGATCATCATTCAACAATCGATTGGATGGAACTCGACACTATGCAACAACTTCATTGACTATGAGAAGGCGTATTACAGTGTGAACAGAAGAACATCTCAGGAAACTCCCTCAACACCATGGAGTTCCTGAGATTTTCAACTTTATCCAGAACTCATGCGACGGACTACGGTGTGAAGTCGTACATGGAGGACAGCTGACAGATGCATTCCAAGTAAGGACCGGTGTCAGACAAGGCTCCTCCTTTCTATTTCTTCTGGTGATTGACTGGATTATGAAGACTTCGACATCTGAGGGGAAGCACAGGATAAAGTGGACATCTCTGAATCAGTTAGACGATTTGGACTTCGCAGATGATCTAGCCCCCCTATCTCATACACACGAACAAATACAGACTAAGACAACTAATGTAGTAGCAGTCTCTGCATCAATAGGCCTCAACATACACAAAGGAAAAAGCAAGGTCCTCAAATACAACACGGAGAACACCAACCCAATCACACTTGATGGAGAAACTCTGGAAGAGGTGGAAACATTCACGTACCCCGGAAACATCACCGACGAACAAGGAGGATTCGATGCAGATGCGAAGGTGAGGGTTGGCAAACCAAGGACAGCATTCGTACAATTGAGGAGCATATGGAACTCAAACCACCGTCAACCAAAATCAAAGTCACAATCTTCAATACGAACGTCAAGACAGTCCTACCGCATGAAGATAAAACGTGGAGAAGTACTACATCCATCGTCAGGAAGATACAAGCATTTATAAACAACTGTCTTCGCAAAATACTCAACATCCATTAGCCAGATACCATCAGCAAATGTCCACTGTGAGAGAGGAAGAACCAGCTTCCAAGTGAAGAGGAAATAAGAAAATGACGTTGGAAGTGGATAATACACAATCATTGGGGAAGTCACCAAACTGAATCACGAGGCAAGCCCTAACTTGGAATCCTGAGGGAAAGCGAAGGAGAGGAAGGCCAAAGAATACATTACGCCAGGAAACAGAAGCAGATATGAAAAGGATGAACGTTAACTGGAAAGGATTGCCCAGGACAGGGTTGGATGGACAATGCTAATGGGCAGCCTATGCTCCTCCACGAGAGGTAACAGGCGCAAGTAAGTAAGTCTTTGATAAACAGGTTAGGAAACGTTAACGAGTAGTCAACTCAAGATAGTATAATAAGCCATGAAAACGATTACTTTTATTTGAGAAGTTTTAGTTATTAGTAGATTTCCTGCTTATATTACTCCAAGTAAAATTACTCTAAATCGGTTGTTCTTCTGGAACTGTATTACTTATGTGGATTTTATGAATTTCATTCCGCTTTAATGACGGGAAGAATCGGAATTGTTAACCGGCCCATAATTATCCCAGTTGGTATTTTATGTAAAACTGACCGGCATGATATCGTTGAACAAAAGTAATTTTTAATGACAGAAAAAAATAAGATTACCGTAATTGTTTCACGTAATCGTCTTTCACGTTGACGTGATATGTTGAACATATTTGCCAATTCATTTTCCTTTTGCGTTAGTCTTTTCTCAGTCTTTAGCAAATCATTTTCCAAACGATTTACTTTCACTTGAGTTGATGCTAAACGACGTAGAGTAGTCGACTCAGAGATCTAAAAATATATAAATAACTAGACTAGAAATTCGATATATTTGTAAGAAAAAATTGAAACAAAATATCACATTTGCAGTGTAAAATGTTCAAATATTGTACCTCTTAACTTAATATCAATGTATGTTGTTGTCTCTTACAGATCACTACAATGTATGACTGATAACTAATTGTTGAAAATAGCAGTCGGTTCGCAGTTTGAGAAGTTTTACATAATGGCCGGCTATTTCTTGAACATTCGAATGGATTTCTATGCTGATTTCAGGAACAGTAACTTATCAGGCTCTCTGCAGTATGTACATCCTAAGACAATCGTCTTCATGTTTTTATACACTCCCAAGCTTTTAGCGAGTTTATAGATACATGATCTAAAACTTTATATCATCACATAATAGGCGATCAGTTCAACACGCGATGCTGCACAAGTGATTACCATTACTGTTGAACAATCGGGTAGACTAGTGTAAAAATTCTTCAGAAAAAAACGAATTGTTAACTAACATAGTACAAAGAGTTTCATCCTAATGCATTGCGAAAACTGCAAATTAAGGAATGACTAGGATAACTACAAAATATTGCAGTGAAGAATCTAAAAAAAAACCACTTAACGACTTGATTACTACTTCCTCCGATAATGTTAATGAATTATTGCTATCTAATCCAAACAGTATTAATAGAAGGGATGGAATACAATTAGCTGTACCATGGCAGTTAATCATTAATAAGTAAAAACCTGAACTCCTATCCGTTCTATCTATCTCTTATTATCTGAGTGACAACAATTACGTTCAATGATTCTAATCAGTTGTCTTATCTGAATTTATTAAACAATTAATTGGAACATTAAAATAACACAAATATTCAGTTTCAAATGAGATTCTTCCTCTTCGAATTCATTCTTTTATTTTGTTTATTTATCTTCATTTTATACATGCTGTGACATATATGATTCATATCGTATATTGAAAATTGTATGTTTTCTTAAGAATTCACCGGCAGGAGACAATATATTGTGAATGGAATTTCTCCTCTCACCACTTACGTATATATACAATATGTTATCTTAACACATCATTTCATATCACAAGTCTCTAACACACTATACATATACCTAGTTGAAACATTTTTAACGTTGATTGGATGACCTATTCAATGTACAATGAACCGAGGAACCATGTACCTATTTATATTCGATAATTTTGATGTTTGATTATATTTCCTTGAAAAAGCTTGAACCAGATTACCAGGAGAAACGTTGGATTTAATTGAAATTCATTCGCTGAGATTTTACAAATATATTATTCTTATTGAATGTATTATTACTATCTGTTATTTGATTTGCACTATATATATATATATATATACTCATGATGAATTAAAAGTTCGTACTTCAAAAGACACAACAGTGTCTGGCCTCGCATATCACACGTTGTATACAACATATTTGAGAATTTGATTTTCCTTTGTTTATAGTTTCCTGAGAATGTGAAGAAATCTATCTTGCGAACAGTCATATAACTCATTATCTAGGAGAATGAAATATGAATAATCAATTTTATAAAGGAAAAATGATAATTATGTGGAGACTAACGTAAACATACCTGAATACGTGTCACAAGACGATGGAGTCGAGCCAGATTAGATTTAGAATCGTCTTTAGATTCCAGTTCAGTCATTTGTTCACGTAAATTTTGTATTTCAGTCGACTGACTGTTTAGTTGATCTTCCAAATTTTGATGCTGATTCATTGAAATTAAAGCTACTTCTTTAAGTTGTTCAACTTCATGACGAAGTTTCAAATTAGTCTGTTGTAGTTCTGTGTTTTTTGTTTCAATTTCTTGATGCATTGATATTGGGACGGCTTCTGAAATTGTAAAGTTAGGTGTTTTTATTTCGAAAATTGCTATATTTTGCATATAATCATCGAACATCGGAATAGTAATCTATATTATATGGAAAGATAATTTCATACTCTATTAATTGCCTCTAAAGCACTGCACACACATAAAATTATGACTCAGTTACAAACCCAAGCCACATACAATATTTGATGGGACAATATTATGACATTTTGATAAGTACATATTCCTCCATTTTGTTACTTCATTTGATAATCTACTTGTTATGATTGGTAGTAAACTGTTATGACTGAATCACCAATTGTAATATCTGGTCCTGGTTGATTATTATGTCTGAATCACTTATGATTTATACTTGCAAAATGAGGAATCACTGCAATTTTCACAATGTAAAAGTAAAAATACAAAAACTGATACAAGTGAAGATTTATTAACCTCAAAAACACGACGACAACCCTAGTCGATAATACACTCATTTATATACTAAATTGTATATCCATTTTGATTATTAATTACATCAATGAAAAAAACCCAACAACAACAACTTACAATTATAATAAATTATTATTCAACATATCAAATTGAGTATAAATCATGTTAAATATTGTATATTATATAAAATTAAATATTATACAATATAACAAATACAATACTGAATAATCATCATAATGAATTAAAATAAAAGAATAGATGTCATGTTGAACAAAAATCATAATAAGTAAAAGAGAAAAATGTAATTTTGACTTTTTAATTCCTTCATACAGTGTGACCCATTTTTCTAGTCTAAGACAAATATCACTTTCAAGTTGAATTCACAATTCGATTTAACTTGAAAATACTACAATCACCACAAATCCCCATACAGATATAACTTTAACCAATATTCCATATTATTTGCTTTATACATTTGATTGTTATGCAAAATAATGATAATCGATTTCTGCTCAACTCATAAGAAGTTTCTACTTTGATTAAATCTATCATAGGGAAAGATATGTCATTAAAAGAAATAGACTATGAGTAAAACTGTTTCTAGTCTGGAGAAAGTAATACTTTGGTTAAATGATAAAAATTTCAAGAAGTCTGTTGTTTAAATGTAGCCTAAATAATCTTGAATTTTAGTGAGATTATAATAGAAATATTACTTAATGGTTGTGGAAAGCATAAGAGACCTGAAACTTATTTTAATTCCAGAAAATTCATCGAGCATGTCGGATGAGATTGAAAGCAATTGATTTACCTTTTATGATTTTTTCGCATGTAGAAATGAATTCGTCGAAACATTATGGTGGAATGTAGACGATAACGACAAAAACTTACATTATAAATTAAATTCAAAAAGGAACTTGTGATTAATTAGATGAAAAGGAACTATGGTGTGAAATGTCAGAAAAACCCCAAACGTACTAATTAATACAAATGAGCAAAAGTAAAATCTGTTTAACTGTACAAACACTTAAATTATCACAAAAAAATTGGACGAAAGGAGCACTAAGTGCGTACATATAGTTTAGCAGACTGAAGGCTCTTTTCTCACGACTAATCTTCTGTATTCATCGTATACAGAAAGGGGAAGGCAGTTAAGCAGCTATAAATAAAAAGAAAAACATCTCAAACATGATGCATTTGACGTAAGAGATTCGTAAAGAATCTGAAGACCACTTTTTTCATCCAACTAGTCCTATGTATGTAAATCCCTCAAATAGCTTCATAAAAATTCAATCTGAACCAGGTACAGAAAGCTATCTAGACTGGTACTAAAGAATCACTCATAACCTACACTGCATAACATTTAATCAGTATTACAGATAGCATTACAACGAGTTCATTATATATAGTCATCTGCAATACATAAAGACGTTTAGTGAGAACAGATCTGCTCTGTTTCAGACAAAACTGTAGATTTAAGTACAGAAAATCAGTTCGGTTTCTTCTCCTAGAACAGTATATATTATTAGCTTTGGAGAGTAACATCTACTGTCACTTCCTTTTGCTAATAATTTATGTACTAGCGACTAAACAGTCCGATTTCTTCTGTGGTTCTTATAAAAGAAATTTGCTTCTGAAATTCTCATGGCTTACTGTTTAAGGCTGTGCTCATTAAAAACTGTGACAAGTTGAAGAATCACTGTAATTTATAGAGAACAATAGAGTTGCTTTAATATTACTGAGGAGTATGTAGGAGTTCATATTTGTAACCGTACAAGGAATTCCAGTCTACTGAATCAATGACTTACTTGAAACTATATTTTCACTAACCGATGGTCAACACGTTCACCTAGAGTTAATTCTAGATACTGTGGGATCTTTATTCAATGTAGTTAGATGGTAAATCATTCAGTCCCAAAGTAAATGACTCTAGTTGGTTACAGTTTTACATTACACAATTCAACAGCCAATCATTGATAAACACACAAACAATTATTATAAATGTGATTTGGTGACATTTAGTGGAGCTGTCAAAGATACGATCAACAGCCAGAAAATGAACCCAATGAAAGTACTTTTGCTGAGCCACTATGTCAGATACATAGTTAGACAATGAAGGATCATTCATAATATCATCATAGATAGAAATAGTTTTAAATGAATCTGTCCGGTAATCTGTGTCACTTACACAGTAAATGGATTGTTGAAAAACGCAGTTTAGATAACTACTCTATATATTATTATTACTTTATAGGGTCAATTAAGGGGGTTATATATTTTAAGTTGCATATTGTTAGCACTAAATTTATTTGTCTGTGAAACTAATCAAGTGATAGACAAAATACCACACAGACTAATGTGTAGTACTGTTATCTACAACAATAACTTTTAGTAATAACATTTCACTGAAAACCTATATTTAATAAACACTGAATAGGTACTCGAAAAAACAATATACCTTACTTGTAAGTTCTTGTCGCAAATTTTTTTCAGTTTGTTGCAATTCAATTAATGACTTAGTAATTTCGGTAAATTTGTTTTCAAGTTCTCTATTTCTTAACTCTAATTGATGATTTGCGTCTTGTACTGTATTTAAAATAATTTGTGTATGATTTGCACGTTCACGTTCATTTAGCTCTTTCATTTCTATTAAAGCTAACCGTTTAGCAATATTTGTGTCAGCTACATCATTCCCAACTTGATCAGATTTCGTTGCCTATATTTTAAGGCATTGATAAAAAAAACCAGACAATATTATAATTAATAATAATTCCAGTAATTAAAATCAATAATCAAGATAATTTAAAATTAGAATAACGGATGAAATGTATATGGTAGCCGATTTCTTAAATGCCGATTATACAAACTGGAATAATGTTTATTCAAACTTCATCTCAGATAGTTTCGGAAAGAAAGCATTAGATTGGTCAGAATTAATGAACAGGAAACCCAATATTAAAATTGAACAACATTTTTAAACTCCCCAGTGTTATTTATTTTCTAAATGTGTTCAAAATGCAAACGTTTATTCTTATTTCTATAATTTAGCCAACATTGTTTGTCGCCGCCTTGTTTACATACATAGTTTTACAAACGTTTACAGGATATCGCTATGCTACATAAAAAGGAGGTGCATAGGAACACAACCTATAGTTAATAAGTTGTCTTACCTATGTCATCTGTTAGAAAAATGTGCAAACGTAATGAATAAATACGTGTTTGGAGTAAACCAACTTGTAAAATATAAAAACAGTACATTGAATAAACCGTTTGCACATATTCCTTGAATCGTCTCTTATAAGCTCCATTGTTCACTCATTCCTGTCACTACTCTGACTACTTCTGCTTTTATTTTTATTTTCCTCACTTTTTTCTTGTGTCAGTAAGTATCCTACTTTCAGTGTCTGCTACATACTACTTCTGTCCATCCGTATAAGTAGCACACACCACACAAGTACACCAGAGTTCATTCATGTCAAGATAAATACAATTGTTCCATAGTAATCTATACAAATATATTTCACATCAAATCGTTGATTACTACATTGAACAAGCATCTTATGGAATACAAAACATTTCCGTTAACGGTATTTTGTAAGTGACCTGATTAGTAAGGATGTAATATTTTTCTTTTAAGAGAAACATGATATTTAATAAAAAAACAAGAGTAGATTTTCTATAAAAGATCAAAAATCGTAGAATACTAATTTGAATGTGTTTTTGAATTCGCATAACAACGGAACTGTTAACAAATTTCACAGATGTTATAAGCACAGTTAATTTGTCAGCTTTAAGAAATATAAACTATCTCAAAACATAACCTACCACGTTTGACTGCAACTGATCAATGGAATTTTCCAGCAGATATCTCCTTTCTTTTTCTATGGTCAGCTGCTCCTTCAATTCATCATGTTGTTTTTTCAAGGTATCCAGATTTGTTTGAGCAGACTTTAAGGCTAATTGATAATTCACACTATTGGAACCACTTTCTAATAATTCCTTGTATTTAATTGCTAATGTTTCATATTCATTTCTTAAATCATTCAGTTCATCCTCTGGAACACATCGATCTAATGTTTTCTGTAATTTTTGTATTTGAAATGCTGCAGTTTCTTTACAGCGTGCATAATAATTTAAACGAGCGCTTACGGCTGATTCTAGTTGAAATATATCACTTTTTAAATTAGTATTCTCCTGATGAACATAAAAGCAAAAAGATTTACATTTTCTAAAATTCGAAACATATTAGTGGCAAATTAAGAGGAATCTAATAGCTGGTATAAAATACAAAGTGTGCAACAAAATATGATATATTGCACCTAGCTCGATGTCTTTTGTCGAAATTATTAAACTCCCCAACGTAAGCTGAATAACTAGACGTCTGAGGCAGCATAAGCTTCAATAGCGCAAACTTACGACAACAATACAGTGAGAAATTCAGCTCAATACATTAATGTTATATCGGTAATAATGAAACATATTTATATCATTAAAGTTATTAGAGAGCTTAAATAAAATATTTTCTATCAGTTAGATTTTATTTGAATGCTTACAATAATGCTTTGTGCATAAATTTCGAACGAGGCTCGAAACGTACTAATAAACCTTTATCGGACATCGGCTAATTTCTATGTAGATAATTAGCATAAACCATTAAGTTATATTTAGAGAAAATTGTGCAAAATACATGCACAATTATCAAGGTCAAATGATTCTCATTCTCATTTTGTGTGCAACAAAAAAATAACTTGCATACTATAAAATAAAGATTTTTAGTGCTTGAGTTTTAATGGTTATTAATGCAGAAATATAAACTCCGATATATTCAACATCGTTTAATGATCCTTAAAATGTTTTTAAAATTAATTAATTCTTCACTGACTCAAATCTCCGCAACCACTAATTACAGAAGTTGGCGAGGCTATAATTTATAGACGGGCTTTGAACGGATCTTAAGTGACCTTGGGAAATATTAGCCGATCAGTAAACAGTTAGCATAGAGTAAAAACAGATTATATAACACCAAAGAATTAAAGTGAATACACATCTTTTATATGGTCCAAAAACTTGTCACGGTTAGAAAAACGTTCAAAGGTTCCAAAATCGTAATGCATAATGTAGGGGAACTCATCCATATGGCTCCATAATAGTTGGTCTCTGGAGCCATGATAAGGTAACAAAAACCCTCTCAGCCTCGACCACATAGCTTCATTATTGTTTGTGTGTGCTGCAGTTGTGTAAGTTTATCATTTTATTATGGATATGTCCCTACAATACTCATACCACTGAGCAGCCGAAGCGTCAGTGACATCTGCGATTATTGCAGCCAATGTTACTGGTGCTTTTATTATAATTATTATTATCATATGCCTTAGTCTCAATATGAACCGGGCGATAAAGGCTCCTATTGTAGCAAACGTCTTCTTTCAACATATATTACATCAAAGGACAACATCATGGTAGTCTGCACAAGGTCTGCAAGTCATTTAATTACCGCAATTAGGTACTGAAGTTGGCGCTATGACCTTGAAATCCCTCAAACGCTTCTGATTGGCTCGTCCATAAATTATAGTCTCGCCCAGAAGTTAGTTTAATTTCAATATTAAAGAAGAAACTGTTAATCAACAGGATTCATACATTTTTATTGCTGCAATGTATGAGAAAAAAGTGGATGAAATACATTATAAGTATTGTTGCTCACTAAGCGTTATATCTCTCATTTGTCTCACATATAGTTTAAAAAGTTTAACAGTTACGTTATAACGTTTCTTTTTAAATATTTAGATGTTAGGTGGTTTAATTTAATCAGCGGGCGATGTTGAACATAGATTTCATTTTAGCGGGGACTCGCGTGCAAAGTATGCGTGGAATCTTGAGGGAGGTAATGCTCCTCAAGGAACTCAATTTCATAGTCTCAGACATTACTACCGAGGTTTTTGGGTCTTAACTAACTCCTTGTAGAACAGAACAGAATAATGAGTAGTGGTGACCGATTTCATGTTTATTTAAGTCTTTTGGAGCAGATCTAACTATTTTGATTAAGTTACTGTTATTTAGTTGTTTATAAATTAAGGGTTGTGAATCTATGGAAACTTTACAGTAGAATCATTAAGCGAAGTAATAAATTTCTGAAGTTAACGCTCATTAAGAAATCAGGCTAAAATGATCACTTACATCAGAGTGACTTAAAAACACAACCAATTAGGCGGTGAATAGAAAAAAACTTTCCCGACAGAGTACTCAGATAAAGTTCATATTCTAAGATTTTATGATATAAATTAAAAATTGAACTGTTAACGTGATATCGAAATTCTGATTATGACATTGTGTTATATTATTTTATTTAACTTCGCCAAATAACACTCTGTGTCGAGAATTAGAAGCAGACATCCAAAGAATGAATAACAACTGGAAACAACTGGGAAGGATTGCCCAGAACAGAGTTTGATGGAGAATGCTGGTTGGCGGCCTATCCTCCTGCACGGGGGGTAACAGGTGTAAGTAAGTAACATTATTCTGTTTCAAATATTGTTTAACCTGTGTTTTTTTCCATTACATCACATGAATAATTTCTTTACCCGTCTAGTTTCAGCATCGAATTTCGTCAAAAAATCTTCATGCTAATTGTTTAGTTCTCCAGAGACTAGCTTCTTTCTGATCACAGGTGTTTATTAAAACATACTAAGTTGAGGCTAGTTCAAAGTGAAGTAATAACTACTTAGTCCTAAAATGTGAATGCGACATATCACAGCTGATTCCATCACTCAACCAACTAAGTCGAAGGTTGGTGTCCATTGGTCCATATATTGCGAATTTTTAAATAGGAGTAAGTGGAAGATAAGTTTGAGTATGCTATAGTGCTGTTATCACAGAAACGACTGATTATTTTAGTACATACGTGTAATTTATTTCGACCGTAAGCATATGAAGGTTTGAACAGTGTAAGGGAATAACCATTATTTAATTTACAAAACCGAAATTATAATCTATAGTCCATTTCCGTAAACCAATGGTTTTATCTAAACAAGGCTACTTAAAACATGGGAGAGAAATGACCAAAGGGAAGTCGAAAAATGTTCGCACCATACAATATGTTACATAATGAAAAGGTATAACTACACTCAGTATGAAATTTATTTGTGAATTATTTATTTCCTGTGGAGAAAAAGTTTAGGAATGGTGTCAAATATAGTGACTTTCACGAATTAAACTAAGTTTAAGAATTTCGTTTCACGAGCTTTCGAAACTCAAAATTTTAACTATAGCATGATCATCACTAAAATAAAAACCCGATTTTATTGTTAACGATGGAAAATTTAAATAAGAAATAACAATTCTAGTAGTTTTCAAAAAAAATTAACCTTCGATAAAGCGACTTCACGTTCTTGTGTTGCCAAATATCGCCGTCTTAAGCCGACTTCATTCACACGAAGTAATAATATCTGTCGTGACTGATCAGCGATCTTTTGTTTTATAGAAGAATTTTCGCTCTGTTCATTTTCATCTAAACTCGACAAAATATCTTGCAAGTGATGTAGCTCACTCTTATGAACTTCCAGTTCGTTAACTCTCATTTCTGAACATTCCAAACGTTGTTCAAGCTTTTCTTTTTCTTTCTTCCAAGTCTTCAAAGGAGAAACAGATAAAATATAACGAAAAATGGGCTTAAAAAAGATTATAATCAACAGAATTTTGTTGTTTGTCGGTCTTCTAGTAAAACCCAATTCAAAAAGAAGTTGATTATTTCAGGACTAATATTCAGAGTGCGTTAGACAGATCATTAATTTTCAGAGAACAAAAACATTTACTCTAAATCAATCTTATTCCCTCTGTTTAAATGGGGTACTTGAAGTGTTACTGAATGGCTTATCCATCACTAAATTAATAAGTCTGAGTATTTACACACATAAGACTATTTATGCCAACCTGCTTCAACAACTACAGATGAACTGTAAGGAGTTTAGTATTATAAGTTGCTTTTATCAGTAATATCCATTGTATTCACTTTTATTCAAATCAATAATAAAAGATTGTCAGAAAGCAGTTTTGTTTGCATATATCTTCTAAAGGACTGATATTTTCACCACAAAGCTATTCCTTCCATGAATAAACACTCATTTATGCAGATTCTGACAAAGCAAACTTTTGCAATGGTTTCTTGACAAACTCTGGAATATATGCCCAGTATTCTGATTGGAATTGAAATATATGACCTCATATTAAGTTCCGTACATAAAACTTACGTTAACTCCTATTTTTACAACTAAGAAGTGTAGTTGGAAGATTATACACCAGGGATTTTTATGATAAGACTAGCTGTGGATTGTAGGATATAATGTCACGAATATTGTATATAAATACATACGATACAGCAACTAAGTTACCAAGATGCATTCAACGGTCAAAAAGTTACTGTTTTCTTTAGTTCACACAAGGGTATGTCAATTCACAAAATTACTTTAAATTTGACTCAACGTTCACTATGTTCCAAATGCATATGAAGTCAACAGAAATGTTTGGAAGCCGTACAGTCGTAATCAAATAAAAATACTTACATAAGAGGCTAAATAAACATGAACCCGGAAAATAAGTTATTTACCCCATGGTACCAAATGTCTGCTAAGTAAAATCTCCAGGGTTATGCCAGAGTTGAATGAGAAACTTTAAAATCAATTTTTTTTAAATAGTCAAAAAACTAACATGTAGCTTGTAGAAACACTAAGTAAACTCGAGTTATTATAATTTCAAGCATCAAAAAATAATGGGAAGCAGACGCACAGAAATGGAAAAAACAAAGACAAGGCTTTTGTCATTTCCATAGTTTTTACAACAGAATAGAAATCTTGACAGACAGGCAAAATCTTTTTCATATAGCCAAGTACAAAATAAATTTCCATGTGAATATGAAGACACTTAAGTTCTCTTCACTTTCTGTGGCAAATTGCATACTCATCCTTAAAAGAATTAAAACTTCCTAATTAACTGAAGTGAGGATGTTGTTGCATAAATTTATTTGTATAAATTCTTGGATCTAATACACAAACTTACTTGTCGTTCATTACAAAAGTCCCGATACAATAAACCTTGACGGTGTTTACAAACAGAATATTTTCTCCTTGCAGCTTCCATTTGATTGTCAATGTAAGCAAGTTGTGTATTTTTATCACTTATATCTTTCATTGTTGTCAGTAAGTGTTCTTCTAGTGATAAAATAACTTTAGCTGTGTCAGGATCAATATCTTTTGGAAGATTTGACTGACTCTCAAGAAATGTTTGGCTTGGGATATTATTATCTAAGAGATAAACTGATTCAAGCTGCGACTCCAACTGTTTAATTCGATTATGTGCTTCGTTCAGTTTTACCTCATATAAAGCACTGCTCATGCGTATATCACGAAGATTTGATCGGAGCTCCTGATTTGCTCCCTAAAATAGAAATACCAAGGTGCATTTAATTTCCAATCACGATTCACATAGGAATAAACATTAGATACAGATCTTGATCACATTCTAACATTATTAAAATTAAAACGTGCTGAAAGTTACATTAAACCATATGGTACCTGGCTTGATTCTAGCAACGGATGTAATAATTTTATTTAAAGCATTAGACCTAAAAGTGGATATTGATTTTTGTGAGGAATTCCGGTACTTTATGCAGTGAATCGATCACTAGGTGAAAGCCAATGTGATCTCCCTTAAACTTTATTTCTGATAGGATTATACTGACCGACTAATAATATGATCACTTAATTAAGTGGCTTTAAATGTCAGTGGACTATGAATAATGTCAACTGGATGAAGGAAATTAACATATGGCCTTGGATTCAAGTTTTAGGCCAATTGGGACTCGTCGTCAAGACGTATCTACAATTGTATGAAAAGTTCTTCAAACTAGCGTCACCCATCTTTTATCGACTCTGACTATAATCATAAAATAATACCCTGCTGGGTTCTACACACTGCATATTTGAACAATTATGTTAACAGACCTTGCAAAGTCTCTAAAAATACTTCCTTTCTATTACACTTTATCATCGTTTTGGTTAACCAATAGTTGACTCATAAGAGGAAAAAACGTTAGTTTGATTTGCAGTTAGTAATCGCTGATTCTAAGGACAGATTTTATGAATAGTATTCCTCAGTTTATTATTTATATTTTCTTCAGCAGTAAATTCTATGTTCTCACGTAATGGGTTACAAAGATTTTTAACAGAATAAGCTGATGTTATTGATCAATGGTATGTTCTTATTTTTTGTAATTATGAGCACAGATCAAATCACAATTCTGTACTTAATGATAGGTTGACATTATTCTTACCAAGAGTACTGTTTGTTAAATCGATATTTTGCTTACCACTGTATGAATTTTCTATGAAATATCTAGTACTAATCATTTATTCCAATACTCATTTAAAACATCCGATTGCTTCAATGTTCAGATATCAGTGAAAACTGATTATCTATCTAGATTAATCCAAATCAAATTCATTAAGTTAAGGGAAAAGATACATGATGAATAATTGATTGATATTTTAATTTGTTTCAACAGAAATATTTCATTTTAATCGTAATGATGTAGTATACTGAGGAATTAAGAGTACTATTCTAACAAATAACTATCTAAAAAACGCTTCCTCTTATTTCTGTATCAAATGATTGTGTTGTAGACCATTGAAATATGTCAGTTATATCTATGACGGAATAGTGATTCATACATAAGTTCTATCAGTTTAATTGTCTATAATAAGTATCATCTGGTCGAAAAACAATTATGTAGAATAGGACATGGCCAAATGGCGTATCATCATGAACAGTTAGTAAATACACGTGTATTCATAGAAAGATTTAGGTCTTGAAAGGAACTTATATAACGGTCATATAAACAATGTCTAACTTTCTTCACTAAGAACTTGAAGAAGATATACGGTATGCCGATCACAACAACTTCCGATGGGTTTGTGGCTGTTGTTTCTTCAGAAAGAACAGATTTCTCAATTTCTCTGAAACCAATGTGATTGGTCTGCTTATTATGGAAACAGTTGGATTATATAGTCTGACTACTGACTTATCTGCCACGTTCCCTGTAGGGTTAGTAATTTTCGTAAAATCAATGACTTAGTGGCCGTGAGTAGTGACCGAAGGATTCTAATCTTGACGGCACGCAAGCTCCTTTCAAAAACAATGAAGGCAACAAGCAAATTAACCCTCATTGCTCTTTGTTCATTCATGACTTGAAACTCATAAAATAATATGCCTCGGTTACCTGACTGCACAGTTAGTAAGAAACTCCAGTGTAAACACAACTCAGTTATGAACGATGCAAAAACAGAACAAGAAAATAATTAAAAATAAGTCTAGACTATTATGACAATGACGATTATTAGGTCAAACAAATAAGAGAATATAAAAATCTAACAATTCAAGTGCTTATTAATTATACTATAATATAAACATTTTTACTCTGTAGGATAGTTCTGAAAATTCGATTTTTCTCTGATTCTCTTTGATGTGAAAACGTTTATATAGTAAATATCTCTTGATTGATATTTTATGGCATATTTGTAAAAAGGAATATAAATTTCACTATTAACTCACTTCAAGTTGATCTACTCTAGACTTTAGAAATTGTCCAGAGTCAATATCTTCAATCATGTTTCTTGCATCTAATGCGGCTAGTAATTTATCTAAAGATGGACAGTCTAATTGAATAATTTCATTTTTTATCTTTAAATCATTATTGGCCACTTTTCTTTCTACTGTTTTGGTCATATTGTTAGATTTTGATTGTTTCTTTTCTTCACTTAGATCAAGTTGATTCTTTGGCTCAATGTGAAAAGAGTGTATCTGGTTTTGAACTTCTTTCAGACCATTTTCTAGCAGAACATTTGCCTCAGTAATTTGCTTCAAATGTGTTTCTAGTTTGTCATGCTTTTTGTGTTCTTCTTCTATTTGATGAAGGGCTTGAACTAATTCCTCATCAAGTACTTTGAACTAATTTTTGTTCGGTGAAAAGGGAACAGTGTAAAAATTGTAAAACTTTAGCGCGAAATTGACTCATTTGTGAACCATAAAGGATATTTGTAACTTAACAGAAATTCTGACGATTTCTAGTGAAGTAAAAGCAAAATGTTGACAAACCCTTTAACTGAGCTTGTTTGCCTAAATACAAATTGCTATCTCCCGGTGTTTACTAGACAAACATCTAAAAATTTATAATACTTTGAGTGTAGTTGTAATTTCTATAATTAGTATGACTAACAATAGAGTTGTTCGAAAACTTTCTTAGTTTGTTGCTCTCAGAATACTACTTTATGTGCTGATTCAATATATTTCTGTCAGTGAATTGTTTTCCCTAGTTTTTTCAAAATATTATTCAGTTGACCATTCCTATTTGGCGTATAAATTCCACTTCAGCTAGTGTACAAACTGACTGACGTATCATAAATCCTTGGTAGTTTTATGGGTGTGTATACTCACCACATAAAATCTTCCAAAAGGTTACTGACAAATAAAGATACAATGCAAAGATCATAAATGGTTTTGATACTTTTGATAAGAATAAAATAGAATCTCTACCAAAAACGAAGACTTATTTCTACTTCAAATAGCTGACTGACATTTTGAAGTTTATTTAGTCACCGATTTAACTGTGTGAGTTATTAGATAAAATATCTTCAGGGGGAATTAGTTTAACTCGAGAAACGTTAACTACCTATAAAACAAGGTTCAAGTGTTCGTCAAACACATTATTAGAATATTACATTACACACTCTAAAGCGACATGGAATGTAATTTCTAAAATGCGTTAATTCTTTAAAAAATTATTTTTCTTATGTTTTAATCGTTTAACGAAGTCGTCAGAGCAACACTGAATACCATTATTCAACTAACCAACTCAAAGATGAAAATAAACAAATTCTGTATTTCCTGTTTCATTAGGAACATTATTGTTTAAGATTTATAATCATCAGCAGATGAAAGAAAGTAAACGTTTTGTCTTAGAACAAAATGTTTATGAAGATACTTTTCTGTAGTAATTTATCTACAAAATCAGAAATACTACAGCTATAGATGTCTGCGACTTCATACGAGACAGCAGTTAGAGATTCCAGGTCTTACGAAGAGAAAAAAGCCTTCATATTTGGATCAAATGCTTCACAACTCCAAATTTAGTCAGGTTTGGATAATGACAGACTTTAAACATGAGTACTGTTGGAAATAAACATCTAACACTCTTTAAAAATAAGAAAACACGTACCCTTGCTTTCCACACTTCTGGAAGGTCGGTTATTTCGTCTTGTGTTAGTGAACTTTTGGTTTTCTGACTGGATCGAGAAACAGAAACCATTCCAGCTGACTGAGCTGACACACCTTCCTCACTGACTGCAGATGAAAAATATTATCCGGATTTCAGATATTCAGGTGAAAATCAAGAGAAAAAACAAATGTGTCCTGATATTATTTAATAAAAGGAAAACTATACTAGGTAGCTTCTAATCTACAGTCTTTCAGAAGTAACTATGAGTAAAGTTGGACACGATCATATAAAAACGTGGTACACTGCCCAGTTGAACACTTTTCTCAACAGAAATTTAATTAATCTTCATTCTCAAATAATATCATTTCCAGTGCGTAGTCATAAATGACTCCCACTAAAATAACCTGGCTAACAAATTCACTTTATCTAGACCAAGGGTTGTGGGTTCAACTCTCACATGAGCGGTTGTGGTTGCTCACTGTTGGGGAGTCCTACACTTGGACGAAACCATCATCCAGTGCTTTCGGGTTTTCAATGGTGCTCTAAATCGGTCGGTTCCTAATTTCACTGAGATTCGACAATCTCCATTGACCCTTACCGAAAAGTTGTGGATTATTTTTTCAACTTTTGAAATTTAAATAGCAGTCAAGAGACGACGTAGAGCATTTACGCTGAACTCGATTTAAGGGTACAAATAGAGAAAATGAGGCAAAGAAGAAAACTATGGAAGATGTAAGGATTTACAGCAATACAATGCAACGTTCGCTTCTCTCAGAAATCCTGATTTATTTTCTTGAAATAAATGGACGTTAGTTGCTTAGTAAACTTTATTTCCATTCATGATTATCTATTTGTTATCCGTTATGGATATATCTTTTTGATTAGCTGAGTTCTTGAATTTTATCAAATCGGTCGCTTTCTCATGATCGTGATATTATCTGAAATTTTTTGGATGTTGCGCATAACAGTTGTGTTAGTTAATATGGTGAATAATATTCACGATGTTCTGTCGATTAGTTTTTTCACTTTGTGGTAAATGCATTTTGGATGTACGTGCAACAAAGTATGAATATAAATATCTAGTTCATAGCAAACATACAATCAACGAATGGTTAGTTAACGTATCAGACAAAGATACTAAGTTCTAGTTATTTAGAGCTTACCTTGGTTCAAATTACCTAAGAGTACTCCATCCACGTGCAAATCTGTTGAACCATATTGTTGGCCTAATTGACGTGCAAGCGTACGTAGTTTACGTTTCAGATCCAACCTTTCGTCTTCTAGCTTTTCGATCTAATTATGCATAGTTAAATTGGCAACAGTTTAAACATACTGAATTACCTCTAGACATATGGATCATAAATTAATTCTCGTTAATTCTTATTAGGTAATAACAATATACTCGATGCTTATAATATAACAAACATTTTTAGTTTCATATACCGTCATGTCAAGATTTTACCTACAAGCTCACTGAACAATAGCTATGAATGGTTAGTAATTCGTGAATTAGACAATAATAAGAAATTTTACCACCAAATCAACTTTTGGATCGCATTTATTTCATTTGGGGTTCATTTCTTTAACAGAATATGATTCTTAGACTAAGATAATTACGATTTTGTCTGTGGCTCTAAAACAAAACTCTACTTGACATTAATTTCTCTCTTGTCGACTGATAATGATGTATTTTCTTATGGTACCATACAGTGATTTCTGTTTCTCTAACCTAGTTTTGTATGTCGTTAAAGATGCCTTATATAAATTAATGAGTTGATGAGTCTAGTATGGAGTTTGTAAGTTCTCCGAATGTCTAAGTGAAATGACTGAACTGTTCAGAAGGTTCGGACTTTTTGCCTGCAAGAATGTGTGTACTAGAACAAAAGTTAAATATACTTTAATCATAATATGCAGAAAGTATAATTAAAAAGTGAATCTCAAGAACTAAGAAAGTTAGTTTAACTTAAGGTAAAGGAGGCTTACATGTGCGTATATATATATATATATATATATATATATATATATATATATATATATATATATATATATATATATATATATATATATATATATATATATATATATATATATATATATATATATATATATATATGTAAACCCCATCATTAGTATGTGTATCGAACAATATCATAAAATTGTTGTACAATATGCTAATCATCTTTATAACCTGTCTAAGTCAGATTATCACTTAACAGTAAGAAGATAATATAAAACAACTTCATTAAAATTTTCATATGAAACTACGAAGTGAAGGCAAGGCACTAAACACAAATATTTACTTCACTTTCAAAAATGCCTAGAACATATTTACATACTTCTTTTTGTAGTATTATATTTACTGCACGATCTTCTTCTGCTTCTGCTCGTTTTTGACGACGGTAGCCATTCAGATCAATTTTTTCCATCAATGGAATTCCCAGCTTACTTCTTAAATGTTCATTTTCTAAATTTATTTCGTTAAGAGATGATTCAGCTTGACTAGCTAGACGACAAACTTCCTCCAATTGTCTTTCTTTTGAGTTTAATTGTAATCTGGTGGCTTTCAATTCAGTAATAGCTTCTGACAAACCATACTCTCCTTCTTCATAACGTTTTAGTTGTTTTTCTAAAATAGTTACCTCGTTGGCTTGAGACTGAGCAGCTTCTTCAGCCTAAGCACACGAAAAATAGATCAAATGATTACGTTTTGAATTATTGGAACAAGCTGAAGCAACATTTGTAAGCAGTTTACTAACTGTATTAAAATTAACTGTCTTTTAAGATATGATGTCATATAATACTGAATTCACCATAATTTCATACATAAAATAAAGGGATATGGCTGAAAATTATCAGAAAACAATACAGGATAATCATTATTCTGTATAGTTGGTAGTGTTTTTATATCTTAATGTGTTAACACCCCCCAAATAAACTCTCCATGAAAAGAATGCAGCAACTTACTTCTTTCGGCGATTCACTCCTGTGACTATTTAGCAAAAGCTCTAAAATGAATTTTATGTAATGTGAAAATCCTTCAGGTTTTTTTCCAAATATGATTAACCACAATAAAAACATTTTTATCCAGCACTTTAGCTAACTAACTATGCTTTCAAGTGGAATATAAAAGAGGCAGACTTATAGGGAAATATATTCTGGATAACATTCTCAAAATATTGACAGAAAATTCCACGCTGGAAGTGTTTACATCTCATCTGCTCGTTTTGCCAGCTAGAATTTGTACCTAGTACTCACTGTCACAGGTACGATAACGATCACGATTTATCAGTCTCACAATCTCCATTGACAACAAACTGGAAACAACTATTATCCGATTGCATCAACATATATCTTTGATTCATGATATAAAAGTATTTTAATATATGCATGTATGATACTAAAATACGTATATAAAAGTGAAAAACGTGGATATTTGTCTTAGGTTATTCGACAAAAGCAGCAGAACTCTTAGTGAACTTGCCGACCTAAATGTGCTGCAACTGAGAATTTACCGCATCTGCCGTCTGTTTGACCAATCTGAAGCACAAACAAACACAAATAGAAACCAAATAATTAGAGAATCAAGACTGAACGTCTTTCAAGAAGATGTGATTTAAAAAATTTGGGACTAAAACAAATGGCATCAACGAGTTTGTGCACTTTGTTTGATTTCATATTAATAACAACAAAATTTATTTAGATAACGTAAACCTTTGAACTGCTGTGATAGTGTCAGCGACTTACAAGGTTTACTGAGAAAAGACGTCATATAGTCATCTTTTTGTAATGGACACACAAATAACTAGTGTAGATTTTCTTTACCAAATAAAATAATATTTCTTATAAATCAAGCTAGTTTATTCTCAGGACAGCAAATGAAAGCATTAAGGTGTATATAGTTCAGTTTTCAAAGAATATTTTCATAACCTACAAGCTCCAACCTTTTTTCCAGTTCTGTGTTGAGGTTTTCTTTTTCTTGAAGTTGTTTTCTAAGCACAACAATACGTTCAGCTTTGCGACTGCCAGAATCAAATTCATCCCCATTTGCTTGCTTTACAAGTTCGTTTAAAAGAGTTGTGCTTTTCTCAACTTCGTTTGTAGCATCCGTGAGTTGTTTTTTTAGAGAGTGTATCTATTAGTAACCAAAAACATAAATGTTACATGATATGTGATTATAAGTAATATTTGACTTGAATAATTACCTAGATGTGTTTTATGAGGACAAACGATACTTTAACGTCTCGTAAACCGATAATCGTGAAATTGGTTTACATTAGCAATTGAATATCTCCTTATTTACAGTAATATTCAACATTTGGATACATCACAGTAAACTGCCACATATGGGCTACAAATATTGGATTTTTCCACGTAATTTATAACATCCATAACCGATTAACACAGGTTTGAGATATCGGTGTACTTTTTGATGACTTTGTGACAGCCTTATAAGATTACGCTAAAGTCACCCCGGGTTTCTCATATAAACAACAAAAAACTGGAAAAATTGATGTTTATAAAAGGTCTACGAAACATCAATCTCAGTTTGCATTTGTTTATTTAAAAAATCTATTGTGTGTTCTGCAGTGTCACAAACCTAGTCTGTATAAACTAGTAGTTTCTGGATTTCCCTATTACATTTTTGATCTCATACCCTGATATGGTTAGAATTCTTTCCTATAAGCTAAGGTGGTCATGATCAATACTAGTCAGCTTAGACCTCTCCCAGTTCTTTAACTAGTACCGCAGCTTATTTAACTACAAAAATTGAACTACTATATATAAAAACCTGGACTAACTTATGAAGTTCTATTGCTCTTTGCCTTCCAAATTAGATACAATCTTTACATCTTAGCTAAGCGTTGAAGAACTAATGTCAATCTCTCATTTACGTTTTTAAGAGATAGTGGGTAACTGGAGGGTATTCGGAGGTCGTTTGAGCTGCTCTTCGAAGTTTTCCATTGATCGATATAATATCCGGGACTAACGGTGAAGCAATGTTGCTAACCCGTTTTCCTGATGGATCGAAATAGTTATCTAGTGTTATCAATCGCCGTCGTCTTTTCTAACTCTCTTGTTTTCATTCCTTACCACCACACGCGATCATTCTGTAAGCCCTTTATTATTCCACGACCGAACTGTCGTCACTATTCATCGTTCCCTAAGCATGTTTGTTTGGGTTTTTGAACATTTAGCAATCCACTAGATGGCGATACACATACCAATGACTCTCCAAAATAAACTAATCAGTCCACATCCATGTGAGGCCTGGAAAAAATGAGTTTTAATTTAAGACGAAACACATCATATTAGAACAGCAAGAATGAAAATTAACAGGACAATAAGTCAAGGAAGAGAAACGATGTTAATGAAAATCTAAAAATTTAAAATATAGTTTAATAAAGATGAAACAATTGAATCAAGGGATAGAAATGACACTTTGACCCAAACGTTTGGAGATTATAATAGATGATTCCAACTGCTTCACTAAGGACAATCTCGGACCATTTCGCCCAGTGCCTTCAATTATTGGTCAGGATATTGCGTAAGTTTAAATAAAGATATTTTGACGAACCAAAATACGTCAGTGGATAAAGCAGCAGAATTTAACGTCTAGTTTGAGCCTTGACAACTTCAATGGACGAAAATATTTCAAGTTAAAAAATCATTGATTCAAACCCGTTGCACTTTTGTTTATACGCTGCACTTATTAAAATTTCTGTTTTTAACAGGCCTATTCACTTTACTTTCAAATGATGCCACTGCTGCAACCCATTATCTCTTTTGAAACCATAATGTACGTTTTCCAGTGATTAATTCGATGTAATCGATCTATTCAAGCACAGTATTTTAGGAGACTTTGTTTTAAACAAATACACACAGCTAACGAGTAATTGCACCAAACGAATTCGAAAGGGTTGTGCAGTAGTTTGTGCTCATTGGCTATAAGTAACTGAACAAAAACCAAATGACTTGAGAAAAGGTAAGGCATAACCTATCATAGCTATTTACCCTGAGAAGTTAATGCATTATCTTTAAAACGCACAAATATGTGTCCATATAAGGCGTCTAAAATCATTACTGTAAAAAATAGTTGGCTGGATTTTAGTCATAAACAGAGCGGAAACATAAATGTAATCATAAAAGGTGTTAATCATTTTAGTTACCTGAACATCACGATCTTTTATAGAATTCATTAGGGCTTGCACACTGGTCTTATCTGAATCGGCTTTCAGATCTCGCAATTCCTGAGAAAACTCTTTAATCCGTTCATTAAGTTTAACTATTTCCATGTCTTTGTCTGCCAGTATCTGAAAATTACTGAGAAATGAATTTCAGTACCTCTTTCCATTCCTCAATCTTCTGCTCAACAACACTCATGATAAGATTATTCGTTTCTTCAGGATGACCAATCTTTTCGGAGAGATTGGCCAACTGGGCACGCAACATACTGCATTCGGCCGACTTTTCTGCATGACTCTTGTCAGCTTCTGTTAAAGCTTCTTTCATCTTCACATAGTCATCTGTTGCGCGATCGATTTCCATGCTAGCTTGCCGGAGATTGCTCTCCAATCGATTGACATCATTCCACAGATTCTGTTTTTCATCTTCTAATCCCTGATCAAATAGTTAAGGAACTATGATTCTTACATCTATTTCAGCTTTCTGTACCCTAATTTTTGCACGTAAGGAGGAAATTTCTTTCCTGTAATTAGCCTCTTCATTACTTCTGCCGAAAAAGCTGGGTCGATCTTGAAGTTGTAAATGTAGGTACTCACAACGCTCTTGAAGTTCTTTATTTTCTCTTGAAACCAGTTCCACTTTTCTTTCCAGATCACCTTTTTCATTTAAAAGTTCTTCCTTTTCCTTAAAAGAAGCATCTTTGGCTATCCTTAAAGATTCTAGTTCAGATTGCAGTTTGACGACTTTAAACTCAAGTCTCCTCGTCTCACCAATGCTTCCTCTATCGAGACCAGAAGCAGAAATTGCTTTTTGCAAGTCTTTGTTTTCATGTTCTAATTCCCTTATTTGATCTTTCAGACTATTTATTTCCGAGGTTTTGTCCGACAAGCTTGTTTCTGCTAACTTCCATTGGTCCCATTTTAGGTTGAGCAACACTTGAGTAATTTGAAAAACATGTCTAAGTCGATCACTATCATTCCAGTCCTCAACATTAGCCTAAAATAATCAAATAATGGCAGGAATCTATGCATACATCTAGAAACAATTGGCAATAATAGTCTGCATTGTCAATATCTATGTCAGCTTCATTTAACTTCGCAATTTTACCCCATGAGAATTCCAACATGCTTCCTCTCAATTTACATTAGCAACGTAATTGAATTTCCACATATATTATCAAAAGGAATAAACACCAACACATCAACTTCAGCAATCAAATACCTCATCAAATTTCCATTGAAAGTAAATAATTTAAGATCTGCAGTTTTAAACGGTATCTCAATTTTGAAATCAAGCTATTTCGGATTAAATTAATGAGACGAATATCTGCACTGGTTCATATATATGGAAAAGCGTGAACTTTGTGCTCACCTTTCAGAAGCTTCAGGGATAAGAAATAATTCAAATATGGTTTGAGTAGGAACCGCCACAGCTTTTACTGGGTACTACTGGATAGATATGTCAAAAGCCTACTATGGGACTAGCCAGCTCGAGGTGTCAGATCTGGATTCTTAACACAAAAGCGTTCAAATACTCTTCTCATATAGGCTCTTCGACATCTAAATACTAAATGGAAACATCCTAACCTAATGACTAAACTTCGTTTGTTATTCTATGGTGTGCACGTCACAGCTGCAACAGTTCTGGGCAAAATGAAAATGGTTTGCTCCTGAGTCCAAATAATTTTTTTGTTATCTCTACTGTGGACCAGGTTTGAGAAAAAGTTTTCCCTACTTGATGTCAGGCTCACATATCAAAGTAAGTTAATCATCAATACAACATACTTATAGTGGAGAGGAGGTTGTGTCACTAGATTCGCTCAAAATGTAAGCCGTAGGTTTGTTGCCATTTTGAACTATCGAGGCTACACGTCACTTTAGTTTAATATTCTGCTTATTCTAGTTTAAGGAGTGGACATATACTGTTACTTACTTACACCTGTTACCCCTCGTGAAGGAACATAGACCTTCTATCAGCATTCTACATCCAACCCCTTAGATATCTTATTGCTAACAACAGTGTGACGCCTCTGTAATTCTCACATTTGCTCAGATCTCCTTTCTTTGGTATCTTCATGAGCTATCCTTCTTTCCACTCTGTCAGTGGAACTTGTTCTTCCTCACAAACCTTCCTGAATAGAACATGGAGCATGTTCGCAGTTATTTCTCTGTCCGACTTCAGTGGTTCAGTGGCATATTGTCAGGTCCTGCTGCTTCCCCACTCTCCATTTTTCTTATGAACATACTGATTTCTTCGATTGTTGATAGAGTGACTTCTATAGGAAGGTTTGTGTGTGTTGTTTTGATGTCCGAAAAGTTAGTGGATCTAACCTATCCATGAGTTCCTCGGAGTTTTCTACCTGTCTGTTCTTCTGTTTTAGAAACTCAGTGATTGGTTTCCCTTCTTTGTCCTTGACCAGTCTCCCTAGTTTGCCATATTTCCCTGCTAGTTTCTTGGTTGCATCATATAGTTGTTTCATGTTTCCTTCTCTTGCCGATGTTTCCATTGTCGCTGCTAGGACTTTCATGTATTTCTGCTTGTCAGTTTTAATGCTCTTCTTCACTTGTTTGTTTGCTTCAGTGTATTCATTTTGTGCTTTGACTTCCTCTGATCGTGTTCAACTGTTGTTAGTTTCTGTCTTTTCGTACTTCCTTTCTTGAGTCTTGTGCAGACTTTCCATAGAGAGACATATATTGTATATCATGAGTAATCGATTTATTGCTTACTTAGCCGTAAAAAATAAAATATTCTAGCAATTTCAAAGTGTAGTTTTTTCATCACTCGTCATTCTAAAATATAGCCGCAATAGTAAATAACTACACGAAACAAGTGCTTTTGAAAAGCAATGCGTCCCCAACTACAGACGCACTGATCTACGAACCACGTAACGACGAAAAGCTGTCACACCTAACGTGTCTAAGTGGCCTCAGAGACTCACCATGTGATGTCAGGCCGTAATAAAGAAAATGCGGTCGCTATAAACGGTTTAGCAGGTATTCCATCTCTTCCATTTCCTTAACCTTTAATAAAGATTCCAGTAACCCATGCAGACATTTGACACCCTTCATTCCCCTTTCCTCATGGGCAGCCTGCAGTATCTTTCAGTAGAACTTTCCTTGACTGAGCAGTAATTGAAGGCTCTGCTGTCTACCACTGACTACAGATGGCCAGCAAAAATAAAAGTCTTGAAGAATAGGCTCAGTTCTATATTCTAATTGCAAATCTTGTTCCATCTAATGATTAAGATATGTTCTGGAAGCCAGAGGTGGCTTTGAAGTATGTTGTCATTTCTAGCTTGTTTTGGGGATTGTACGATATGTTTAAGTGATACATCCTAAGACTCTGTCGACACTGCTGACTTATCGCACCTATTATTCAACACGTTTGGTAAGTCACACGAAATCAAGTAATTCCTATTTAGAGCACATAATATAATCTGTGCTTCTTCTATGGTTTTCTGGTGCTAGTTGACATGCCTCTAAAGTAAGATTAACCTTTGACTTTGATAGGATTTGTGTTTGTGCAATTGAAAATCCCCTCGCACACTATTTTGCTCCTGAATCTAATTCCAAAAACACCAGTTTGATTCTGATAATGGCGTTCTTCTCAACTTTGGCAGTGATTTACACGTAACTATTATTGTACTAATATTAGACTGTTCTGGGAATTACTATTTTCTATGCTGAATCCAATCACTTCTGTCTAATAAAATAAACCATGTTTTCGGTCTACTTCTTTGACCATGACTACCCGGGACAAAATGGAACTGGTTCATATCTGAATAAGGGTAAACAGCTCTTTGACTTACATTGATGATAAATTTTGATCTGTACTTAAATTAAAGAACTGTCTTTCGAACCTCAGACCAACATCCTATTACATATGTCAGTATTATCCTGTATTGTTTTCTCACATCATCAAGATCATTCAAAGTTTGATTTGCCAACTGAACTCCTGAAACAGATTGACATGAAGAGCACCATATGTAAACAACATGCCCTCAACAGCGTAGAAACACTACCTACTTTAAACTACCAATGGTATAGTTACAAATGTCGTTTACTGGTATATAACCTCATTTCTGTTATTGAAAACGGAAAAGTTTGACATCGTTTACACTTAAAAGTGTCGGATAATTATTACAATTACTTCTTCCATAATATCATTTCAACATGACTAAAATTATTAGAGCCATATAAAATTACTTTTCTTAGTCTTATTTTAACTTTTCAAACAGTCTGTATGACAATACATAGATTTTTAAAATAAACCCTCAATTTCCGTAGTTATTTTTGCACGCTGATTTTTATTGCTTGCTACTGTCTCTTTTCACTTTATCCCTTGTTCTGGGGATGGAAGGAATGCAGCATCTGCTCCATAGAGAATTCCAGCTATTGAAATGTCTTATGTTATGATGCATCATGTTAGGAGTCGTTGGATAGTATAAGAATATGCATGTTGGGCATCTATACTTTTCAATTTTATCGAATAGTATGATTAAGTCTAGTATTAAGGTATAACAAGTCAAATCATAACATCGATTTCAGGTAGATCATACATTCGTAACAGAAACTAATAAATCTGAGGCTTGATGTTCTTATTCATCTCTATCGCATTGTAGATTGACTCTGAAATTTCTTCGCCCACTGTTTCATAATTTTGCTGACCAGTGCTTTTAAATCCGGTTTTTATGTTAATTCGTATCCTATACAGATGAATATTCTCCCAAAACGTCTCCATGAAAATTCGTTGTTCGCGCTGTCCATATTAGTTCTAACGGACACCAAATGCATTGATGCTCTTACTTGAAGGCTTGCATCACATCAGGTTTCAACCTATCGTACATTGCTTCTACTTCAACTGTTCGAAACCGAGGTCCAAAATTTCACTGCTACTGTTTGCAAAGCAAACATACTTTTCCAAACAATCACAATCGCCTTCCTTTTCGTTCTCTTTGGTTGGTCATAATGTAATATACAACTCGCTCTATCAGTATTATTCTGTTGTGTTCCATTGATATGCTGGTACCACGTTTATTTCTCTTGTCGTTTATCCTTCTTAAATCATCACCGGTCATCAAATTTGATTCGGAGACAAAACATATCTACTTGTAAAATATTAACAATTTGTCGAAAGCCTTACACGTTAGTAGAAATAAAGGGATCAAATTATTCTTCACGTTTCTTTACAATAAATCTTACGCTACCGTTCACTATTTGCTCCCACAATTTCTTAATTTTTAACTGATTTTCTTTTATTGACATAAAAAATCTGGGTATACCAGCGATTTGAAGTGGGTTTGAACCAAAACTTTCTCACTAAACTAAATTTATTTTGGATTGTTGATTCTAGTAATTTCTCATATTTCATTTATATTCTCCTGCCTCTGTACTAAATCGATTGATAGACGAAGTCTATAGTATCATAAAAACGCAAGATGAAGTAATTTGACTGTTTTTATCACAGACTGATGATTATTCCTCTGTTGTTTCACGTTAGTCATTCTTGTAATTCTTAAAATGAGTGCTATCTACTAGGTCTGCCAGTTGAAATAATCTAAAAATACTGTTTAAATAAAAGAGCACCCAATAAAATGTACATTTCTAGGCACACGATTTTAACTTTTGCCTAGGTCTAACACTACGTCATTATTAATACTGTGTTTCTCATGACTTATAAGTGGTACTCACTAAACTACAGCGGGATTCTCTTCTAAGGTTACTTTAGCTGAACTACGGTCATATAACTCTTTTTTAAGAATTCAAGTCTACCTGTTCGTTTTACGTTTTTCACTTAGATCAACTTGCGATTTTATTTTTTGCCAACGAATTGCTTAGCCTTCACTCATCTACCACGAAACATACGTTTGCATAATGTACAAACGATAACCCGAATTTTCTGTTACACCCACCTCAGTCAGATTCCTTGTATGTATTAGTGATTACGGTTAGCAGAATAAGAGAGGTTACTATAATCCAAATGCGTCAACTGTCAGAATAGATAATAGAGGTCCACCCGAGTTACAGTATTACAGTACGCGACTACCTTAGAGTAACGACTTGAATATGACATCACTACTTTAGACCGGCTTCCACTCTGATAGCACTTCAGTGACCCTCACTTTCTGTCTACTGTCTACCATCTATCCATTCCTGTATAGCACCTGTCATTCCAAAGCTCGAGAGCTTCTGCATAAGACCAAAGTGTGGAACGTTGTCAAACTCTTTGCTAAAACCTATGAATATCACGTTGACAGACAGGCCGTTATCTAGGGCTGCTGTCCAATCCTCTCTCGCAATAAGTTAGTCAAGCATGAACGCTTGTTACAAAACCCATGTTGCTCGGGAGTTAACAAATTGTAAGAATCTATGTGACCTAGAAACTGAGGTCGAACTATCTTTTAAAGTAAATTAGCGACTGTGCTGGTGAGGCTAAAAGGCCGGTAGTTCGATACGATCGGTCACTGACCACTCTTAAATATATGACTGACTATGGCGTCTTTCCAGTCTTTAGGGAGTTGAACGAGTGAAAGGGATATGTTGAAGAGCCTCGCGAGCGATGACAGCGAGCGTCGATGTAACCCATCGGGGCTCGGTATCTTACAAGGTTAGTTACCAATAGAAGAACAGTGTACTCAGTCACGTAGACAGATCCTATGGCTGTTATCTCGGTGTGATTGGGACAAATATTTGTAACACCACATGTAGTGTAGACGTCACTAAAATAGTTTTAAAAAGTCTCAGCTTTTGCCAGATCAGATTCAGATAGTAAATCAGAACTTTCGCTTAACAGTAACGCAGGAATACCATCACCACGTTTTGTTCGCCATTTAACGTTTGAAAACAATTACTTCGGACAAGTACGGCTATTATATGCCAACTACCATTCGTAAGTGGTACGGGATTTAGCTATGGTTCCGGATTGTTTTATATTCGCACTTAAATGATGCTTGTCCTGTTGACAAGAGTAAGCCCCAGAAGTGTTTCTTACGCTTCAACAACTTCCGGGTTTCTTTGGAGGGCAATGTGATAGCTTACCTGTTGACCATGGAGAAAATGGTTGTGTTACGGACTTGAATGTAGCCTTAAACTCATTCCATTAATCTTCGATCAATTCATTAGCATCGACAGACCAGTTAATAGAGGTAGCTCAGACTCTGACTGCTGGAATATTAGCTCTCCAGATATTGGGACGGGGTGGAGCAGATGCAAAACCCTTCATCTGAAGCTGTGATCTCTATCCAGTTGATATGTGGTGCGTTGAAGTCTGCAATGATGAGACAACATTCTGACTTACTCCAAGAACAGATGTGTCTTATGATAAAGTCGTCAGCAAGACAACACGAACTACGATATATTCCTCATGTAGTCACTAACCCGTTTCTAGACCTAGTTGAACAAAATGATACCTCACATGTACCACTAACTTGCGCCTCCGATATGATCGATTGTATGAGAAAGTTATCTTTAACATATAACATTATGCCTCCTCCCATGCGACTTATAACTCTTTCACTGCTGATATAGATATAGCCTGCAATGATGGGAGAACAGTCTATATCTACAATGAATCAAGTTTCTGTGACAACAATTATATCAGGATTTAATTCATCCACCATCAAACTTAGCTCGGGAATTTTATTTCGAAGACTTCGGGCATTTATTCAGCACACATCTGAGGTGTTTTGGGAATCATACGTTCTACCCATGCAGTTCTCGGAAGCATTGTCTTCGAAGTCCTGACTACCCGGAAACTCTTAATCGTTATGTTCGCTTCGCCATTTAGCTTTCGAGTTTTTTACTCTGTAAGAGCATTCTTCCACTTGATCCGATCCTCAAGCGGCCAATCAATGAGAATTCAGCTTTGTTTTATTCTTCGATTACCTTGAAGGTTATATGTCGTCCTACACAACCTTTTAAACAGATAATATGTTTACGCAATATCCTGGAGATAATGGTTCTTCTTTTCATTATAAACGAAGAGACAAATTTGATTAATTATGTGTGATAGCGACTCAGGTCTATCTATAAGCATGAATGGGAGTCAAAATGATTCACCTACTCAAGGTCTCGTTTTCATTAGGGTCATTATGCCAGATGAGACCAGTGAAGTAATACAATACTTGTATGATAACCTTGGGAAGACTTTTAGTTTCAGTCCAACAGACCTTATCGTGGACGTCAAACTCACAGCTATAAAAAGATCGAATTCTTGCTTGAAGGATGAATTGAACTATGGTCTTTTTCTTCCCCCGTCAAAAGGAAAAGCCGGAAAGTTCTTGCAAGAAGACAGAATGTTATTAGACTATCCATTTGAGAGTTCAGTTGGTCACTTAGAAGTAATTTTCCCCTTTCGGTTTTAACTTTTTTCTAGTTGAAATATAAACAACGCGTGTATCGTGTTTTGAAAACAAATGTGAATAAGCTCCGTAAAATAAACACTAAGGTAAGGAATTTTGTTAAACGTTTATCATTCATTTATGATATGCACCTGATCTTGAACGATACATGTGCGTATCTGAAAACTCAGTGGAAGACAATTTACCGAAATTTCACTGTCTTCGTGAAGTGTGTACCAAGTCCCCTGCATTCTGATTCTGTAAAGTCCTCATATAACAGTTTCTAGTCAGTTTATTTATTATGGAGATAAATTTACCATTTTTCCAACTGAGGGTTAGCGAGGCTGTATATTTTAGTTTTGAAGAGTCACAGAGCCATATTCATATATAATTAGTTACTTCATTTTCGTCCTCATTTTCTAGTTGAAAAGATAAGCAGTGCAAACACAAACATCCAAGACCTTTGCCTTCATCATCAGTGACCAGATTTTTATTCTCTGCATGATATTTGAGGCTCATGCTGGTGAAACTACATGTGATCAACCGTTTGATAAATTGATAACTAGAAAAATAGTTATATGCCTTATTTATTTTTTATGAGAGTAGCAAGATTCAAATTACTAAAGGATTTCAGAAAGATGATGCCGTTTTGAGAGTGTTTCCGAAGGGTGGATACGGTAATGTTTAATCTGGACGGTTACTTTACCATACAATCCACAGTTTAATTACTAAAATATGTGGGGACAATGTTTATCTTCTAGGTTACATGTCAGATTCAAACAGCTTTGTTTCTCAGTCACTAATGAAATTATAATACCTGAGTAAACATAATCTGGGATGTAGGTGAATGGACATAATCTTGTCGGTTCTTTACACTATGCTTGGTTTTATCAGCAGAAATAAGGTACAATTAATAATGCAAAATATATTTATTTTGTTTTTCTAAGTGCTGTTTTAAAGGTTTGAATTGTGTCTAGTAGTGGATTTGTAGAGTAATGTTATGATAAGCTAACTTCACAAACAACAGAAAGATTGTAACTTCAGAGTGCCTTCAAAAATGTATTAGGCGTAGGTTCAAATAGCCTCGGTTTTTGAGAGGTACTTTGATCATTTCTGAATAGGGAGAGTTTGTCATTGAATAAAAAGGTGCATTGTCCTATACACAGCTAAGGCACAGCTATTTTTAGACATCTCTATCCTTGATGTGAGAGTTTTCGCGAAACAAATAAAATGAGAACTCCGTTAATATGATCAGACTGTTGAAATGTAAGTCTTTTTATCACTATAAGATCAAACGATTGTCTATTAGCCATTAAAATGGCTATTTCTTTCAATCACCTTATGCTTTTAGATTAAAACTGGCGTTTGTTTGTAAACCTATCTGATAAATAAACTATAAAACGTAAACTATTTTTCGTGTTTTATTAGATGTGTCAATTGAATGGTAAACAATATAGTTATCTGAGTCGCTACGGTGTTCTTCTGCCTGTCAACATGGCGTTTATTTATATTTATCTTAAACAGTACACACCATATTAGTCCTGTATCTAGATTTACTGACATATGTTTGTTGAGAACATTCAGAAAAGTTTGTTGGGATCCCAATTAAATCCAAGAGAAGCCATCGTGTTTGTTTGATCCTTTAGTTTTATACTGGGTATCTTTCACAGTCGTTTTATATACTGAAACCAAAGAGACAACAGGGTAGATGAGTTGTATTATATGGTGGGTTAGATACAGAAAACCTGTTTATTGTCTCCGTTGCAAAGGTATCACCAAAGTGTCCCATCTGAACAGTTTTATCAGACGCTTTAGAGGTTTTTGTTAGCCAAGCACCTATATATTCTGGTGCAAATTTATAAATACCCTTTTTTGCTTTACCGAGTTTGTCTTGCTGATCTGCTATGATTTTAAACATAAAATTTGATTTTTCTTGCATTTGATTTATTGATTAGTGTAAATAATAGGAATCAATTTAGATATGACGTAATCCTAAAGAAAAACATTTCAAGTAACTCCAACGATTTATGTAGCCTAGTAATAACTTTTTCCAATAATAAGTTGGAGTTTGTGATCATTTTATAGTAAGCTGGTTTCGTCTTCCACCTTTGTCAAGTTTTGACGACAAATTCAGACTTTTTGATGCTTTTGGTCATTTTGTCATCATCTGACATTTCAATGCCATGTTATTCCTGGGTTATTTATGTGTTTGTTAAATAATATATATTTTGCATCTCGTATAAGCGTAAGTTCCTATATGTTCCCTACAACTTGGAATCAGAGAAAAGAGCCTTAGATAAATAAATGGTTTTCATCAAAGTAGGACGATGTATCAAAGATCCAAGTACGTTAAGACGATTTAAAAAATGTCTTACACAGAAAATTTGAAAAATACTTTGAATCACTAATTTCAATGTAAAATCATGAGGTCAATTATAAGTGGTTATGCTAACAACCAAAACTGCGACAATTCGGAATAAAATGAGCAACACTTAGTCGATCAAAAATAAAATTAATAATTTTAAAGGTAATTTTACTGAATGTAGTGCATTTAGATTTTTATCTTCAATTTCTCCGTATATGTCGACATATTTTCGTGAAAACTACTTTTTTAGTAACGTCCAACACTTATCAATTCTCCCTTGAGTTTGATGGTTAAATATTCTTCCTGCTCTGTAAAACAGTGCTTTTATCAACGCCTTCTTGGAACTGGCTGAGCAGTGACTACTAAATTTCAGGCAAAAGCCATTTCACTAATTCTTTCACTAAACCGGTCGTTGTATTTTACCACCTACCCTCAGTTCCACTCCTATATCAGTCAAGTGGATCTTATTAATCTTTTCATGTTTCATAGTTGGTTGAGCGTTCCCATACTCTTTGTTGAAAATTTCTAACAAATGAGCTTCATGTTTTTGGCTGTTAAATCCAGTATCCTCATCTAGAATAATGTAACACTCCATATTGTTTTTTCGGGCCAAGACGTTCTAAGAACAGACACAAAAATGTAGGTCCGAATCTTTATACTCCCAATCGATTTAATGGCATATGATGAACTTGCTTTATACAGGTCCTATGGGTTTAAAGTGTCTGAAATTTATTTTCATACTGTAGTAAGTAAGTGTAATGTGTTCATGGAACAAAAAGAAATGAATTATAAGTATCAACTACCGTAAGTTAGAAGATATGTATGTGAATCGCATCGCCTTATTATAACGAACTGGATTATCTCTTCCCCTTGCAAGGAGCATGCTTAGCTATGATTAGATTACTTCTTGTCAGGTCATATGAATCGTACTTCTTACAAAGTGTAGATATATGATTAGAATAAAAGCCCTTTACCGTACATATGATTTATTTTCAGGACGGTGTGCAAAACCAATCATCACGAATTTGTCTGGTAACTAAGAATTGAATTGTCTGAGATACGTGAATAGAAAGACAACTTTGCTACATTTGAGTAGTCTAACTTGAGAGCATAAACTAAGCTGTTTATTAGGCATAGACATTGCTCTAACCTTGATAGGGGAAAAATACTTTCGCGTTAATTTGTCAATTAATATATGGTTAAGTCACGTAACAGACATAATTTGTGGGAGTTTTACAGGCATTACAATTACATTACTCATACATATTTAAAAATTTTCCGAAATAAACTCTGTTTAGTATTGAATGAGCTACAAGTTTCAGGAGACTCAAACCTAAATATTAATTTCAAGTTAGCCTTCATAACATACTGAGATCAGGAGAAAAAGCCGTTTGAAATTAAGATATATTAAGTAGCTTTTTTGTTTCACATTACCATTATTACTCGGATGATATCAGTTCATGATAAAAACTAACATTAATTTGGACGACCTACATAAACCGCAATCTGAAAAAGATTCTAATTAGCAAATGGATTTATCGCTACATGCTGCTTTCCAACATTTTTCTTATTATTGTCTATTTGCTTTTAAAAGTCGAGCCCAATTTTACTGGAAATAAAATCGATTACGTAACTTGGTAGTGATAGTTTCTCAAGTTAACTCAGGATTTTCAGGAATTTTCAAGTCAAGATAGATTTGGACCAATATGTATTTGTTACTATAATTTGTCGAATTCTGTACTTGTATTTGAAAGCAATCAAAGGTGGTTAGTTATAGTTGCAACATCAAATGACCCATAATTCTTCAAATGTAATTTTGAACATTACTTATGAGTACTACTTGAATTTTAAGAGATGTTAATAACACAATATTTATCGATAGACTATATATTAAAGAGTATATAAAGTAACGTATTGCTATAAAAAAGAATCTTTGTTGTTGATTTATCATGGAATAAAATTCATTTTAAAGTAGTGTGTTTATTGTGCACTAAGTAAAGGAAATTAATTCATGATCACATGTTATCTTTCCAACAAAATCATTTATTAATCGATTATTTGTGACTTTAAGGCAATTATCATCATAAAATAGCGTCGGCTAGACAATAATTTAAGAGTGGTATATTGGAATGATAATTATTTCATTGAAAATGTCAAATGAAAGTTGAAAAAAGTTCAATGGCAGTACGTTAAACGATACTGAATTATTAATAGGTGCTTCAAGGTGGTGAATTAAAGTAAACGCTAAGTAGTGGTTGTATCTTTATTAAAGCGTAATTATTGCTGGGTCAATAATGATTATCTTGAAAGTACTCACTTTTTCTTAAGAAGTCTAAAAATTTAAATCATGATACGATCTTATGTACCTTGTAAATATTATCACGTAACTATCTGGAATAGTTAATCTTAAAGGAGTGTCCTTTGATTAATCACTTATAAGTAGAAGTGTGAGCTATACTAATTTCAACAATGTCCATTTTTACTCTTAATTCTACGTCTAATAATGAAAATTTGAATTGTTCAAATGTCCATAATGTTACGACGAATACTGGTATTATTTTTTTCTGCTCAACCGTATATCAATTAGGGCAGCATAAACACAGTGGTGTTTTAAGTTCCCTATTGATTGTTTGTTCGTTGATTTGAAAATTTTCATAGTCTTTAAAAAGGCCACTTAATCCTTTAAAGTTTGACTTTTAAGTTTTATTTTCTAGACACAGGCTGTATCCACTTAAATGTGTCCTTTTCAGACAAATTTAATGTTTTTCATTTCGAGTGAAGATGTTGCATACAGTAGCTATCATAATTTATAATCATAAATAAACTTTCAGCCACGTGTTCAAAATGTTTTAGCTATTCTACACATTTCGCAAACACTCCCAGGTGGGGTCGGTTTGTATCTTTGGGAGAATTTCTGACTTGACACAGGAATATCTGATAATTATAAGTGTATGAGATGCCATGCACGTTTTATAGCAAGGCTGAATAGTTGTCTCACGAGCTAAACGTTTGAGGTTAGAAATGTAGTCATGACACTCTCTACTCCTAAAATTTCTCACATCATCTATCCAGTAAAGTGAAATCATACCAACAATAAATGCTTCAGAATAAAGTAATTATTGAGGTGAAGAAAAACAATTCGTTTATCTGTCTACTGGTAATGCTTGACCTCTGATTATTTAAACCATCTCAGTAATTGCGTTTTCTCACACAGCCTTCAACTATTCTTGCCATTTTCACAATTGTTATGATTACTTTGTAATTGTTTTTTGTTAATTACTGTCAGTTATATCATTTTGCCTACGATAATCATAACAATTGGGAAATGTTTCTTGTATTGGATACGTCATGGTCTTTCCCTCCCTTGTTACATTCGTCTGTAAATTCGACTTGTATAAATATGGAAAGTAATTATAAATATTTTTCACTAGTGAACTGAATGATGTTTTGGATGATCACGAAACTGCATTTATAAAACACCTCATTTATTCATACAAATTAGTACTTATTGGCAATATCTATGGTATACGAAATGGATTTACCTCATCTCTCAATCTTTGTTATTCTTGTCCTACAACGTGTACCAAGGGAAATAATTGCATGGAAAATGAATAAATTATGAATTTATCGTTTTCAAATCAAATTGCTATAACCATAATGATATAGAATTTGGGGAGTAACTTTTGGTTATACTAAGAGGTAAAAATTAAGCTATTGGTATATGATTTCTCATGTCTGATTACGATCATGAAGCATAGTACTAGGTTAGATATGGAAATGAATTCATGTAACACAATCTAATCAATAAACTATACTATCTCTCTATAATTGATTGTCTTTTTTGGGGGGGCATATAGATTTACTTAGTGAATTCACTTAAAAGTTAAAATATGAAATTGTAAAACATTTGAACTTTGACGAAGTTTGCAAAACAGATATGCGTAAACGAGTTGCTCATCAGAACTGGTTACGAAATATTCAGTGCAAAATAATACAAGCTGATTAAAGTATATACTGAATTATACAACCCTCAATCCTAGAGTCGGCTAATATTTAATCACTAAAAATAAGTCTTGCTGATGAATACTATTATTTAAGAGTAAAATTTAGCGTTATCTGAAAACTTGATTGATAATTTAGCTGTGAGTCAACGTGCTGACTTATAAAGTCCTCAAGATCTGTCTCTATTTAGATGAAATACGATAGTAAGTAACATGGTAAATCACTAATGTTGGTCCTAGTGAATAAAAAAATAAAGTAACAAGTCACGTAGTGACGAGAACTGGATAATGCATCAAATGATAAGATTTAACACATCTACTCAGTAATAGTTTAGTGCTAATTTAGAGACCTCAACGATCTTTCAAATAAGTCAAATACCGTTATTTAAAACGACTGGTCAAAACTAGTAGATCTTTGGTTAACTACCTTGGTTTCCACGATGAATATCTTTTGATCCGAAAAACGAATGAACAATATTATTTTCGACTTTACACATTTATAACGTTTATGTTGTCGACTATTTCACTTAAAATTAGGACACAAATGTTAATTAAATTATGATTATTGTTAAGAATTCTATTAGTTCTCAAAAACTTTCAGTGTCATCTTGAATAATGGAGAAGGGGTAATTATAAAATAAAAATGAAAATTACTTATTATTTATCAGCCAGTAATGCTTAAAATAGAGCAATCCTGATTGAAACACAAAGGAATAACATCAGACAGTAAATTTTATGCACTGTTTGTCTGATTTTATATGATATAATTCAATATTTTTTTCTAAAGACTCCTAAGGTCTGCTCTGTTGATCTATGGGTCTGATGATACCCACTGATTCTTACGTAAGGAAATTTCACGAAGTATGCATAAGAACAAAGGAACGCGTTAACCAGTTAGAGGATAGTTCAACACATACAAGTCACTGGAAGTAAGAGATATCGTGTCTGTGAATTTGATGACACTTCAATTAGTAACACCCAATGCCTTCTTTGATGATGGAAAATGAACAGTTTGAATGAGTTGTTGCCCCAGTGATGTCTTGACTGTCTAGGATGGTTTAGTCTGTAATTACCTATCCACCTAATGAACAGAAGTTTCCCAATGATTCTCAAATTCTGAGGCACCATAAGTCAAAAGGCCCTGGCGAATTATTCTCTGCCACGTCTTTTGATATGTATGACTTCTGGCCGCGCAACTAACTGATTTGTTTGATAAAGGGATTGGAAACAGAGAACGCTTAAATATCACAACACTAAGTTGTTGTCATCTTCATCTTTGGGAAGGACTTACGTAATTCATGGATCAACCATCGGAGAATAAGTCTACTTTAGATAAGATCTGAACTATCGCTTCCATCATATTTCACAGATTGATAAAACCCATGATAAAGTGATTCATAACGGGTGATCTGGTTTCTGATCAGGTTTTGGATATATCAATCACATTCTTACCCTACTTCCAAACGTAAGATTACTGCCTCATATATTGCAGGCCAAAAATTGTTGTGTAAGTTGATACAATGCCATCCTTCAGCTCGTTGGACAGAACTGTGCTCTGAGATTATCTGTTGAAGAAGAGTGTGCTTAGGAATCCTATTGACACCTTTAAAACTCTGTATATATACATTTCAGGCAAGGTGAGGGCTTAAAATCACCTCTCTCTGTTGTCCAAATCTAGTAGTGGGGTTGAACATAGTTATCTACAGTATGGAAACAGCTTTGAAGGGAGTATATGATGAGGATGGGAATCTGTATATTGCAGAGATTTTTTGACCCTAAATGTAAGGCTAATGTTGATTTACTTTAAGATTATGCACAAGCTATCCAAATTATATTTATTCAGCCAAGAATCGGTGTCCGTTAGTATGACATCCGTTTTTCCTTTACTAAAGGCAAGTTGCTAATATAGAATCCCAAGTCTGCACTCATTCTTTGTGGTGATCTTTTAGAAGTACATGAAAAGTTTGTACGTCTGAATAGCTTTCTAATAGTTAACTGTATCTTCACAGTTTTTAAACATTGACACACCTGGCTTGTTCACATTTTGGGCCTATCATTTTAGTAACTTTGACATCATTCATCAATCACCGACGCTCGTGGTGCATACCGTTTTCAGTGCTCAGTGGTACAAGATTTTCTATGTTCAGCAAACAAATAAATTTACTGTTTTTTGAAGGCACCTAAGACTGTAGTTTTAAAATTGATTTTTGACTTTAGTGGAAACACCCCTTGTGTCAAACACATTTTATAGGACATACTAAATTTTGAGAATGTTACAAACCAAAGGTACTTTTGATCACATAAAAACTGAGGATTTTAGAATAGTAGACATTCTTCTAAAAGCTTCTTCAATTACTTATGTTTCAGTCGAATTGAGTCAATCACTTGAACAAATAAAATTTATCATAGTAGATCGATCTTATCGTTTATCATAGGTCTAAAAACCTAAAGTCGAATTTCAGAACTGTTAGATAGCTTCGTAATAATGATAGGAACGAGCAATCTGCTGGGTTAATCATCTAAATCACTCAATCTTATAGTCCATAATACTGGAATTTTCCATTGAGTTAAACAGAGATAACAAAAAGTAAATGAGTGAGTAGACAAGTATGTTCATTGAGCCAATTCACGTATCACTAACGTTATTGTAGTAACTCAGTCAGTAACTGTCATCAATTATCTAAAGATTGTCTCAAATGTATGTTTAACTACTTCATCAATAAGTGTTTGATCTGGATTTTATTTACAGTTGAAGTGGAAAAGATGCGTAATTTCCACCGTGAACACAACAAAGTTGAACCAATATGGTTATATTTGTTGATTTATGTTTTCCAACTTTAGCTTATTTAACGTCATCATCGATCCCCCACCTTAAGTTCGACTTTGTTGACTCATAGTTTACACAGCAATTTCAGAAAACTTGCTTCAAAGTTATTCATCAGTGAGTTTATGATTATCCATTGTTATATCAGTTTTGGTGAAATCTTCGATATTTCTCCAACTCGTTTCAGATTGTTCATTTATTCACCTTTTTCGTTGTGCTTAAGTGAGTGTGTGTAATTTATTTTTATCGTTTACCCTTATAATTTATTTCTACCAATTGAATATTCTAAGGCAAATTTTCGTCAGTTTATTGAATATGTCAAGGTGGGTGATGTAGATAAAGTTAATAAATGGTTAAATAAAGGACTGGACCCAAATTTCCAATGGAAACCAAACGGAGGTAAGTGAATATATTAATATGATTGTTTTCAATAAATAACCAAGAGGATATCTGGATAAACTTATTGTAACAAGGAAGATAAATTGATACATTCTTGTCCAGTTTTTTAACACTGCATAAACCTATTTGCTAATCATCTATCAGATTATGCATCTACGCATATATATATATATATATATATATATATATATATATCACATAAATATAACCTATGAATTATTACATGTATATACAATTGTATAGCTTTGAGAATGGGCTCGTTGTAAAGGATAAATTAATAAATTAATTTATAAAATATGTATCTATTAGTTACCACCAAACAGAACAATTATATAGAATTAATTAATTTTGTATTGGTTGTTTGAATCTTCCCATTAATATTTAAGATTGCAATTGATCAGTCTCTTATTTGCATATGTGTATTCTGTTCAGATTGCCTCAACATCGTCTTAAATCTAAAGCAATATAAGAAGAGATGGATGATGACTAACAGTGAAATTCAGGACGCGTGATTCGTCCTATTTCGAAGTGGTCAGCTGCGTGTACTTCATCTTAAAGTTCATGCACATTTATCAATAAAAGACTGACCGATTTCAGTCCTAAACAACCAATAGAAAAATGAATAAAGTTTCACTTCAGTGCACAAGCTAGCGGTTATCTGGATTCAGTAGCTAAGTAGATAACGTGATGGCGTTTGAAGCAAACGATACTGGGCTTGAATTGTGGAGTGAAAATCAACTGTGGGATTCAGGTACATCCAGTTGACCAGTCCGGAATAGGATGAAACGCGTGTCTTGGATTCCACTGCTAACTACAATCCATCTCTGCTTATAATTACATGGAATTTTATTAAACTAAAGTGATCCATCGGTAAAAAAGTTTGAAATGAGTTTAACCATTGAAACGATAAATAGATTACTACACTGATGGTTTTTATGATATTGTCATAGTGGGGGATAGTCATCTATTCAATAGTTGGCTGTTCAATTAGTTGTGTCGTCGGGTTTAGTTGCTTAGGATCTGTCAATCCATCAAAATTCCATCATTCTGGTAGCTTGAGGTAAAGTTTGAGTCAGTGGTACATATTCTAGGTATCATTATCAAGGTTTTCGAATAAATTGAGCATTGGGTAGATTGTTATGAATATATTAATTTATTTATGGTGGTACATATTACTATGAACGTTATAAGAGTTAGGACTCTCACATATTAATTGAGCTACTGTAAAATGCGAATAATTCATTTCTACAGATTGTCACAAAACACATATAATCAAACAGAATTATAGAAATTAGTATTTTTAGTATTATTATCGCTGCAAGAATCTATTAATTTGCGTTCAAATTAAGCAATTTATTTCTAAAAGGTTCCCAAGTTTACTCACATTTTGACTGTTAGAAGACTGTGATGCAAGTTAGTTGTCGCATATTTTTTTACATCTTAGTACCCATCTGTTCTGTTATGATTAAGAAACCTGTTGTGATGCTAAAAAGCATCTAGCATAAACATGTGGTTTATAATACAATAACATTGAAAGAATTTTGCTTCATAAAAAATGTTTGCTATTTCTCTGTATTTTTATCACTGTCATTTTAAATCGGTTCAATTAGTTCAATTTTATTATGAAACAGCCAACGATCCACAGGTTACTCTACATTTTCGAAAAATGATTTAGTTTAACCAATCACAGTTCATAACAAAAAACTATTTTATGTAGCAAAAATAAATTGCCAAATCAATGACTTTTAAATCTACTAGAAGTAACATCAAAACTCCTGGCTAATTGTATTGTTGACCCTAGTGTTTGTACCAACAGAACGATAGACAGTTATGTGCAATATTAGTTTTATTGAACAAGTTATTATTCATTTAGATGAAATCATAAACGGATTTATTTTGTTATGAATAAATTGAATGTTTCAATGCTGTGCATACAGACTTTGTACTTAATTTTTTTCACAGGAGTAACTATAATTTGTACAACATCAATGAACGATTTATACATAAAATACGACCAATCATGTATAGTTGTGTTCCGCTAGTTACTTAGTGAGGCCGACGAATTTTTTGTATGAATTGTTCCTGTACCCTTGGTCTTAGATTTTATTTATTTATTTTTCATTAATTCGTCCAACATAACTGAAAGTCATTTATAAAGTACAACTTAATTGAGCCGTTTTTTCCTATATATATATATATATATATATATATATATATATATATATATATATATATATATATATATATATATATATATTCCCACTCTAACATGGATAGAACTGTACACGGTGACGTATACTGCACCACCCATATATTCATATCATAATGGATATTAGTCTAAATAGGATTTAGTAATCATATCCGAAGTGAATAAACCATTTTAATGTTTATTCATGTTAACTAATGAACGTTTTACAAAAACATAATTGTCACTGATAATCATTTATTATGAAATCAAACCGATTCTAGATATAAACTGATTTCTATACGGTTGTATGACGTCAATTATACCTCTTTGCGATTATAAAATATAATCTCTTTGACTGTTGTTCTTTTAATTTGGGCAAGAGTTTTTGACCAAGGGTTTGTGTTATTGTCTATACAAAAGTGTTAGTAAATTAATTGTTAAAGCGGAATGGATATTTGATCGGTTAAGGAAAATGTGCAGAGGCTTAAGTAATCAAGTAAAAAACGTGTGTAGAAACTCAACTTGTACATCATAGTAGTTACTGTTTGCATCCACCCTTAAAAAACCAAGTCAATTATTTCAGAACTATTATTGGCAACTCTTACAAATATAGGATACCATTACATTAAAATCTTTTTCAGTCATTTGATGGGCTATAATTAGGTTGTCAAAGATAATTAGTGATTAGACTTTTAGACAAGAGAACTAATTCCCATATGCTGGAACGATTAACGTGAATAAGGTTTTGTTATTCTAAAGTAATTCACTTAAGACCGATAAACTAATCTACAACGGTTGGACTACATTCAAACACCGTTCAACAAGAAGCTTTTTCTAAATAACTGGGTTTAGCGAAATTATTTTGTTATGGATTTCGAAAATTCGCTAGATTGCAGCTACTTCTGATATTAAACTACTTAGTTTGCTCAGGAGTATAAACAGTAAACCTTTTTAATTGGTATTTTAGACTCCAGCATTGACCAAAGCAAATTCCATATCACGCCTTGAACATTTTGGATTCCAAATGAAATCAAAGTGACATCATGAAAAACTTTTACATTAGTCGTAACTTCTATATTTAGGAATTTGAATTTCTTGAGTTCATCAAGTTAAATGCTATCGTAAATTTTAAAAGGAAATGATAAGCTATCTAATAAAATGTTTTGATGGTAATTGTTTTCACAAACTTTTATTTCCGTCAGTCTCTGTAGTAAACATCAATAAATCGAGATCTACTGAACAGATTTACAGTATTTCGATACTAATATGAGAGAATGATTATTTATCTTTATGTAATTCTTAAAATTTCGTATTTGTATAAAGGTTGACAAAGATTCCTTTTCATTTATAAAATGTCCATAGATTTCAATCAGTCCTTAATTCCTATAACTACTTGGTTTGTATACTTGAATGATATTTTTTCAAGTACAAAAGAAACTTTAACAGACAAAAGTGTATTAGAGAAAGGAAGTAGAGTCGTTGATAACGATATCAAACCCTTATAGTATTTCCTGTTTAATTAATTTGATACTTTGTCTACATTGAATAAAATGTATATATATATATATAAGCATAAATATTCAAGTCTGTTTACTACTCAGCCATAACAGTCAGTTTCCCTATAAAAAACTTGATCAATAAAATCAGCTTTCTTCCACTTAAAGTGGTGACCGTGTTTAAAATGAAGCTGTGCTGTTGTTAAGGATAAATCGGATGCTTTTAGGTGATTGGTATAATAAATTTGGAATTACTACATTTTCCAATTAATTTAAGACTGGTTAATGGATGATAAACTGAATTATAGATTTTTTCTTTGTCTTAGCTATAACATACGTTATTATTTGTATTCATATATACAAATTATTAAACAAATCAAGAGAATTTATGCGAAAGCTCCATCTGATGTATTCCCAGGTGACTTAGCCGATGAGCTAGCAAGCATCTCCCTTTATGGTTTTGTAGGGTCTGATTTATTCAGTACTCATGTTTAATTTTGTTGAACTTGGCCGATAGAAGGCACGTGGTAAATAGAAACAAGATATTTGGAGTGGTTTATTGAGTGTGTTTAAATATTCCTAATTGCGTTTTATCTCGTCTATTACACATGCCAGAATTTATTGGGACATGAACCAGCAACAGTAATCTCTGTTCAAAAGGAACCTGTAAAACCCCTATCACTATTACTGGACTGATAAGACTTAGAAAATAATTCTATCGGTTCTTCATACTTGTTTTGTTTTTTACTCCTTTCTTATCTCCTCTTCACTACTACTCCACTTAATTATTCAAACACACTTGTTGTTACGTAGTTCTTGAAGTTTATTATTTTGGTAACTTGGTCTTTGTATATTCGCGAACTTCTTATGTCAACTAAATTGCTCATATTATTATATTGTTTATTATTTTCATAGTCACCAAAATACGTGCCACCTAACTATCAATTCGTACTTTTACTTACGAGGATTAGTTAGGTAGTCCTTTACTATTGTTTAAATGACTCATAAACTGTTTTCACTGATTTAATATTATTTATATATGCATATAATATTAATGTTTATTAAAGTAAGGGTTGATGAAGACCTAATTAAAACAATATTGTCCGCCTGTATGTTTTGGTCTCATTTACATACCAATCAGGATGAATACATGTTATGAAATGTTGAACTAAAGGTGCAAAATAAAAAAGCTGAACAATATTTTTACAAATTTGACTGATGAGTTCAACTATTAAAATTACTACAATCTTCACAAATCCCCTTTCTGATAATAATCATGTTCTCACTAGTAACTAGCTTCAAGATGAATTTCCTAGAATTCTAGTGAGTCCAATCCGTGTCGGATGGAGACAGTTATCTACCTCAGACAATGGATGAAGGGTTGCGCAAGATCATGTATCCAGTAAAGTTAGACATTAACACCGTTGGTTGCCGGCTCATTGGCATACAGGTTATGTGTTCGCGCACGAGACCGAAGGTCCTGGGCTCGAGTCCCGACCGAGGGGTCGTGGGTGTGAACCGATGAGGCGTCCCCTACAAGGATGAAACGGCGCTCAGTAAATACAGTTTCCAGTAGTGGTCTACTTTAATCGACTCATGAATTCAACTATCAAAATTTCAAATGCCTCTGACATCTGAGTAAAACTAATGCAGAAATTTTTGCATATCTAATTACACACCTTTTAAGGATTGTTCTAATAGAGTGGAACTATGGTGCTATCAATAATAGACTAAATGTAGACTATTAGGTAGAAATGATGAGTCAAATGGTAGCATTGCAATATTTTATCAGATAAAGCTTTTCATATTTGTTTTATATTGGTTAGCACAGGCTTGTCAGAAAAACAGTAGTGACGTCCAGTTTATCAGGTCATTGGCTATGTGACTGAGTTGTGATGGTGGGTAAAACGCCTGTATGTTTCATTATTCAGCCATGTCAGACTAAGAGTTAATTTCGTTGTACAGATCAAAGTCCAGTTTTATCTGTCCCGTGGTACACAGGGTTCACTTTTAGGGTATTTAAACATTTACTTGTTACTAAAGTATAAATTTAATTACAAAGGGTGCCCACTATTCACACAGAACATTAATTTAATACGTAAGTTTTGATTGGTCAGGTAAACTAGTTAACAGTTTACAAGTGAACTAATTTCTGAAAAGTATTGTTATTCTCATTACCACAGAAAATTCACTTATTTTACAATATGTTTTTAAATGATTTCATAGGCATGTAAATCAGAAGTATTTGGAATACTATAATCGGATATTGCTCATTTATTCTGTTAGACAAAAATATTGCACTCAGTGTTTACTATACAAATTACTTTAATTTGTCTGCATTTTACATTGTAGTACATGTTAATCTGTGTTTGTTCTTAATTTTTCCGAATAGAAACTCCACTCACCATGGCTGTACAATTGGAAAAACCATATGAAATGGTTATGGCTTTAGTGGCTGGCGGAGCACACTTAGACTATCGGGCATCAGATAGTATGACACCGATTCATCGTGCTTCAGAGAAAGGCAATTATGAAGCTATTAAGGTAAATGTTATTTGTCTAATTGTTACCGAATTGCCACTTAAAACAAATAAAGTTCACGAACAGCATTGGTTCTAGACCAATCAATTTGTGGAAATTAATTAGCTTAGAAATAGAGATGAATCCCAAGGTTTGCTTGAAATTAGATATGTAATTGAAGTTATTCTTACATACTTTGATGGAAATAAACATATTTGTACTCGTCTGTTAGGTGTGGATAAACGCAAACACCATTAATGAGGATGGGGTACATTCAGTCGATTCGTCACTTATAAAATAAAACGTTTACCGTTAATTACATTATTAACTACTATTCAAAATGAAATAAGCTGCTGAATAGATGTAAAAGCAAAATGATAGATCAATTTAGTTTTAAGTAAGTCCTTAGTACAAATCTGTTAAAAATTGAAACAAATTTATTAATCTAACCTCAAAAACCCTGGATATATATAATATTGATATTTATCAGTATGCTTTTTAACAAACCCCAGTGATTAGTATATCTTCCCTATTGTAATATTGTGTTAGAATATAAAGAAAGCTTGTCTCAATTCATACAATTAAATAAACTGACAGAGGTTCAACAAAACCTTATCCATGATATTAGTTAGCTCTTGAAATGTGTCGACTATTATTTTACAAATATATTTTAATATTCTTTCGGAATCTTTGCTGTTGAAGAATGGAAACAAAAAAAACTGCTGTAAAATTTCACTGATGTTTCTAATGAATCCCTAATATTCATCATCATCATCATCATCATCATCATCATCATCATCATCATCATCATCATCATCATCATCATCATCATCATCATCATCATCATCAACTGTGTACATTTCTTATAAAAATTTAAGTCCATATCTGTCTAGAAATAGGGAACAATAATTTGAAATTTTTACCACACCAAAAATTTATTTCTCATATCCAGTTTCCATTTTGGTATCCCTTTTTAAATTTTTACTTTGCTTGTGGGTCACACCTCAATTATTGTTATTATTTTTTTCTATGATTAAAAATATGGACATAATTGCAACTTCCTTTTAATGTTTACTTTAAAAAACATTAATATGATTAATCAGTTTCGATTATAGTTGAATGAGTCATCATTGAAATGTATAATGGGAATTTTAATGTTATGGATATCAACTATTGAAACATTCACAGTTGTTATCAGTTTGTTTATCTACTAACTTGATTGTAAATTCAACAGTGCACAAATGAAGGAGAACTATAGTATTAAAGTTCTATAGAATAAAAGAAAAAATTCCACTGAACCGAGAATAAATTAAATCTGGTTGAAATGGTTCTTCATGCAATATACTTTCAATAGATTTTCTCAGATGTAATTCAGTAGTACTTTTTTGTATTCAAAACAACCGCTGCTTTTAAACACTTCAAATGTGGATATAAAATAATAATTTAAATATCTTGAACTGTGTGAATCAACTAAACGACTTTGTTTATTTGAGCAGCATTCCAAAATGAATGGCCTCTGTTTGATAAAACAGGAATAGTCTTGGAAAAATACTCTTAATTAGTGGTGTATGCTTTTCTAATTGGTAGTACAAATCGTTTTTATGCTGTGTGAAAACGACAGCATGAAAGACCTACTAAGCAGATCGTAAATTATACGTACATCAGTAAATTTTTCATCTTCTGTCCTCTGTTCATAGTGAAATCACAAACAAATCATTTCGCTAGTGATTCATTGAATAATGGGATAGATAAACTTGTATAAATGCAAAAAGTAAATGATGTTTTCTATTCATAATTGGCCCATATCGTTATTTGAAATTGCCGTCACTGAGTTCGTAATAAAGAATTTATGGGCGACTGGAGATTTTCAAATAAGCTTCATACGGTCATAAAAGAATCTATAAAAAATCTATTATCTCTCAGTTAAATAAGATTCTATACTTATAAATTCGGGAAAGCTGATGCTAACCCTTAAAAAGCTAACAAACTTACTAAAGTCTCTGTAATCGCAAAGGTTTCAATACTATGTTAAAGTAGTTACTCGTGAATTACACTGGCTCTTCTCAAACGAGCTTAAAAATGTTCCTAATAATCTAAAGTTCATTTTGTAACAACATTGTTCATGCAGTACAGTTACACTGTTCAAAACACATATTTCTTTAATACAAAATCACAAAATTCTTGATCAGGGTAATGAAAAGTTAATTGGTTAGTTAGTTATTTCGATGCACATTGTTAAAAATTGATTCATTATTATTTTAAAATTTATTCATAAAATGTAGTTTGATTTATGCATATTGAACATGGTTACATTTACTTTAAACTAGATTGATTCGATCTGGCTTTATGAAGCAATAATAAAACAAGTTTAGTTTGAAGAATTTTTAAACCATTTCAAGATTTAACTGGTCACCTTATGACCTGTTTATTCGACAAAACAACCTGTTTCACCTTCTTTCAGTTTACTATCTTTACTTCCAAGTCGTAATGTAAACAAATTGTTCATTAGTTCTTAAGTAATAGTCAATGAGAAAACTTGCTAAAACGTTTTTGATTCTTTTATGAACGTTCAGCAAATGTAAAATGTAGAAAAATAGTTTTGTGCAATGAAAAGCTTCTTAGTGGAAATACAAATTGTAAAACTGTTTTATTAACTTAAGTGTCTAGTATAGTTTAACAGTGTTATAATCTACGGAAGCAATTGAATTTCTGAAGTAGTCAACATTTTATGATTATTGGAAAATTGTGTTTTCCAATCTGTGAAGAATAAAACAAAATTGTTTTCATTGACGTTCCTTTATTTAATACTTATAGCTTTATCAAAGTAATGTAATATCATTTACCCAACGCCCAAATTTTTTTCAAACTACTGGCTACCATTTCCTCAGTGATATACAGGATGAAAATCAAGATTGAAATGATAGCTCATATTTCTGTGTGATATGTTATATAAAAGATGAACACTGGTGATAAGACCCGGACAGAGATTAAATGACAATTCAACATTCTGAAGTTTCCAAAAGCTCCCTATCTGGAGTTAATTCTTAACGAGAAATCGGCCCTGAAATTACATTAAATTTTATTGGAATGACGATATTTATATCTGTCTTTCAATTGCAATCATTTCTTTTTTAAGTATGATCTCGTCTTTATGTAATACTTTTGTAATGTTGGAATGTTTCCTAATGCTTGATAATTGAACCACTGTTAACGTCTAATATATCTGCATAAATTACTTCATATTTAGCTTCAACTAAAGTTCTTTTTCGATGGGAAACAGATTAAAATTTTTAAAATTACTTTCACATAAATATAATAAGTGTGACAGACTGAGAAATCAGTTTAACAGGGGATTAAAGTAAGTAACAAGTCGAAAAAAGGAAATAATCTGAAAAGAATACTAGAAAACAGATATTTAGGAAATAAACAGTTATGGGCATTAAAATTCTTCATAGAAGGTAGAGAAACGTCTGGTAAATGTGTTTTGAAGCTTTCAATTATGTATAAGCTATTTTAACTGCCTATAGTTTCGAAAAATATGTGTAATTAGTTTGAGAAAATTTTAATTTCCCATTGTTAATACCACAAAGTTTGTTGATAAGTCTTTTTCGGCGCTGTTTTTATTTGCCGAATTACCATATTTTAAACAGTGGCTCAAGTGTGAAGAATGTTGTTAAATACACCTAGAACAGTTCGACTTCATTTCACTTCATCATCGATTACCACATTTTAAATGGCTTCTGGGTTTAATATCTGTCTCATAAAACTTTAGAAGCCGTGTTTATTTAAAATTTTTATTTGTATTTCAAAACAATATAGAAACTAGCTACCGTTTTTATCATGTAGTGGCGTGCAGAGTTACACGTCTCCAAATAGCTAAGGTAACCTTGATTAAGTTTCTTGTTCCCTTTATTTTTGCAAAGTGGAGATTGTTATGATTTTGAGTTTAATTAAAATTTAGAGCATTTTTAGCTGTTACATATTACGAAGCTGCCTGTTAGTCAGTAGACAAATCTACAAAAGTATTATAAGCTCTCATCCCTGACATTACTTTTCATGGCATGTTATTTTATGATTCATGATTGTTTACGTGATCACACTCACGCGGAAGTTCATGTTAGGAATAAAAATTGAAAATATTCTTTGATTCAAAATTCTATTGTTCTCAGCTGACAAGATAAGCCCAACCATGTGTTCTAGTGCATATAATTTTGCAGTTACTTTTCTTTATATGATTAGAAAAACAATATCATATTACTGCTGACGATGATTCAGAGAATGTGTAATTTCAGTTTAACCAAACTGATAAATTCTCCATCTTTTGTACCGGAAATTTTTGCGTAGTTTCAATTTTTCTTCTTTTTTTAAAGTTGACATTTTGTTGTCCATTCGCGTTACCCATAGGAAAACAGTGATTACTAACCACTTAACATGTTCATGTTCATATGGTCGTTCACAAAATTCATTGATTGATTTACAATTTTGAACATATTGAGACTGTTTTCACCCTAACTACCTACTCGTGTAAAGTTTCCTTGTAAACAGAACCAAATAAACTGTTGATCGTATTTACGATATAAACAACTTTTATTGACTAACTGTTAGGTTTGAATGACATTCTATACGACTAGGTTAGAATTGCTTATCGTTTAAATAAAATGAAATGTAGTGCAACCTAGTAAACACGATAGGTGATAAAATTGGTTTGTCAGTAAGTTACCTGTTTATTGGAAGAAACATTTTTACCTGTTAAGAGGTTAATGATAACTTATTCTATTAGTCAGCATTATATAAAATGAGTTCTTATTAATCACTAGTAAAACCCTAATAAACTTCTAAATTTTGACCATTGTCCAAGCACTCATCCAAAGCCATACCATCAACAACTTGTATAGTATCATTTTCATCTTTAGATTTGCTACCTTAAATTATAAACCATACACTACCAACCAGAATAAGATCATATTCAGACGGCGGTAATTTAAAGGTCATAATTTATTCGTTTCTACAACTAAATGAACGTTAAGTATCATTCTTATTTCAAGAACAGATGAACGAAATAATGCATTCTATGGTACAAACGATATGTTTGTGAAACTTAGGTAAATCGTAACAGTAATTAAATACTTTACATAGCTCTACGACACTATATTTACTATAGTCCAATGACACTCAGTAGTCTTTGGGATTTTATTATGTGCCGAGGCTCCAAACATAATTCTTATTTTTCGTTAGCCGAATTATCAAGGTTATGTATCGTAGGAAAAATTGATTTGTTGTAACTATTGTAACAGCTAGTACAACTGTAATACCAGTGTTGAACTAATGTCGGTTAACATACTTATGTAGGTTATAGGAAAATAGGTTTGACTACTGTACTTGGAATATTTAAAATTTGCAGTTATTAATTAGTTCACTGCTCTTAGCTAAGCTATGCTTTAGATACGATAAAGTAGCTTAGACAAGTAAACTCAGATACATTGAGATTTCATTGTCTGTTGAAAAATCCATCAAAGACTCAGTACTAATGTAGTGAACGAGAACAGAGGCGGGAACAACTAAATATTTTTTAATACGACCTTACAGAATAACTTGGTAAAATTTGAGAATCTTACAGTAATATTTCATTTTAAAAATACCCATCGATTGTCTTAGACGTTATTGTTCCTTCGTTTACATACCAATCATTCTCTGTTTTCGTTGTCTTCTATTCTTTCAACCTTCTGCCTCCAGGCACTCCACGTTTGATTAGTGATATACATTTGTTATATCTGTTGAGATCAGTAGCACACATCACACTATGAAAGCAAAAGTATGCTGATACTTTAGGTTACTTTTAAATATTGGACCACCATATATTTTAGGAAATTTTTTCGTACCCATATTTAACAACTATACTGTTTAAGTGTTGATTGGTTTTTGGTAGAACATTTGTTAAATGCTAGTTTACAAAAACAGAATAGATTGTTATTCTTATTTGGACACATATATATCAATACTAAATTTCATAATGTAACACAAGTGAACGTCCATTGAAGATGTTTTTTCTCCAAGCTGTTCCAAATTAAAATTAAGTGACATGAATTCGCTAGTTAAATTCATTTCCATCATCCAACTTCTATTGTTATTCTCATTATGTTAACGTATAACACTGTTAAATGTGTTTTTTATGACTGGCTTGAACGATATAATAGTGATCAACACTTACATAGATGAAGCATATACATAGAAACAAACTGAAGTCAACGAAATAATTTTCTGATAAGTTAAATGCTTAAGAAGCTCATTCGTTGAAGTATTGAATCTTTGTGTACTTATATTTATTGATCATATTTAATGATTCATTGAAAGTCATTTAAGAGTTGTCACTTCAATATGCCATTCACATTATTAAATATCTTAAGACTGATTAATTTCTATGTTTTGATATACTACTAAAGACTTCCTGCAAGTAGTTTCAAGAAATATGTCTTGAATTAAAAAAAGTAGATTTTTCTTGTTAAAAGTAATCTGAAATGTGGTAGTTGGAAAAGGTATTTTATAGTTCCAAAAGAACAACTGCATGTATAATAAGAAGTAGATGTTCTTTGCTTCGAGTAGTTTGATAAGTAGAATGAAATATGTTTGTTTCGTCGGCCATAGAGTAATGGTTTACAACATAGAAAACAAATTTATATTTTGTTTAGGGTGAATACTCTTGTTCGTTTTCAAAAAATGTGTTTCGAAAAACAAAGGACTAATTTCTTTTTAAATGAACCAATGTTTCGTTAAATCGCTATATGTAGGACGATGTTTTAAGAATTGTTTTATTGATTATGACAGGTAAGATACTGAAGTGTCTTCAGTTTGAAAAAATAAGTAATGATCAGGTTTCTAAAAATATATAACTTTAACATATGAAAAGCGGGAGGTTGCGAAATGGTGACAAAGTGGTAGAAGTCAGTTATTAACGGAACGTCATTCAGTTTAAACAAACCTTTCAGGTAATTAATCTGACATCAAACGTCAACCCTTTTAACAGTAGTAAAGTTAATACTGAGAGTATTAGATGTATATTGTTCTATTTCAAAAATTTTTTTACGTATAAATCATATATTTTTGGGTAACGATTCACCTGTTGATGGATAGTATTTGTAAGTTAAAGTCGTGAGATTGTGCTTTTTAATCCGTATCTTGTTTTAGATATGTAAAGTAGTAATGGTCCGTAACGTCTGTTTGTTAACTTTTTGATTTCAAATAATCATTCAAGTTGTTTCTGCTGGTAGAGATACATTTAAACTAAACAAACTCTCCAAAAATTAATCTACGTAATAAACTGTTGTATCGTCACTCAATTTTACTAAGCGCAGTTTGACCTCATTTACAAAAATATAGACAAGAAATCGAAATATCTCATCTGTGTTATTTTAACACGAATTTACTGAATTACGTTTTAGCGTAATCCCGTTTGGCGTCATAACTAAATAACCTGACTGCTGTGGATCGATATTAAAGATTTCCAGGTAGCTAACTTATAGTCGTTGATATATTTTTTATTCATTCTTCTTCTTAATTAACTTTATCCACAATATGTATGTTATAGGTACTTCTCGATCTTGGTCAATCACCGAATACACGAGATAAGGCAGATTTAACACCATTATATTACGCAGTGTTGAACAACACAATATCTTTATGTGTTGAACGATTGCTATTCGATCATTCTCCTCTTGGAATAGCAGACGAAGCAGGACTACAAGAAATACACCAGGTGACTTAGTTTTGAATATCATAACCAATTAAAATTGTCACTAAGTTTTACTTAACATTTTAAAATATATATGGTTATATTTTTATATTTATTGTTCAAAAAGGCATCAATACCAATATAAATGTGAACTATTTTTTTTCAAGTTAACTAACTTCCTAAAAATTATCCTTAAACTACTATGTTGAATACTATTTATGGAAGTTATTGGACTCTATCTGAACAATAACAGGTGTACTGTCAAAATATAATTGCAATATGTTTTCAAATAGTTCCAATGAAACAAAAAGTTAATTGAATAATGGTTTATGACTGGGACTAGTAAGCCACATGAACTATTCCTTGTAACGTTCAACTTACAATAATATTTGTATTTTATTGCCACAAGTTGAATAGACATTTTAAAATTCTGTTAGCCTTTGATTAGGAAAAATTATGTGGAAACAGTGGACTAGTAGAGGTCCTAAACTTGGAAAATGGCTGAAGTGGACTGCCAAGTCCACTTTATTTATTTAAATAACTAATACATCATGGAAACTATCATAACTTGTTGAATATTATTTAAAAAGTAATGGGGTTATCCAATTATTCATTCAGGAATTGTATGATCCACAGCAAATGTATTGTTGAAGCTTTATATTTATGTAATTTTTAAATTTGTATGAGTTTTGTGGAAAATATACCGTAATGAATGTCTCATAAATATCTTATCAGACAATATCTTTGCTAGCCAATTTACGCATGGATCAAACGGCTGTTATTTTTCTTGATCATTGTCACATCTGGAGTAATGTAAGCACTAAAAGCCACTTTTTTTGAAATAAATTTTTATACAGGAAAAGAATAAAAAGGGGGATGACTGACAAAAGTAAATATTGATTTAAATACCAAGGGGCTTTGTTGAATACATATACATTTGTGGTAATAAATTCTGTTGTACTTCACCATGGTAACGTTTTCCCTAACATTTATATACTAACACATATCCATCAGTCATTCTGCTAATAGAGAATGGAATGAATAGTGTATTTTTCGAAAATTAATAAATCACGTACGTGATGTTGTAGGGTAATAATAACCCTTGAATGTGTTCTTCATTATTGAATTAGCTACAATTTTATTCTAGGAGGAATATCTTGTTCTGACACCTTCTCTTTTAATGTAAGGAGGGTAACATTTTAGGAGCTACTTAGGTTAACTTTGTGTTGTTTAATGTTCTGGCTACCAGATACGTCCATTCGCAGTAAATCTGTCATCTTTTAACTTTCCAAACTTAAGCAAGTGAGTTAAAACAATATATTTTTCTCAGTTATTCCGAACAACATATATAAGCGAACAATATTGTTTTCGATTAGATCCTCATCAGGCTATACTCTAATATACAGTAATATTTATATGCATATAGGAAATTATTAAACTAATCAAGGCAGTTTACTACGAGATAGACTGACTAAAGCAGTTAAGAGAACGTTTAATGCAGCCGACCTCTTTCTTTCTTACTCGACACGATCTATGGTGATTCCCCAACTAAAGGATAAGTTGCCTGGTTATGCCACTTCTATGTGTATCTATAAATTCAGCTGCTCATGTGGAGAAAGCTATATTGGGCGCACTACCAGACAACTGAACCAAAGAGTTAGTGAAAACCTCCCTTCGTGGTTAGGAAAATGTATGGTCAAATCGATACGGAGCTCGATTCTTTCACACTTGACTGATAGCGGTCATGGAGTTGACAGAAACCAGCCTTTTAAAGTTATTTACCGTATTCCTACTACTTTTCCTTATGGGTTCGATCTCGTCTCCTACACATAGCAGAAGCTATAGGAATTCGATCCAACAACCCAAGTCTCGGTGTTCATAAGAAATTTGTAACACCCTTATCCCTCCCTTGACCTTAATGTATAATTTATTTTCCATACTCTTTCTTCGTTTATTTTTCTTCACCCCCCTATCAATTATTTATTTATAATTTTTCTAGTATTCGCTTCCAATTATCTAAACACTTCTTATTACGTAATCTTATAATTTCTATGACTGTTATCTCAGTGTCTATATTTTTCTAATCATTGACCTATTTTCCTATTATGTAACATTGATTCAAGCCTTTTATTATTCTTATCACATCTAGTACACCTGTCATTACTCTATCAATTTGTACTTTTCACTTATTATTAATTTTGATTATGTAATCTATTCTACTGTTATCATTGACTCATAATCTACCTTGATTGGTTTAATAATTTCCTATATGCATATAAATATTACTGTATATTAGAGTATAGCCTGATGAGGATCTAATCGAAACAATATTGTTCGCTTACATATGTTGTTCTAAATCACAATATGGGAATTTTTCAAATTTTCAAAGTTATTCTTCAACTTCCACACAGTTACTTAAATTAAAATGACTAGAAACAATAGCAAAGTCGTCATATTTTTTATAAGAACGTTCATTTGTTTTGTAACTGTCATACATACCATCCATAAAATTTTACCATAGAAGTAATCATCGCTGCCAACTTCGTTGTTTCAGTTTGAAATATAAAGGTGACACAACAGAATATATCATGTATACATTTAAGTTCTAAAAAGTAGTATAATTTTCCAACAGCATTCTTCATTCAGTCACTCAGTAAAATCATTGTAAACAATCTACTAAATGCGTAATTAGTTTGAGATAATCAGGCCAAACATTATTATGAATAGTTACATGAAAGAAAACTATTCATTTTGGACTGTGAAATCGATATCAACTATATCTAAACTTTGAATTAAAGAATATTTTCACTAGAGTGAACATTAATGATGACCTGAAACCTTTTCATTTAGACTTGATGTGAAAAGTTAGCAGTATTTTGTTTATAAACCTTTTGTGATATTTGTTTACTAAATGTAAACAAGTTACTAATGAAAGAAAAATGAGTTTCTGTAAATACAAGCAACTTGGTAAACAGTTATAAAGTTACAATGAATATCTTCTTATTCTGGACTGTTTTAAAATGTTAAAGATCATTTCGCTATTGAAATTTGTTGTTGCCTGTGATTACAGTATTCTGTAGGTTCTTTATAATCTACTTTAAACGTCTATACATCGATGTACAGTCATTAAGAACAAAATAATTGGTGACTAACAAACATAAAGATATAATAGAGTTATAAAATTAATTCAAAACTATTGTACCCATATAAACGACGTTCAGTTGATATAAATGATAATTAAATTTCGTCTTCAAGAATCGGTACCCGTATTCTATAAGGTTTTTAATTTAGATCAAACCACAAATACATTTCTACAATGTTGGTCAATTAATTTTACCAAATATTTGACTTGAGGAAACAAATATTTAATGCTTCTTTCATACCATATTTACTCGTAGTTTAGTCGAAATAATCTGACCGATTACATTGCGGTCCGAACAACATTGAACGTTTCGTCTCATTGGTTCTGTGCTTATAAGCAATTGTATAGCGGACGATTTATGACGCCAAAAGTAACTTTGGTTCAAACAGTTTTCTTCAGTCTGATATAGTATGATATTTCTTCATTTATAGAGGTTTCATTAACCTTATTTCTTAAAGTGACTTGTAAAATGTTTAGAGCTCGATGATTGGAAAATCGCTAATTGTTGATGGTTTTCTAAGTTACCTATGATGTCTGTATCAGATTGAGTGACGAAGTGCATTAGTGCAAGGAAGGAACGTAAGAAAGATTATATTGAAGAAGCTGTCTATTATGCATAAGAATATTAAAGTTTACCTATTCCTCTTCAATATTGGCATTAACTAGGAAACACTAGGCGTTCACTACAAAGTAATCTACACTTTATGTGTGGTAAACACGGTATAATTACTAATGGTAGTTTAAAGCATCTATCTATATAAAAAACAAATTATATCACATAACATCAAGCATCTCTTATTTAAATGGTGTTTCTTGTAATACACATTCTGTTATTACTAGTAATAGGATTTCTGAAATTCTTCGCCTATCAGTTATCTGAAGCCATATTGAGAATCTTCTTTGATTTTCTAACTCATTTACCATTTTGAAAATAACCATCTAGACGTTGTATTGTAAAACCTGTAGAGCTTCAGGTGTCCAGTAATTAGATATTTTTAGCTGAAGATGTTATGTACACCTACCCTACTGGTATCGGGTAGGTGATGAAAAGGTAAACACATAGCGTTCTTGGTAATATTAGTCAAAACCTTGAGCACGAGTAAATATCAACCATTTACTAGTTAATCATACGTATGCTGACTGTTAAACAATATTCATAATGGTTATGAAATAAGTCCTCTGACCAAATATTCTCCTGGTTATTCCAAATAGGCATGTCGATTTGGTCGTGTACAGCATTTGGAAATTTTACTTGCCTATGGTGCTGAAATTAATGTACAAACATCAAAAAACGGCAACACTCCACTTCATATATGTGCCTACACCGGGCAAGAATCCTGTGCTCGGATGTTGCTATTTCGAGGTGCTGATAAAAATATAAAAAATTTCAATGGACACACAACTTATGAACAAGCGATGATTTCTAATCACATAGAAGTAGCAGATTTAATTAAAGGTTTTCATGAACAAGATGTTGGTAAGTACTTCATGATTTGACATATGTGTTAAAATATGCTAATAAGATTCCCGTCTTATCCATTTATATGAAAAATGAATAATTTTAAACCTTACATTATTTCTATGAGTTTTTAAACATTAACCTTTTCTTATTTTCATTTCATTAAAGCAATAAAGTTATGCAGTTTAGAGATTTGTTTCATCGCTGACTGACGTAAATTGAAGAACCCTTTAAAAACAGGGAGCGAAGAGCTTCCCGAATTCCTCAGGTATGGATAGTAAATGTGGGATCGAATCCACAAACATTTAGTGCCAAGAAGCGGATGACACCTTTCGGTTTACAAGAGAGAAACCACGGGTCCTTACTTTAAACATTCGTATCAGCACAACTCTTCAGTGTTAAGTAAAATAGTGTTTAGCAGCTCCATGAAACTACTCTGGATTATTCGTTTAAAAATCCCAATCATATTAAAAGACTAATATATGAACAAAGAATATTCTTTTCAATAAATTTTCTTCAGGTTCTACAATTATATATCCAAATTAATAATCCGAAAAATTGGCCAGGTTAAAGGCAAAGTACATAGTTTTAAAGCATGTAAATTTAGGATTGTCAAACCAAATAGTTAATGTTGATATGACTCATATAGAATGTTCACTTGAATCTGTATATACGTAAAGTGAAAATGTAAGATCTGTGATCAGAATATAAATATGGGTCAGATAGGGTGAGAGAGATATGATAGTGCAATTACAATTCGATCAAGTGGAAGACTAAATGTGTGAAAAATTAGTTAAACGTAATAAGGAGGGATCAATGCGAAGTGAATGAATCATGTATAGGGGAGGAGGTTAATAATGATGTTCAACCAATAATAGTAATAATAATAATAATAATATGGTAAGCAGAGATGGATAATAATATTAATAATTATAGAAGGGGTTTTGTGGAGATTTAGTATTTATCATTGTTGAAAGCGTGAGTCAATTGAAGCTAGACCACCATGGAAAACCTGGAAACACTGGACGGCCGTTTCGTCCTATTATGGGGCTCCTCAGCAGTGCGCATCCACGAACCTGCTCTCGCGAGCGAGATTCGAACCCAGGACCTACTAGTCTCGAGCCGAAGCCCTTAACCGATAGACCACTGAGCTGGCATCCAACGGTGTTAATGTCTAACTTCAACTGATCCACGAAGTTGAACAACCATTCACCAATTGTCTTCAGTGAGTTCCTATCTCAAAACAGACGTGGTTTTGAACTCCATAATTCGTGGATGCGCACTGCTGAGGAGTCCCATAATAGGACGAAACGGCCGTCCAGTGTTTCCAGGTTTTCCATGGTGGTCTAGCTTCAATTGACTCACGCTTTCAACAATGATAAATAATAATAATAACAATAATAATAAAATACAAAGATTTGTGAATAAAGATAAGAGAGACAATTACATTTGACTACGAAAGGTCGTAAGTACATAGTCAAATTAGGTCATACAATAGCTAAGATGATTGTTCATTAATTGGCCTTGTGGTTGGCCAAGGGAGAAGTAGGGGTTGGAGATATTTCTTCTGTACACATAGCTCAGGTTTCTTCATTCTGATGGCTACTGCCTCCGCCGTTTGAAGGACTTTAAGCCTGACAAGATTAGGCAAAACGTTACTGACCCTATAAATAGTTGAAAAAGATTGGTTTATACTGGCACTATGACCAGTTTGTACTAAATGGGCCAAAATCGAGCTGTTTACTTTCCTCATCAGACCTTTGCTTAGCCACGCTGGTAGGTGTTCACGAGCACGAAAATCTTAATTCCTAGAACTTCGACCACAGAAGCAGTCGAACTGATAAATACAAAATGAAGTGGTCATTCTAGGAACTTCATCTTTAAGTCTCGGTGTCATCATTGGGCGCGTAGAAAACACCAAACGTAGTTCACCTGCGTTGAAAGATTTTTGGATAGATCTGCGTAATCTCTGAGCAAGTATTACTCTGGATTAAATAATTCTATGTATAAGACAGGTTTTCGGAGGAAATCATTTTCAAATCATTCAGAGCTACTGTACAATTACTCATCCTGAAACGTACATAAGAAAATCTTCCTACTGTCTTAAAGTATCGAATAGTTAGGATTTGCTTTGATAGATATGAGCTTGGTATTACCTTTGAATATCTTAATCAACTTTAAACATGTAAAATAGGTTAACACTTTAGTTCGCATAATTTCTGGACGTTTATGCTTTCTTGTTTTAAGTTCCAGAAGGTTATTTGAATAAATTCACTTTTCCGTTATTTCTCTAACCAGATCACATTTTATTCTCATGCTTCCTTATCCCTGGCGTCTAACTTCGGTTTCACAATGTTCGGATTCTTATTCTTTTGCTGTTCATTTGAAAAGCATTTATGGTTTATTTCAGGAAAAAATCTTTCAACTTAATACTTTTGTTATGGATTCCTATAGCTACAATTTCGCATTCCATTATCGTTTATCAAACATTTGCTTGCAGTTTCAAAATCCCATTTGTTGATTATGTTTTGTTTGCTTCAGTTATTTAGTGTATATTATTGGCTTTTATTCAGTTTTTACAAGGCAGTTAAGTAGACCGAATTCCTTCTTAAAATATTTCATAAATTCTTTCCCCTTTCAGTAGTCAATTTAAGCTTTTACCTAGAAGTACCTGAAAAACCAACTAAAACTTGGAATATAATACAATCGTTAAAATTAATTTATTAAGTTTCGGTATTACTGATCACTTTTTTTTAGAAATCGGATTTAAATATCTAATACATTACAGAAATTTATTTTCATAATTTAATTACTAATTTTCTCCTGGTGAAATCGAAGTAGTTTGTATCATTAGGTGTACTAATTGTTCTGACCAGCACTTGTGGTCAGCTATATCTTAAATAACTGAACTTTCAGTCTAATCGGTCAACTCGATTGAAATAATAGTTATTTATTCTAAATCTTATAGAAAAATCTGAGTTTAACACAAAATTAAAGTTCGTATCATTATTACCCACGTTCTTATAATCATGATACTATTCTAATCTATGTAACACCATCAAGACCAATTAAATAGTTTTAGCATAATAAGGCTTAGCCAAAAAACACACACACAATTTTCATATTAATTTTCTAACGTTTATGTGTCAATAAGAACTCAAATCCTGTTTGAACACGATCATAGTAACAGTGTGTCAAAGTTCATTCTTGTTCATCATAATGAAAATAATTTTTCTTTTTAAAGGTTTTATCAAATAAAAATCTAAACTAAAGTCGTAATTAGAAACAGAATAAACTTCATTAAAAATAAGTTTGTAAACATTGGGAACGAGATGGAACTTGAATTTTTGATAAGGATATCAATGCACTTGAATACAATATTGCGAAACATATGCGAATGTAGCAAGGCTATAATTCTATTTTTATTATTGTGTACTAAAGACTTTTATGAGCTGAAACAAAGACTTAATTTAGTTATCAGTGTGATGTGTCATGTAGCTGAAGTCATGAATATTAAAAAAAAATAGTGTGCAAGATTCGTCAGAAGCATAAATAGCCTGTAAACGATTGAATCATGTGTTCCAATCTGTTTGTTAACTTACGTGTATGTGGACAAACAAACGTAGGGTGGATTATTCACGAATTCCTATTAGGAGTGACCAAACATGTGAAGTTTGTAAAACCATCCAATAAGTGATGAAAATCGTCCATCTTCGTCTACTACCAAGCAATAAGATTGATCAGAAGTCGCTCATTATGTTTTTGTACGAAAGTTGTCTAGGGTGAACAATCAAATTTCTTTAAGCCTTACCCATACAATAACTCAAACCAATCACGCCTGCTTAAATATAGTTTGCGCTTTCACTACAGCCACCCTGACAATATTAATTTGTTTTTAAAATCCAAAGTGATATGATTACATTCTTAATAACCATAATCTTCAGCAAATGTACTTTACCTATAATTGGTAACATTGATACCTGAAACAAAAACATACTAAGTTTAAGGCTTAGATTATGTTCCTTTTCCTCACGTACACAGTTGCGAAATCCTGTAACTCTTCAAACTGAAAACTTTCGTCTAATCTGTTAGCTGTTTAATTCTTTCAAAACATTTTTTATTAATCGAGTGTCATCACAAAGAAGATCACGTTGGTAATTAGGCACGTCTTAAATATAATATTCTGTGACCACTGAGTCAATTCACAGATCGACTAAAGTTAAAAATGCGAAGGGAAAAATTTCGACACCTTTTTCCAAAGGTAATATAGCATGAAATTTTCATAATTGGTTCTGGGTTTAGTTATAAATAAATACTGTTGAGAGACTTTTAACCAGGACTAACCAGATAGTTTAAGTCTGCGACGAAAATTATTTTAAACTGTCTCATGTTACTGAATAGCTGAACGATGTGGAAAAAGTGTTCCCAGAGCATTATATGCTGTAAATCAATAATTTTGGTCATAATGTAAGGATAACTGTAAACATCTGACCCTAATTTCACGTAAGGCGAATTTCAGAAACATGTAGTTCCGATGAATAAAGAACATTTACTGTATGCTCTTTTTAATTCCCTGTTTCCTGGAAATTCATCATATGCAATTTAGGGGTTTAGACAACAGGTCATTGTTTCGACTTCCAGGTGACAGGCCGTGGATGCTCACTGATGAGTGCTCTATTGTAAAACGAATCGACCATTCAATCCTTCTAGGCTTCTAGTGACCGTCTAGTTATTACCAGTTCTTGAGTTAACCTACGAAAATTGTACGATCTCCACAAATCCCTTCACGAATGCAAATAGTTAGATCAGTGTAAAGTTTTGAAAGAAACTTGAACTAACATGACTGACCAATCAGTAAATGATTTGCCCTATTAAATTCTCATTGTTCTCCAAAATATTTATTTGGTTTACAATGAGCTAACGAATTTCAAACAATTATGTTCTACAATCTTTATAAATATTTCTGTTGACTTCATACCCTAATTTTTGACTGTTTACTAAAATTGCGTTATATAATTATGATTAATATCTGGAGACTGCATAAGAGAGAGAGGATTTACCCTATCCTTTGGATTATTTTAGAAATATTTTCAAGTTTGTTCAGCAGTTTGAAGTCAGTTTCCCTCTTCTGTTCCTATAGTTTCTCCTACCTCGACTATCAACTTTAAACTTTCTCAGGTGTCACCACAGCCAGCTATTCTAGTGCGCGAAATACTGTCTCAGGTCTACTGAAACCTCTCCCCAAACTACACATAAGGATCTTCAACGCACGTATCCTGTCATATCGGCCTGCAGGTCTCCTTAGCTAAGACCCTAGAAACTCATCCGACTGACGTATGCTGTGTCTCCGAAACACGCATACAGGATTCTAGTGTGGTCATTCACTTGACCTCACCTCGTCAAAACGGAGAGACGATCAGATACAACTTCCGTTTATCTAAAGTTGTCGTGAACTTGTAAGTGTAGGCACAGCACTTAATATGAGGGTAGAAGAAGCCCTTTAGGAATGGTTCCCTGTTAACAGTAGCCTATGTGTTGTTCAGCTAAACAGCTTCGTACGAACTTGGAAGGATAGAGACACACGTCGTTGCCTTCACGTCATGTCTGCTTACGCTTGCACTGACTGCAGTCAGGATGAAGTGAAAGACGACTTTTTCAGAAAACTCTCTGAACTTCTTCACAAAGCTAAACACTCAGACATAGTACTCGTTGCAGGTGACTTTAATGCCAAAGTAGGTAACTTAAACCAAACAGAAAGACATTTAGGTGGGTATTTTGCTATTCCGGCTCAGCGAACAAATAATGGTGACTGTCTGCTGAAACCATGCTCAGACAATCGTTTATTTTTAGCAAGCACTAATTTCAGTAGTTCGTTCTGTTTAATTTTATCACCGCGAAACGTGACCATTAAGAATAGAGGATACTCGCAAGTTACTAGTATTTGATCATAGATGTCTTAGAAATATTACTTACATCTGCTGGGATCACCGGGTAAGTAATAGTGAGGTTCGCTGTAGGGTATTAGGGAATGATGGTAAATCAGTTGATGAGGTCATGAATCTTCATCGACTGAGATGGTTGGGCCACGTGTTGCGTATGCCTGAAAACAAATTACCAGGGCTCATAATGCTGACTAGTGTTGGAGACGGACGGAAGTAAGGGGCGGCCAAACCAAAACGTGGCATCAGTGCTTGAAGTCACTAACTTCTGGTGTGAGCCATGTTGGTAGATGCAGACTACTTGGTTGGGGTCCGTGTGACTATCGGAACCATTGGTCGGAGACTGGTTGACATGGCTCAGAATCTATCACAATGACGTAGGTGTATACACTCTTTGTCTTCCCTTAAACCGTGAGATTATTTTATACCTCTCTTTCTACAAACTAATTCTTTCTCCTTGTATTATGTCCTTATACGCAATCTTTCTTTTATATATTAGTACCATTGGAGTAACTACTTCTATGAATTTGTTGTTCATCTTGTTGTGCTAATATGGTATGGCAACTTGAACCCACGCATATATGTGCCTGGTCCTATTTTGTAGCTGACTGACTGACTAAGTCTGTAGTAAAAAGAACTTTCCTCTACAAAAATAGATGTAGATTGAAGGTTTACTCTTAACTTGAGATTGCTTAGTTTCTTTGAATAGAATTTCCTACAGATTACTAGTGAAAAATTCATGTTTCACAGAACGATTTTACACTTATTTACGTTATATTACAAAATATTCCTTTCAACTCTTCGCATTTTTAGTTCCAATTCGTAATTATCTAAAGCGTAATCTTCGTCGCAGATCATTTTCACGTATACGGTCACAGCAAAGGTGTTCTAGTATGGGGCGACTGAATGAATTCTCAAAGCAAAATGGAACAACTGAAGTAGATGGATTACCTGAATTTGAACAAGATCATTGCAATACACTTAAAGGGAACCGTATGATAAGAAATAATACATGGATGAATACTAGTATAAGTGGTTATCAGTTAAATTCTATGGTATCTGATTCCATAGATTTTGATGACAATAAAAGTAAGATAGTTGTTTTATGAAAACAATGAGATATAAAGTCTTTGAAAAGTTTTTATAAGTTGATCTGTTGTAATAATCATCAATATTGCTTATCAGCTGTTCGTCGTGTTGAAGGGGTTATGCATTCATCTTTCTAAATAGATTGTATCTCAAGACAAGTCAACATTTAGAAGAGATGTCACACCATTCCTTTTATTCATATTTACGGATTCGCAAATAAATCATGAAGCGATTTCATTACAGTAGTTCTTTTTATCTTTTGTCAAATCCATCTACTACGGACTTGATATGCTTACTCATCACTTAATTCTCCAGAGTTTCGCCGAGTGGTTTTCTCCGACCTATTTTTTTGTAATTGTGAATATCATTGGAATCTTTTTAAAAATTGACATTTAAATCTTGTTGCCAAATATTCTACCTTAGATAAACCGTATGCTACTCGGTCTTGCTTCCCACGATATTCACGTCTGGATGTAATATAGAAAAAACTCCATTTCACACATTCAGCTATACAACGTTCCCCATTATGTGACACAATAGTATTTCTCAACTTGATAAATCACGTTTTTAGTCGTATTCTGGTTGCAATCAGAGTTATATTACGTCTTTCTACTTCGATTGTAGCTTATATGGATCAGAAATGAAAATTTTAACAAAGACCAAACTCATCTTAATCTTCGAAATCAAAGCTATCGAATGTAATTTAAAGTAGACAACAAATTAAGGCCCAGGATTACCTGAATACCAAATCAACTAAGTTAACTACTGTGAAACTGTTTGTACAAATTTAGATGAAAGTTTTTATGTGTAATACAAATAGTTGTTTCGATTGTGATAATGAAATAGCTCTTATGAGTAAACGAATATTCTAAGTTACTATTAAACATTTGTTTCATTCTGCATAGCTTGCTCCTGGTCTCGCTCTAGAAAGACAGAATGAGAAAGGAATCTAATGGAAAAGCTTATTTATATTATTCACTAGGCGACATGCTTAATTTACTAATCTTTCCATTTATTTTTATCCTAAGCAATTTTTTATAACATATGCAAATTATTATCTTTCTCTACAGACTATATTCCTCGTTCATGTTCATAAGTAAATATCATCTCATGAATAATTCTATTGAATTAATTAATTGTCTCATACCAACAAAGCTAATTGGGAATGTTATCCTGAAGTTCAGTCATTGAAATGACAGAGTTGAGGTAAAATATGTAATTAGCCAAAATACATTACTTGATCAAGTGTTTAATTGCGATATTCCATAAGTTTATAATGAAATACAAACGAGGAAAGTGACTACAAAAATAGTAATTTACATTTATTCCAACATAATCGAGGCAAAGACTGTAAAAATAAATCACCTCTCGAATGAATGTTAATTTATAGATATGAAAGAGAAATATTTTTTGAAATTTTACTATTCATCAGATAGTCAAAACATGGTATAAGTTGTAAAAATGCGCAACTTGACACTTTTCAAATATGAAATATCAGTAAGGCTTTTGTTGTTGTCTTCAAGCTATTCTGTTTTATTAATATTATACGTTTGTCGAATTGAGGGAATTAGATCATCATTTTACTTGTGCCATGGTGATGGCATAAACTGATACAGCAGAAGTAGAAAAAACTCCTCATTTTGGCCAACTTCATCTGTATTTCTCATTTGAAAGATTAAGTGAACAGTTTTAACATGAAAAAGGAGAAAATGAAAAACTATGGACAAGCTAATTATTAATCGACATTCGATGACAAAGTTGACCTCTCTGCATTTATCTGAGTGATTCATATCCACCACAATATTTATATAAGTAGAATACACTGAAGACATTTCCTTTCATTTCTAATCAAAGAACTATTTGATTTTTGAAGCAAACTTACATAACGGAACATCCAATAAATTGTTGACTTTCTCTATAGATTACGTGGCAGTGCCTGATGATCAGAACAATAATTTAAACCAATCTAGATCTGCATATAATCTCAATAGACTATCGAATGGTATGAATCAGAAGTGCCATAATCCTAATGACATAGTTTATCCTAACTATTCAGCTACCATGAGACCATCCCAAAGTCGTCGTACAGGACGTTCGTCAACACCAGCAGCACCTCGTATAGCAAGTGAATCCTTCAAAACAACTAATTTACAGGACCGACACAGTACATATCGCCCAAGTTTAGATCCAGCATGGATATCTCAAACAAATGAAAGTGGCTCAGAAACAGCATCTATTTTTAGCGTTAGCTCTTCTATGCGGAGTAAGCCAATAATTATCTGATTCATGCATTTATTATTTTTAAATTGTTTTTAAATGCCACACGTCAAACTATAAATACACAAAAACATTCGATAATCTAATCATAAACCTCTTTGTTACTTAAAACATGAAACTGATAAGAGTAACGATCGGTCGAAGAACAGAACTAACTTACTTGGTAGTAATAGTAGAGTTAGATGTACTAGATAATCAATTAAATTTCTGTCCTAAGAATTTATTGTTATTAATGACACACTCTTAGATAACATTACCTACACTTGAAGGTTTTGTCAGTATATATGTAAAAGTATCACGTGAATATACAAAATCACTAAGTTTCTATAAAGTAACTCAGTCATAGGTGTTTTCATGTTATTTAAAAGTAAACAATTCGATTTCAATAATAGTGAGCTTATTCTTTATAGTAGTCAACATGTTATTAAGATAAATTGAAAGCTACCTAATCAAGACAATTTCATATGTTTCCGGACATTAGAAATTTGCTTTAGTACTAAGCATATACTTATTTTATCTGTTATCGAACAAATACTTATTTTATTAAATAGCTTCTAATTTTCTCTGTCATAATTAAAATGAGACGTTGTAGACTTATTATGTCAACGCGTTGTGGTTCGGTTAATTTCAGTTAAAAATTGTTGCATCTAGAGCTTGAATTCATACTATACCTATTGCAACTTGAGCACTCGAACACTAGAACTCTCCAAGTCGCAAATGAGGAAACAGAAGACAAGTGAAAGGAATGCTATTCCAAACATTGTCAAATATGGTACAAAACTTTCAGGTATTTATAGTTTTTGGTAAAAACGAAATCATCATTATAGTAATCCAGTCCGCATTCAGGGGGATTTTGACATTTGTCTCATAAGCAAGCTGCACGTTAAGATTCTAGAATATTCTTACAAAAGATAATTAGATGGAATGTCTTCGGCTCTTTCTGAGCTTCTTAGAGCTTCCTCGAGTTCACCCATGAACTGTCCTCGCAGAAATAAAAAAATACTAAAGAAAAAGAATCAACTCTTCAATGTAGTATAATTTTGTTCTTGACTAAAATTTCACATCAACTTGTGAGAAACCTAATTTCTTTTAATTACACAAGCAGCTTTTTTGTCTAATTAATAAGGTATATCATGGTATATAATGGTATCTAAATGAAATATATGACCCCTAGATATTCTGTCTCAACGTCATCAAGAACGAAGCTCATATAATTCAGATGAAATTATCAGCAAGGTTCTGTGAACTTACAGTTATTTAATTGATATAGCCTATTTTTTATTTCCATTGTGAATTTTATTTAAATGATTTAGCCAAATAAATTTTTAGTCATCCAGTTTATTAATACATTTCGAGCAATTACTTATTTTATCAGACGAAAGTTCAATAAAATTAGATACACAGATTCAGTTTTATTTTTCATTGTTGCAACTTAAACTACAGTCATGTGTTAGTTTAAGCGGTTACATGATGATATCTTTAATGTAAGGAGTTTACTTTAGCTTCGATTCACTCTCTTCACGTTTGGATATCCATTAAGAAACAACTTGAAGACTCCCACTGAAGTGAGAAATTTACTTCATTATAAGCCAATTAATCTTCCCCTCTACTAATCTCTATTATGCGAAAAATGTAAGATTCTAAAAATAATATGAATCCAGTTATTTCGTGGTTCTAGAGAGGAGGTGGGCAGTGAAATTTTGATGGCATAAGTTAAACTACAACAAATGTAGATTGGTTGTTAGGGTAATATCAATTACATCCAGAAAAGAGCCAAGGAGAGAAAGATTTTTTTGAACAACATAATACACAGCTAAGTATTAAAACTTGCATTGATAGATCAGAGATAAGTTAACGGTATTCCCTATCTGAACACATAAAATTGGTTCCAGTAATTTGTTAGTACTAGTTTCTTTGGAAAGCAGTAGATTTATTTTTTCCTGTTTGCTGATTTATTTTAAGGAAGTTAGCTTCATGTCTTTTATCAAGCTAGTAATGAGCGTGCTTTATATTAAATGATAAGTTGTAGTTTTATTGTCATTTTCAGTGAGATTTACTCAATATGAATAAGAACCCTATTTTTTGCTCCACCGATGTATGTCTCAGTGATTTGATGACCAATGAGCTAAAAACATTTAAAAAGTTAAGTCCTTCATGGTTCTTCTGTATAACGGTACATTTATGATTATAAATAGTGCAAACAACAAGGTTTAATTTTTTTTCAATAGATTATCAATTTCATTAGGTATTGTGTATTCGATCATTGTAATTTGAAGAGTTCCAATTCAAGAAATTAATAGATGAAATACATTTTTGTTTTTTTAATCACTTTACTCATCATATGTAAACTTTGAATATTCTTAAAATTTTCTCAAGTAATGTACAAGCCCCCAGAGATTACCCATTAAAACATAGGAGTTACGGCAGTACATAAAGTGAATAGTATAGTGAATAGTATACACTACTCTTCAAAATGGTAATAAAATCGATTAAATAAGATTTAACTTAATTATACCACGAAATCAATCTGAATTAATCATTTCTTTATTGAGTTTGTAATTAGTTAAAAGTTATTCTATTACGATTTTTTTTAGTTTTCTTGTTTATTATGTATTTTTACTTTATTCAGAATGACAAATCACAATGAAAAATACCCATATGTAATGTATATGTATATATACCTGTCATCCGAATTCGGCCTAATAATATCTTTTTCACTAGATATGAGTAACTTTCATCTTATTTTAATGTTAATGCTTGTTTAAACCAGTTTTATTTTTGAAACATGAAGCAATAAACCAAACTCGTTTTTTTTCAGTAGAATACAACGGAATTATCTTATTCATGCATACATTTTGAGCATGTATATTATTCACTGACTATTGAAAGTTGTTGAAGTCTTCACATGAATCTATTTGATTATTGATCATAGTTTTTAGTCATTGCTAGAAGAGTATTAGTAAATGACTGTATGTTTGTATACTCACCTATGTCTGTTAACTTAGATTCAGGTCATTTGATTTTAATAATACCATCGTTTACTCTTATATGAAGTTTAAAACGTTTTTTTAAGAAAAAAAACAATGAAAAATGAAGTTGTTAAACAATGCTTATTGTCACTTATCATTTTGTACAAATTATGACATTGATTATTATCCAAAGAACAGTTTTAATTGTTAAGAAACTCTAAATAATAATGAACAAGTTCACTTAGTATTACTTGTTTGAATCTTCCCATTGATGTTTAGGACTGCAACTGGTCAGTCACAGAGTGAACATCAACTCTCAGATGCAGGTACATCCAGCTAACGAGTCCCAAATAGGACGAAACACGCGTCCTGGGTTCTACTGCTAGCCACTATCCATCTTTGCTTACAATAATGAACAAGAATTTAAAAAAAGATGAATCCTTTTAGGAAATAACTGATGTCATCTTATGGGAAAAGTGTATATTCTCTTTTACTGAACCAGTTTTTCTCAATCAGAAATCCTTAAATAATAATATAAAAAGTCAGATATTTGACCATTTTGAACCTCTATGACAGCGTTTACAATGAGCCTATTTGTTTAATATGGAATTATTTTCAGGTTAATCAAGACTTAATCGGTGGCGAATTTTACCACATCATTCAAAACGATGGGTGTTTGAAGTCTATATTTGCTAAGACCAACATGTTATTATAATATACAAGTTACCACACAATAAAATCAGAACGTGATAATTCCCAGAAATAATTGACACTGAGATAAATAAGACAAATATACTAACACTTTAAGAAAACAAAATAGCTAAAAACCCTTCGCTTCATTTTTAAATTGCAGAGCCTAATTTACAAGTTAGCAACTAGACTTTATCTGTTTTGAACATTTTAAAAGATTGCAAAATATTAAGTTTTATTTATCAGGCTAATCCGTTGTCAATAACTATAAATACGATCCACATAAACCACAACTTAATAGTTAGATCAGGAATTATTACTAACCACGTTTATTATCAAAAGAAGCACATCTACCATAATATTTCGACTGTTTCTTCATTAAGCATTGAGTTGTTTAATAATACCTAAAATTTCCATTTAAACATAAAGAAACACGAAATTCAACGACAAATCTCTTTATAACTAATTTATTATCAGGCCTCGTTGTCTGATCGCCTCTATTTGCATCTTCCAATTCATCAACTATTGTGAAGCAAGATATATAGGTTTCTTTTTAATATGGATATGAAAACATATGCCAGTATGGTTCAAAAAGGGTGAGAAAGAAACGGTTAGTTTTCTTAGACATTTAATCCACGCCAACATGTCAACTTAAACATATGCTCATTTTAAGGTTTAGAACAACATATGTAAGCGAACAATATTGTTTCGATTAGATCCTCACCAGGCTTTACTCTAATATACAGTAATATTTATAAGCATGTACGAAATTATTAAACCAATCAAGGCAGTTTATGAGTCAATGATAACAGTGGAATAGATTACAAAACTAAAAATAATAATAAGTGAAAAGTACAAATTGGTAGTGTGATGACAAGTGTACTAGTTGTGATAAGAATAATAAAGGCTTGAATCAATGTTACATAATGGGAAATAGGTCAATGATTGATTGATTCAAGCTTTGTTCGCTTATATATGTTGTTCTAAATCACAATATGGGAATTTTTCAGATTTTAAGGTTGTTTATATAATTCGTGCAAGTCAACCAATCAGCTATTCGAATAATCAAAAGCTCTTACCATCAATGAAATAAAACCTGACTTTCGCATATGAAAGAATGTCTTGTCTAATTATTTATTGTGGCCTTTAAGCATTATTCATACTATAATTTCAATTTTATTTAATTGACTTTGCAATGGAAAATGTTCCTCTCCCTTTAATTACTTCTCGTATATTGTAATATCATTTCATTTCATTTAATTCCATTAGTGAATCTGATTATTGTGACGAAAATACTTTCTTCATCTTACTTTGTCCACACTATAAT